TAAGTTACCTTCCATTCGGCCTGCCTTGGGGGCGGCCATCTCGGCCGCCAACAGCAAAATTCGTCAGCTACCTCACCCACCACTGCCGGTAGTATGGCTTGGTGAGGCTGGCTTTACATGACAACACGCATTAGTCCCATTTAGCGGTTTTCTTAGTCCTGGCTCCTGAATTTGGTAAAGTATGTCATGGTCCTAGCTGGAAAGGAGGTGTACGCGCCAGCTACAGTCAGTGCCAAGGTCTCCTGTCACACCGAAGAGGTCTAATGGAGCTAGGAAATGCTGGAGGGTAGTCTGAGCATGGATTTCAAGGTTTCTCCATACGGTATTTGCCGCTTCAATGCTCATCATCGACAGTAGCACAAAACGTCAGAATGAAGTGATGGTTTAACATTTCTTTGCCTCCCCGTCTCCGCTCCTCCAATAGGGAGTTGTGTTTCCACCCTTTGGGCCTCCCCGCTAAAGCCCACTTGAAGTCCCCTCCCCATCCACCCATCCATAAGCCTTCCCATCCAGTCGACGTGGCTCTATAATATGTAATGGCCCAGAATCAGACCTCTGGCCGGGAACGAACATCTATCCAACGCGTTACCTCCATTTCAATCTTCATGCGGACCGAAATGACGTTGGTCCTGGAGGGGGCTTTCTGCTACTGTCCTGTTGCTTAATATAAAGGGATAGACACGTCATGCTGAAACCTAAGTTGATCTTAAAGTGCCCCAAGGCGGACTACACTAACCTGTCATCTCAACTATTTTAGTTCGAATATCCCCAGCCCTTATTAACAATTTTTTGACATCTTTACAACTCTTATCCTCATTATGTCGAAGCCGTGCATTCCTACATCTCCTCATCCTATTCCCGACGAAGAGGTTATCTCTGACGTATATAACCTCCCCGTCCTCTCTTTTGATGGCAAGTCTAGTCTATTTGGCGAATTAGTCGCTGCAAGAGATGATGTTCTCAATGTTGTCGTGATATTCAGTAAGTCCTTTACTTAAGACCTCGACGTTTGGGAAGGTGATATTTAATGAATAATTTAGTTCGCCACTTCTTCTGCTCCTGCGATCAAGATTATATCCGTTCCATAGCGCTGTACTTTACCCCGACTGTCCTCTCTACTCTACCCATTGGGTCGTCTAGACTCATTATCATCGGTTGCGGCGACCCGTCCCTCATCCTCCCTTATGCTGCAGAAACCTCCTGCGAACTCCCAATATTCACAGATCCTACTGGCCGCATATACGAAAGGCTCCAGATGAAAAAAAACTTAACTATCTCCCGAAGACCATCTTATGAGAAACAGTCCTTACTCAGTCTCATCATTAGAAGCGTGAACCAAATGGTTAGGAGCGGGTATGGTGCCTTTAAAGGAGGAGACTTTCGCCAGAATGGTGGTGAGTGGATTTTTAGAGAGGGAAGGTGTGTATGGGTGCATAGGATGGAAACAACGGCAGATCATTTAACAGCGGAGGAATTAGTAAAAGTTCTGTCGGGAGATAAATACTAGCGCCCTGCGACTTGAGAGGCGAAGCCAGGCGGTGCCGGATTTATCAAGACACCGCGGAGAATCTTTTGTAGGATACAAGGTGTCACAAGTCGAGAGGACGCTAATAAATCGGAATAAGTAAATAAGGATGATATATTTGACTGTGTCGAGCTCGTTCCATGGAGGAGCAATGTGGAATCTATATGTAGGGCCTATGTATGCTTGGTATCTTTTGGGAAAATACAAGTTACATTCCCTCCACGACGGTGGCGTGCGGCCGTCATCACTCCATAAACCTAAGCTTCGAGTTCCCAGTGAAGAGGGAGTGGCGCAAGGTGGTAGATAGACGGATGTACGCCCCAACCAAAGGTATGACAATCTTCCGTATATCAAGTCTCAGCCGAAGATTGCCAATGAGCGAGGAGAAGCTCAAAAAGGGCCAGACCCCCGTTCCCAGCAGCGTACGATAGTGGGGTCCGGCCGTTACAGCTTCTTCTTCTACGGCCAACGTTGATTCTGATGCGAATATAGTAGAAGATTATATACTCCATGAAGTGCGTCTCACAAAATCGGGAATATTATCGCACTCCTCTTCACTACTATGCTCTGAGAAAGGCTGGCTACCGTATTTGAGCACTAGATGACCGGCGAAGCGCAAGAAGAGATCGAAGTGCTCAAAGGGCCAAAGAGGAGAGTTAAAAGGTTCCTTAACGAGGAGATAGACGGAAACCAGCACTGGACAGCTGGGTGGTGGATACTATGAGTTGGGAACTATCGATGTGTTTGAAGAGAGTGCCAACCTTGTATGTGTTCAGCTGCATGCTCCTCCCCACTCCGCCGGTTGTCGATTATGTCTGCAGCCACTCTAACAGGATGAGCACTTTCTGCTGCATTACTCGCCATGCTCTTTAGTGGCTTTTGTGATAGGAAATTATATTGAAACTACATGGTTAAAGATTTTGCAACAAATGTAAGGTCAGGACATGCAACCTATAATAGGGGTTGGGATTTCCAACTATTATCGAAGCCAGGCTGATTTCCTTGTAGGGTGCAAGCCAACAGGTCTTCAGTTTATTCACTAACCACAATGGGCGAATTATGTGCCCTCAAATATGAGACTGGGCTGCTCCCTGCATCAGCTTCCCCGAAGTCTGCCTCGCCTGTGTGTGCCGTATGAGCTCAGGATTCATGCATATGCATCCCCTTCCATGCTGGAGGGATCAATGAGGCATTCGAAGGGAGTTTATGTCAATGAGATGGCCTCAGTTGGTTCCAGCGGACCACAGAAGCCCCGGGGGCAATGATGAATCCAAAAGCATGCTGCTTGGACATGGATCCATTCGCAGAGAGGGCGGCGTCTCGGCTTAGACTTTGGTGAGTGACCAGCTAAATAAGCAGCTAACCAATCCCTAAATGAAAGCCAGATATTAGTAAAGCTCCCTACTGCCCTCCATATCAGTGCGCGCTGCGAGAATTGGGTGCCTACTTCTTCACATTCACCCTTCTCATCACCATCGTTTTCCACATGCCATTTCCTTCAGATTGCTTTGCGATCATTCACGAGTGTTGAAAGTTCATGAGGATCGCCCGTTCAGAGATATGACCGGCTTTCAGGAGCTGCAGGAGATGGCCTAAAGATGCCTAGAGATACGGAGAATAGGAAGAGAAAAGCTGGCTTGGGAGATTGTGAGGCTACGAGGACCTAGTTGATAGATCGAGGACTAGCTCTCCTAGTGACAATGTAGTTTCTGTCGCAGATATTTATACAGGCAAGTAAAGTAACTGGCAATAGAAGAAGTTGGGGACAGTTGTTGACTCCTAGCGCCTTGATAATATTTCCCTGGGTTCATCAAAGTGGAAGATAACTCCAGAGGTTGCTATGTATGGTGATTTAAGTGTCAAACGAGCAAAGGTGGAGTAAACAAATATAATACTTCCAGAAGCTTGGTATCTTGTTGATGGTCCAATAGCTAAGCACTTACGGCGTCTCGAAACCTGCTCGCCCTCTTCATAGCTGAACCTCAGAGTTGGTCTAGGTGCAGAGTACGCTAGCCCTAGGCAAATTCTGTAAGGTGCGCTGTTTCGGATGGAGAGCTGCCCTGTAAGGGCTACTGAGATGGAGGTCCTCTGATTGGATGGTAGTTGTGGTGGATATATCTCCAGTTGCTGCAGTAAGCCTTGAGGGGACAGGGGTTGATGTTGGTGAGAGAGATGGATGGATCGATTGGATGCTGCGTTCTGGGAATAAGAGGGCTGCACTGGGTTCTGGCCTGCGGCGGAGGCATGGGCGTTAGACTATCGCTAACATACATCTTGTACCCAACAAGCAGGTCCTTGCACTTTGTCCAGGCCTAGGTCTTCCCACGATTCCAGCTCTCGATATTTGCAACCGTAACTCCGAATCATTTACTTAAGATATCATAATTGTCTCTATTAGAGATGAGGTGTGTAGTGCAGGTGCTGTCTGGGTTTGGTTTTGGCGGGTCTGGTTTAGGCTCTTCATAAGGGTCCCCAGCAGAGCAGCATATATTGTCCCCGGCCTGGATAGTGGCGTATAGGTTAGGCTTGGGGTTGTGTTTCTCGATATCAGCTGCCGAGATCCCACACCTTTCGGCAATGCTCCAACACCCTTCACCGGACACCGCCTGGGTGTAACGGCAGGTGGCGCGTTTGTCGAAAAAGGAGTTGAGTCGACTGGATGCCCCTACATATCTGGGGGATATAGAGGCTGTACCATTGCTTCCGATATTAGTCCCATTCCCTTTCCCCCCAACTGTATTGGAATCATCATGTATCTCAAACACACCGACACCAGCTAGTCCGTCGAAATACAACCGAAAGTGCAAATACGGAACCGTATTTTTTTTTTCTCCCACTGGATGTATCGCGGGTAAGATTCCAATAACAGGTCTCAATGAGACTTGAAGAAACAGAAACAGAACCTCACGAGGAAGGGGACGAAGAAACTACTGGTTGGCTGAAACACCAAAGGATGAACATAAACACAGGGAGTGGATATGCGTTCAGGCAAAACTACAAAGAAACTCGCTGTAGTGGAGAATATTTCGCCTGATCGGGAATGTTCGAGACATGAAAGTAGAAAGAATCTGGACTTGGGCTCGGGGCGGTGATGAATGGGCGAGATGCCAATCGATGTATGGCTCTGAAATACATGGCTTAGAACTGAGTGAAGGAATTTCCCTTTTGCACGGCCGTCTGAGCCATTCGCCGCTTGACCAGGCCATGAAGCTCTCGCCCAATTACGTTCCCGCCATCATTCGAGAGGAGTAGATGGCAGACGAGGTGGTCGCCGTAGGTTACACTGGGTATTTGGGTGAACTAAACATTAAATGAGCTAAAATACATGCAATTACTTGTTCCTCTCTCTTCCAGACTTGATAGTACATTGTAACTGGGGGCCAGCCCCTGTCCTTGGCGATTACCCCTTGCCCTACGAATTCAGCCGACACAAGAGGACCAGTGTGCTTTCAAAGGGTCGTCGTGGGCTTTCGCATCATAGATCAAGGCATAGTGGTAGCATTTGCGCGGCGGAAGGACGGTTCTCCGGGTTTACTTGCGCCATCGGGGCAATTTTGCCAACTTCGGTAACCTTCGAGGCCTGTTGAATAAGGTTTATGATGTCGTCATCAACTATGTCCCGGTTCGACTTCTCGCGGAATCCGTCAACGTTCAGGGTCCATAGCATCGTCACAAACAGCGACCACACATCGACTTTAGGGGTCTGCCGGTGACTGCCAGAAGTAATCTCGGGAGCCCGGTAGAGCGGCGTTCCCACGCGTCCGAAGGCAAATTCGGTGTGGCTGGCAAAGCCGAAGTCCCCGAGCTGAAAGCAAGGGTGTGTGCTTTGGTTGGGTGGGCGAACGTAAAGGATATTGTCGGGCTTCACATCACGGTGGACGATGCCCTGTCCCGCAAGAAATGCGAGGGCCTCAAGCATGTGCCTGCTAAGAATCTCGGCAAGGAATTGGGTACATCCGTCCTTCACCAATTGCGTCAAGGTGCCGTCTTTGAGACCCATGAATATCTTGGGATGAGGCCCGTGGCGGTCTTCGGACGAAATGTAGTCGACGATCCGCGGCTGGAACACCAACATTAGTATATAGGAATGAAAACTATGAATCCTCACTTACGTGGCGCATCTTGGAGAGAATTTCAATTTCACCCGTCAAGATTTTCCACTGCTCCGTAGTTGTCACGGGGCGCTTGAAGACCTTGACGGCCATCAATTTACCGGTGTCCCAGTTGAAGGCTGAATGCACGCTTCCGTATTGTCCGGCACCAAGAATCTCTCCCATTTGATATCGTAATTTCGGCTCGGGAACGTGCGTGTGAATCCTGGTCTGGCGCTGAGATGGCAAGACGGTATCAGCCTCAGCTGCCGTCCGTGCAAGGCGTGGGTTTTCTTGGCGAGTAGCGGCTTGTCCGTTCTTGACCATCTCCCTCATGGCCTCAGCAGGATTCTCAACGTACCACCTTAGTCTGAACCGGACGTAGTCTTGCTGGCGACCACCCATGCCGATGGTAATGTCCATGGTGGTTGGCAGAGCGAGCCTGCGAGGTCGTCCACTGACGAATTGAGCCACATTATCCCCGAAGACCTGAGAGGTCTGCCCATGCGACCTATCGTAAAACATGACAAAGCTGGATGTCCCTTCTAACTCAAAGGAGCACTGGATCTTGGCGATCATGGAGCCTTCCACAAACACATCGCCGTTACGACCCAAAGTTGCGAGAGTCATGTCAGCGCCGGACATGGAGCGAACCCGCCCGACGTCAAGAACATACGTGCCAGCATCAAAGCGCATAAGATGTCGGTTCGACACATGCATGACGACGTCCGTTGCTCGTTGATTAGCGGGCACAAGGGAAAAGAGGGTCCAAGGGTCGCGCTGAGACATGGTGAAATTAGGTGAGGTATCGGAGTAAGAAGACGAACGACCGGAACACGGGAATACGCATAAGCTGAGGGATGGGTGAGTGTGATTCTTAGGAGATCTCGAAACAAGGCAAATCTGTGTCATCCATCCATGAAGCACGCACAGCAAGGGGACCTCTAAATATACAACATCTGGATAGATTGAAATCTAAAGGAATCAGGAGGTGAGATACGCGGCGGCATTGCTCTATTCCTTCTCTAGAGTTCTCATTGCTTCTGGCTAAGAGGATATTTGAAACTCTACAAAGTATCATTAGATGGTGGTCGTCGACGGCCGTGAAAGAAGATGTTCTTGTTTGAATATGTGATTTTATGATACCTAAGGATTATGGATCTTCGGAGGTCTTCTATTTGATCTCTCCATGGCCATGAATGCGATGGGGTGGTAACAGCTAAGAGGCCAAGAGAAGGGAGGCTGTAGATAGGTGTCACAGGTAGCTATTCAATTGAACGGAGGAAAGTGGCAGGGCATTCGAAACAGGGCAGACGTCGACTGGAGGATGTAAAAGGGCTAAACCCTTCATCGGGTCAGAACCCACAGGAGGCCGTTTTCTCTTTGTCTTTCGTTGTCTCTCTCCTGGCGGAAAAAGGGGGGAGGGGGAAGGCAATTGGATAAGAGCATGGAGGAAACAGACTACCACACAAGGAATGCACTGGTCCGCATTGGAAAGGCCGTGGAATGGGGCTCGTCCGGAAACAGATTGTCTCTAATGTCCAATGCAAGGATGTAGCAAAATACCAGGTTAGCTGAAAGTAGCTGTTGAAACTGCGGCTGAGTGAGGGGGCAGGATGCAAACAAAGGATGAAAGAGCCCGAGCCATGGATGAGGAGGTTAGGTGGTGGGTATGTAATGCTACATGCGGGAAAATAACAAAGAAAATAACAAAGAAATTCGTTAGCAAGGGGAAATATTCTACTCGGTCAGGAAGGGGTCCATCATGACACAAGACACGCGGGAGGTATGGGGAATTCCGATTCCGCGTCGCGTGATGGGCTCAATGTTGTGACTTATCTCCCTGGCGGAATCCAAGCTTGAGGCTCATCTCGATGTGGTCGAAACTAGGGATGCAACTGTCCGCTGACCCATAAACGCCAACCAAAACCGCAATAATACACAACCACAGTTTCAGCACGTAAAGGGAGAAAACTCGCCATCACCATCCGCGGCGTTCCATTCCATTCCGCCCTTCTCTCCCTTGTTCAGTCGGCTCCCCACCTTCTTACAAGTCCTGCTTCTACTTTGTTCAACGACAGAGCTCCCTCTATGGCCGAGTCAATTGAAGGCGATGGGCTAACACTGCTCCATAGAGCGCTTGATCCACTCGCAGACAACGCGGAACTGCTTGAGCGCATTCGCAGCAGACGCTGGAGCCATTCCCCGCCGGCGAACAAATATTTCCTGTCAGGGACCACCACTGCATCCGAGGCTTCTGAACAGATGACGGAAGAAGAGCGGCTCCGCGACAAGAGGAAATTTCACCTCATCGGAGAACGGAGCGCGTCGTATCCCTCTCAGCAATTCGACAAGCAAGTCCTCGACGAGGCGCAACGTATCCAAAGAGAAATTTACGAAATTCACGGATATTCTCTACCGGCCGATGAGCCCATCCTCCTGTTCGGCCGGGACGCCACAAAGCGAGCGAGGGAGAATGTCAAAAAATGTTGGGTCGAGCAAGGTATCTGGAACGAAAAGTGGAAGCAGATACACCCGCTTAAGCTGGACATCCCATCTGGGCCGTGGAAGCATGAAGAACTGCTGGACACTGAATCCGAATCCGAAGGCAACAATCCTCTCCCTTCCTCGAGGATAGCAGAAGAGAAACCAGGACAACCGAAGAGTGCCGAAGAGCTGCGTCTAGCTGGGGAACGGCGTGCGATACGTGAACGCGAGCGAGAAGCGTCCCGGCCATTCCACCAGTTTATATATCAGGTTTCACGACAACGCGAACGAATTCAAAGGGAATTAGTTCCCGAAGAAGCCGCTGCGATTAACACGATGGCCTACGAAATCGTGAGGAAAACTTGGGTGGAAAGGGGACTTTGGAGTAGGAAGTGGGGAGTTCTTCCCGGGATGTCGTGGAAACATGAGCAACCGATCGACGAGATGTTGGCGCAGGAGATGGGGCCCGATACACCCCCTCAAGAGAGGCTGCTCGAGGAGGGGAAGAGTGGCCGCGGGCTGAGAGAATCAACTCCCGACCCTACTGACCCTATCGAGAAGGCATTTGGGTCTGTTTCGCCCCCACGATTCAGCCGCAGTCCGAAGTCATTCCGATCCTGTAAGATCTATTCCCTGTCCTCCACGTCCTGTCCGCAGTCCCCTCAAGCAAGGGGGAGACAGTGTGCTCGGTCTCCAGTCAGTCAAAGACCCCAACAAGACGAAACAGCGCCATTTCCGGACGATAGACGGGATCAACAAACGCCAGGCGCGGCCCTAGGGCCAGCCCACCCAGTGAAGATATCCGAGGCGCCATCCGGAAGGAAACGAGGTCTGTTTGGTCTGTTTGGGCCAGAGGGAAATGTCTCCAAGTTGCCCTCTCCTAATACGCCTCAACCAGATCCAGCAGACTTGAAGTCAAGCTTTGGTGCCTTGGCTATGCTACCAGTAGGCCACTCGACCTTCCAGACACGGCCGAGCGTGGGCGCCGAGGTTCCGGAACTTCCTTCGCCATCGTCCGTAACTTCAGCTGCTTCCGCACCGCGGCGGATAAGCAAACGGTTACAAGAGAAGAAAGAGAAAGTAGCGCCCAATGCCAATGCGGTTAATGCTTTAGCAGACTCGCTGCCTAGGCCGGCCGCCGCCCCAACCCCGAGGAGGAGATTGAAGCTATCAGGTTCTGCAAAACCCCGTGGAGCGTCCAAAAGACAGCACCGGAATACCGGGCGCCGAGGCCAAAGTAACACGAGGGCTTCACATTTGTAGACGCACATCTATCAGCTGTTTTAGGAGGCAAAGGTAGGCTATCGTTTATATAGGGAGAGGGAGTAGGGTAGAGAGAGTGTCACAACTGTCAATGACGCAGCCATCGGACTTGGCCCTTCAATAAATGTCAGTATCGTCGCGCGGATGTGAGGGAGGCCAGGGATTAACGAGGCTCTAGATTGTACAAGTATTTCAGTCCTACGGTAATTGCCACCTCTTTGCTTAGAGAATATGTCAAGATCGAGGAAATTCAAGATCTTGTTGACCTTGGGATTAGTCGCTTGGGAGTTTCGTTCTTGTTGAAGCTTTGAACTCAGCGAGGGCTGAGAGATCAGCTAACCTGCGAGTATGAGTTGACGAGAGCAGATTTAAGACGCTGTAGAGCTTCACGCTATTTCTATAAAGAAGGATTACGCCCACTAGGAATTATCCTAGACCATTTACAGTTTATTCCGAATTTATGAAATCTGTAATACTGGAGGGGAAGACTCGATCATTCCTTCTATAAACGGTGTCCTTGATTTTCCTTAGTTATAGAAGAATGTTACGATCCTAACACTGGTTTGGGGTATATCAGGTGGGCACAACTGGTGTTGGGGTCGAACGTGCCTGTTATGAAGTAAGCGAGGCAGTCAGGCAGTATTCACAAGATATTGGTGAGAAGTGCCTATTCAAGTGTAGGAGTGTAGTTGTTCTTGAAGTGACTACTGGAGAGTCTTGAAAGACAAACTAGATACATGGTAGAACTCGTAGTTTCTATAGACGTTTCCCTTCCAAGCTCTCTAAGGTGATCGGAGTTCTTTCCTGACTGATCGGAACCGATCGTTTGGTGATCGTTGTGATCACAGGGGTGATCGCCACCGATCACTTCCCTGTCGCCCGTCAGCCGGCCGCATGCAACCGTCCTGCTATTCCTTTTTCTGCCGTGTCTTACCGCTTTTTGGGCCTGCATAAAGGTCGGCCCGTGACAAGGGCGCGGACGAGACCCTCTATATTCTGCGAGCTATGGCCGTATGTGCTTGCATTAGATGCTGGACGTCCACAAACCTCGGTCCCGGTCCAGGTCAGTCGCTGTGGGCGGGGCCACAAAAATTCCTGCATTTCGCTTGGGTCTCCTCGTCTACGTCGTAGCCATGTCTGGCCGAAAGCGTGGGGGACTATGGGCTTCGTGCCCAACTGGGTTCTTACAAAGTGCCCTTCATCTGTGCTTCTTCGTTCTCCACTCTCTCTTCCCATCAATTTCCCGAACCAGCTCTTCGAACGAACGGAGCGAGCCTACCATCAGCAAAAATGCCCGAGCTTTGTGATGTTAGCTACTCGCGCGACGAGTGCATCGCCGCTATCCACAATTACTACCAGTTCCTCACTAAGATGTATCTCGACGAATCCATGGTTATATACCCACCACCAGAGGGGTGGCCGTTTGATGCTGAGGCCCTCCGAGAGTTGGGCAAGTCAGGCGAGGTTATAGCGCTTCTTCGCCACCTGCCGTACATACGCGAAGGTCCCGACGCTTCCCACGCAGAGGCGGCATCCCACTGCTGGTTTGCCGACTGGCAAGACTTGGCCCAGCGTCTAATCGGGGGGCATATTAGTGGTGAGGATATCAGATTAATGTCTGAGGGATCTGATCGCTATAAACTTGTACCTCCCTATGTCGTCAGTTTGACATGTGGCGGTCGCGATAATACTATTTTTCTACTCGATACCAAACGAGGGACTGTAGTATGGTGCGAATGCCCTCAAGAAGTTTGGCAAAACCCCACGCGGGAGGGCATCGTGGATTTCCCCTTTGGCTACGAAGACACAGACGAAGATGAAGACGAAGACGAAGACGAAGACCAGGACAAGGAAGAGAATGAAAAAGGAGAGAAAAAAGAAGAGAGCAATGAGGACAGCGATGAGGACAGCGATGAGGACAGCCATGGCGACAAACCTGATAAGATGGAATGGCTTGGGTGTACCAAAGCCTGGGCCGTGGCCGACTTCTTCAACCTTCTCCAGGATTTGCTCCGCGACCTCAAGTTCATACCAATCAACCCACTCAGTGTGAAGGACGTTTTCAGCATATATCATCCCAGCTTCCGTGGCATGCTACCCATGGCTCAGGCAATCTACCGCCAGCACGGATGGCCGGATCTCCAATCCTTTCAGAAACAAAAGTGTCTTGAGGCCATTTCGAAAGCAATGAAGGAGCGGTTTCCTTGATCGTATCATCTACTGATTTTGTTCTGCATACGAAGACCGTACGCAGGGGTGGGTGCAGTGGGACATGTTGGAGCTGGAGCAAGGGTCTCGGCATGGTGGGATGGGATGGGCCTAGTATTACTAGTCCAGGGTCCAGGAGGCACATAACACTTCCCCATTAGTTAGTGATATTCGGTAGTTTATCCTTTTCTGCTGGGTCTCACCGCCCTGGGGCCCCAATGAAGGTCGGCCCGTGACATAAACAAACACAACACTTTTAGAAGCCTGGTATCTTGTTGATGGTACAATAGTCAAGCACTCACGGCGTCTCGAAACCTGCTCACCCTCTTCCTGGCTGAACCTCAGAGTTGGTCCAGGTGCAGAGCAGGCTAGACCTGGGCAAGCCCTATAAGGTGCGCCGTTTCGGATGGAGACCCGCCCCGTAAAGGCCACTGAGATGGAGGTCCTCTAATTGGACGGCAGTTGTGGTTGACATATCGATGAGCGAGCCATTGTTCTTGTCACCGGGTGGTTAAACATATATTTGGCTGGATGCATCGTCCCGATGCCATCCGTTGGAACCCCCCTTTTCTGACATCCCCATTTTGTGACCGCCCCAAATCCCTCAATATAAGTTTATTTCGTCTTTGTGTCCGGCAAGCACGGCCGAGACCACACTCGAGATCAAATCAGGGAATATGTACGTTCGCGGAAGTTGTATACAGCTTGACTCGTCTCTTGACCTCAGCCTTGCCTTATTTCGATTAACCTCACTTTCCCTTAGAGATTTGCGGTCGGCAGGTTAGACATATAGATGTCGAGAAACAAGCGCAGGGCATCCAATCGAGCGTTCTATTTGAGCAAATTAGTGAAACACTGAAGAGATGATCTCCTCTTTTTAGGGGTTTTATACCAAGCGTATCAAGACCACGACTAATTTTTCTAAGCTTGACTTATTGTGCATGGGTTGGAGGAAGTCATAGGGCTCCCTGGAACATACAAAGCCGGCCATTCTGCACTCTAGAATGCCTCTTGGGATTAGCATGTGGCGGGCCTATAGATAAGAACTGTCCAAACTCTGACGATCACGGACCAGAGCATATTTATCGGCACGAGTTCCTCACCCTCATTCGAAATCAACTCGCCACGGATGGAGGCCGTGATGTGGATTGCGCGCCACTGCACCGATCTGGAGCACTGGGGTCCCTTTTCAAGGTGCGACTATCGAAGTGCGGATACACGCTCGTTGCCAAAGGCGTAGAAGGTGTCGACTATGCCCGCCAGCAGCACGAGAACAAGATCTACGACCGACTCCAGGCTATTCAGGGAAAGCATGTCCCGGTATGTCTCGGCAGTATAGACTTTAGTCCTACCGTACTATTACAACAGTGGCGTTTACAAGCACTTCATGTTTATGAGCTGGGCTGGCGGCCTTTGTTCGATTGCTCCAAGGTCCACCAGGCAGCGGCCTCGTTAAAGAGGTAACCAGGATATTCAAGACAGTACACAGGCAAGGCGTTTTTCGTCGTGATGCGGAGGCATGCAACATCCTGTACGATGCACACCGTGGTACTTTTATGGTCGTGGATTTCGAGCGTGCGGAGTTCCGCGGCCGCCAGACTCTCGGCGCCATAGGCTCGAATACCCAAAATCGAAAGAGGAAACGCGGGGTAGCTCTGAAACGAGAAGGACGATTTTGCGCGAGAACTGGGCTCTGCCCTGAAGAATGTCTCCAGGTTTGCCACACACTAGTAAATCATCCGCTCTATAAGCTTTTCATGCACCTATGGCGATTATCGACGTGTTGATGCTAACACAAGTTGGTTGATAGATGCGGCAATGATCCTGTAGACCAAAGTTTGAGCGTATTAGAGCCACTTGTTCTACTGCGTGTGTCCTCCGCTGTTGAATACGGCATGAAGTGTGTTGGTTCGGCGTGTTTGATGCTCAGGAAGTGCCCGGATAGCCCAAGTTCTTATCGGAGGGTTGGGCTCAGAACGGCAAAAAACCAGATATTCGAGGATGCCGAAGAATACGAGATCCGCATTCAATGAAATATGTAAAGTAACACTGAAGTCTCTAATATTGATTCCTCTCTCTAGAGTCGAAGAAATAGCGAAGACCTCTGCATTTCTTTCGATGCACATAGACGAGTAGTTCAAGCACGGAAAAACATGCATCGCTTGAATAGGGGGGTTGGCCCGTTCGCTTCCTCGAAGGATTCTCTTTAAGTCTGTATCACAACGGCCATACGGGTCTCAACTGACATTCCCTTTCTTATGGCTGCCGCAAAGAAAAGGTGTGCTGGGGAAGAACTAGTAAGAGAAATATTGGAGGCCGCGAACCCAAACCAAGAGTATTACCTCAAAGACGCGAATGTGCTCGTGCATGCCGCACACCGACAATACTTCCACCTTCCACCAGGTCGAAATAACCTCAAAACTATCTCAAATCTCTCAAACCAACACTCCTCCGACTCAGGCATCCTCATCAACAGCTCATACTACCATATAATACATCTGAACCAAAAGATACTGACTTTCAAGTTTCCTTATCTCCGTCTACTTCCGGCTTTCACGAAGCATGCTGGCAGCGTGTTATATGTGGACAGACGTAAGAGATCAGCTTTTCGGTTCTCAGTCATTTACTCTAATCCTTTAGTAATGCCTCAGTCGGCTTCCAGCGGTGCCGGTGCACATGCACGTGCGTCCCGCTTCATGCAAACGGAGGTTTCGATGAAAGAAGAATCGCAAGATTAGCTCTCTATTAGAGCATATTTCGGCCATTTGTACCCTTGCTCCCTTGTATCTTATTACCCAGCTATTGGCGGTTTAATCATGGGCTCGTCATTTGATGCCCATCTCACCGTTTCCCCCGTCCATTTCCGGTCGTTCGTTATTATTACCATGGATGCGATGCGATATTTTACAACCTTTGTTCGATTAAGAGACTTTGATTATTATCAATTACCTGATTAAATTAGAACCCCAATATTACATCTGCCGCCTTTTCACTAATCATATACACGGGCACCGCAATATAGAACCCGGGGATTTTTGGGAAAACCGAAGCATCGACGACACGTAGACCGTCCGTTCCCCTCACGCGAAACTTAGAGTCCAAGACTGCCATGGGATCACCATCTTTTCCAATGGGACATGTACAACTTGCGTGGTGGCCCCAGGCTTCATTCTTGACAAACTGTGAAAGCCCTGCGCCACTGACCTTCGATCCAGGCCAGACCTCGTCGAATCCACCAGTAAGTGGAAGGACGTTGTTAAGCATCTTCCGCGAGAGCTCCATTCCTTCGACAAGAGCTTTGACATCCTTGGCCGCGTCAGCCTCGTCACTAAAGGAATTAAAGTCGATCTGAGGCATGTCCCGGGGATCGGTGGATCGAAGGGTGATATTTCCCGCACGATTTCGCGTGTGGGCTTTTAGGACGATCCACGTCCAGTGACGGGCATCAACAGTACCGTCTACCGAATACCCTGGATAATAACCAGGAAAGCCGACAGGAGCACCGGCGATGAAGATGTCTGGGTCCCCCTCGGCGACGGATGACTTTTTGACTACGCCCAAAGAGACGCCGTTGGATGCATAAATTCCCCGTCCATTAGCACCGCTCTGCCACGATTTAAGGCAAGGGTCATCGGCAGAGCGGAAGAAGGTACAATCCTCTGTAATCTGGAAGTCTGTCGGCGTCTTGCCAATAACAGATGTTTCATATCTATCTTGGAGATTTGTGCCGACCCCAGGAAGGTCAACAACGATGGGGATGCCCAACGCGGACAATTCCTCTACTGGTCCAACGCCACTGAGTTTGAGAAGCTGGGGGGTATTGAAGGAGCCAGCTGAGACGATGACCTCGGCCGAGACGTTTACGCTCCCCGGTTGCCCTACGGAGGAGCCTTGGAAGCGAGGGTCTGCTTTGTAGAGACTTTGGCCAACGAGAAAGTCCACGCCCACTGCACGAGGTTTCGCGCCGCTGTTGTCGAATCGGATCTTGGTCACCAGCGTGTTGAGTTTTATGTCGAGGTGGTATTTCCTCGAGCCGTCGGGGTTTACGGCATTTGCGGTACTGAGAATGATATCCCGAGGCCCAACGCGCACGCCATTCGCGACGGAGATGGGGACTTGGTAGAGGCCTTCCGCAGAGTCACGGCCATTCGTGTCGACGTTCAAATCACGTAAAAGCACCTGGCCAAGCCCAGCGACTGTAGACAAGATTGCCCCAAGGAGGTTTTTACCCATCGACGAAGCAGCCGAGAGGATCACGGTGAGAAGTTTGATGTCTTTGATGATGAGTCCAAGGTCCGTTACGGTCGTGGTCAGCCAGCCGTTAAAGCCGTGGCCGATAATACCGTTAGGGAGATACGACGCCTTCTCCAGTCGTACGAAATACTTGCGCATGTTTGAGGCTGACCAAGTATTGTCTCCGGTTAGGCTGGCGATGCCATCCCAATCACTTCGATGGGGATAGACAGATATCAAAGCATTGTGTGACCCACATCCACCGAGTGTCCCTGCACGAGGGTACAGGACGCCCAGTGGGGTCGCCCCGGACGGAGGGTCAAGGCCAACATACAAATCTCCGTTATCCTTCCGGTATGTCATTTTTGAATCCTTCTTCTGCACGGAGAGGTCGCTAAAGTGGTTGACGTAGTAGTCCCACCGCATCGGCTCGTACTCGGTCGATTGCAAGTTGAGCGCAGGCACTTGGTAGGGTATCGATTCTCCTTGGTCGTCGCCCGCTTCGACTAGCAAGACCTTCTTGCCAGCAATGGCAAGCCTGGCGGCCAAGGGACCTCCGCCCGGGCCGGAGCCAACCACAACATAGTCGTAGACGCTGGGGTTGTTGTCGGTCTGCCGTGTCGCATGGGGCGCTTTCGATCTAAATAAACCCTAGTCAGTTGACGCGACGCGAGATAGGTATGGATCTGCATTGTCACGTCGTACTTACACAGACGCTGCCGAAGCTGAGTAGAAACTACTCAAGAATAGCAGGAGGGAAACAAGCTGCGGATACATCTTAAGCACCACTCCAAGAAATCGGCTCTGACCTAGGAGCTCACATTATTTTGTGCATGTTGTCTGTCGACTCCAGGACCTTTTTAAAAGGTTCTACACGCAGAGCATCGCCGAGCCCTATTAACCCCGCGAAAACACCCATTGCTACCCTTTCGGCTCTACGAACCGAATTGGATACGGGCTCGAATTAAGCGATATTTCCATATCTAATGCGACTGCTAGTTTACGGAGGACAGGGCGAGTTTGAGCAAGTGAGTGGCATGACACCACCACTACAGGATGGAGGAGGAAGGCGATGTAGTCGCTGCATTGCCAAGGAGATTTCAATCTCCGAAATTCTAGCACAAAGAATGTAACAATAGATTGAGGGGGTCAAGAAGTGGCACAAAACCTGCCATCTGCACGTGGCACCGGACCCTATTAATCTATGGAACTGCTCTTATTGACTGCGGGTGTTGCGTCCCACCTACACTTTCTAGAGGGGGCCTGAGCGTAAGTTCGGGCTGCTCTGTGTGGCAAAATTCGGTTTCCAATGGCGGAAGGACGGAGTGTAGTTTAGATTATAAATCTGTGTGCGTTCTTCGTGATCTAGATCTAGATCCCAGGGTCGGACTTTTGTCTGACCATTATGCAGTGCTTGGTAGAGTGGGGCATGTATTGTCGCAATTCCCATAACGACCGGAGAAAATAGCCCGATTTGGACGGTCCTGGAAGTCGAAATACGGGTCGCAGGTCTGAGAGAAGGAGCAAAAACCGAGCCTTACCCACTTTTGAAACGAGTTCTCGGCACATTTTCCAAAAAGGAGCTGTTGGAGGCTAGCTCAATCAATTATTTCCAAGGCAATACTTCGTAAACTCGGTGACATCCAGGAGTAAGCCAGGGCTATGTACATATACCACCTGAAGACGACCTAGCTTCCCACGTTGGTCCCCGTTCTTCGCTCGCTTCTACGTCTCGTACACTTTTTTTCTTCAAAATCGCTACTGCCGTGTCAGAATGCTTGGAACATGACTATTTGTACTTCAGTATTTATACTTTCTCCTTGGCTTACCAGAGTTGGAGTGGGTGGGTATGTCTAGTAGATGAGACGTCAAACTAGTGCAATAGGTGGATGGGCGATCTTGAAGTAATCCAGCTCGTCCGTCCCTCTCGCCAGGGGCATATATGTATGGCAGAAAACTCGCATGGTAGATCCAGAAACTCCCCCCTTCCATCTCCTCAACCGGGGAGCCGGAGATTTGTATTTTCGCCCGACCCGACATCACAATGTCCGCGCAGTGGGTCTGCTTCTTCGTATGGGTCTGGGCAGTTGCTTCCAGAATAGCCACCGCGCGTGCCCAGGACCTAGCCACAGTTGCAATTCTACAGCTTGTGCCTGATTGCGCAGTAAGTGAGCTTGATGATTTTTTTCGCGTCCTGGGTTGACATTCCGCTGAAACCGGTCCAAGACCCCCTGCATACTAGACGCATTCACGGAGGGCAATTGCACATTGACCAATCTGTCAAGTTGTGTATGCCCCAACATATCGTTGCAGGCCGGCGTATCCGAGTGCGTACAACAACATTGTCCATTTAACGATCAAGTTGGTATGAACCCCTTCCATTTTCGGAATTACGAAGCAACTTTGAACCCCGAGTCCTCAGCTGATATATATAATCCATTACCGAAATAGCTGTTGCAGAAATTTCAAACCAGCTTTGTGAAGGCTATCCTATTGAGTCGAGAGAAGGGGAGGTTATCAACACAGCCATCGCTTGTGCTGCCATAACCTTTCCTATTGTCTTACTGCGATGTATATCACGGTTTATCGTAACACGCCGGCTCTGGTGGGATGACTGGGCCGCTGTTGGCGTTACTGTACCATCTCTCTATCCCCCTTTTCTTGTTCGGGGTTAGCTTCTTATTCCTGTGCTGACACACGTTTTCCAGATCTTTCTCGCAGCACTCTTTGGTCTACAGATCGAGAGTAAGCCTTTAACCCCCTTACCCTAACGCGGGGCCCTCCATTCAAGGAGCATAACCACTAATACAAATGTGAACAACCTCAGGTGCTCAGCTTGGATTTGGCCTTCACTATTGGAATACTAATCCCGCCAATGGCCAAACGATTCGACAGGTCAGTAGAGCAATCACAACTCTTATTAACTCCTTACCTGTAATTCTGTTAGTTATGTTGACAGAGTGATGATCCAGATGTTTTATGCAAACCAGATGCTCTATATTTTCATACAAGTAACTGCCAAAGGCTCGTTGCTTGCTTTCTACTTGCGTGTCTTTACCGGCCGCAAATTCCGCATCACAGTTTGGGCGGCTCTTGTATTCCTCATCGGCCACGGCGCTATCTTCCTCGGCTTAGTCATTTTCCAGTGCCTTCCCATCGCTGCTGTGTGGGATCAGACACTATCGAAAAAATGTTTAGATCTCACCGCTATAGGATATGCTGGCGCTGTGTTCAGTATCGTCGAAGATTTGGCCATATTGATCATGCCGATTTCTGAGCTTGTAAAGCTGCAACTTAACTTGAGGAAGAGGCTTGCTCTCATATTCTTGTTCAGTCTTGGATCATTGTAAGTCAGCCTACTTCTATACTACATGTGAAAGCTTCAAAATATGTAGCGGCTGCTAAACAAATATGTCCAGTGCATGTGTGACAGGTATGGTACGCCTGAAGTACATCGTCAGCTTTGCCAATTCACTTGATACAACTTGTAAGTTACAACTCTGCAGTAACGTGCTGGTCTTGTGTCTGACATCGCTGGTGTGAGGAAAGGGGATAATGTGAGCGTTGTCATATGGTCAATGATAGAGCTCTCATGTGCCTTGATTTGTGCTAGTCTTCCTGCTCTACGAGCCCTCCTACAAAAAGTGCCGGGGTTCCTGAGTTCAGGAAGGAAAACCACTGCAGTAAATACTGGAAGCGCAGTGTTAGACTTTAGTGGCAGGTCTCGAGACAGAAGTTCAGCAGGCGATTTAATACCGCTGAAGACATATCATGAGATAAGCGATAAGAAAGTAACTATATAAACAAAAGAAGAAAAAATAGTTAACTGATTCCACATTCTTCTGCATTCATGGAATGTACGGAGTTTTATTGAAGATTCGGCTCGAGACCTCTGTGATGACATCTGCTCCCCAGCCTTTTTCCCTCCACGGAAAGAGCGGATCACTGCAGATCGCGGTTATTACTCGGCTCCTTTGGCTGCCTGATATGGCGCTCGGAAACCTATGCAGCATCTAGCCAGTCTGCTCCTGCAGTTAGTTGTCGTCGGCATTGCGGGGCATGACCTGCTCCCTAGATGATAGGGTGTCTGGTGCTGGGGAGGCCTTTCCTGGCTGGTGTACTATTTCGAAGTGAAGTTGTACTGGCTCATCATCTCCTACCATCACATCTGTCTCTTAAAGAGCTGCTGGCGAGTAGTAAAGTATATGAGGTTCTTGTAACCTATCAAGATAGTAAAGTGTTCTACAGATCTCAGTTCACCCCACTGCTGCTCTAGGCACTATATAACTGCTAGTAGCTCCTTATTGTAAAATGGGGTAGTTTGCCTTAGCAGGAAGCATCTTCTTTGACGTGTAGGTGACTGGTCTGAGTCTACCTGTCTTATCTTTTTATATTAGGGTTCTTTCTGTAGTATATCCTAAGGAATCTGCTTCTACTACTGTCTCCTTATCAGGGTCTAAGTGTGTTAGAACAGGGGCTCTAATAAGTCTCAACTTCAGCTCGTCGAACACTTGCTGGCAGGCCAGGGACTATGTAAGATGATTTCACGGGAGGTCCTGAGGGCGGGCAACCGTGTGGAGAGCCACCTCCGGTCGGGTGTTAGTCTGGCTCTGTCTACCTGACGGAGTGTTGTAGCTGTCAATAAAAAGTGTTGTATATGAGTGTTAAAAAATTATGGTAATAGGATTGAAGTTTAACCCCGAAGGAACCCAACTCTGAGAAATAGTCCAATTCGGGCGTGGCTCTAGTTATGAGCCGATAACGAACGGACAAAATCTCGAGAACAAGAATTGAAAACCATCTCACAACCGCCCCGTCTATATAATTGATACGCCTCAGCCAACCTACCAACCTCCTCCCCGTGCCCCCTTCTCCTATTTTGCCTTGCTAGTGCCAGCCATCGTTTTCTCAGTTCAGATGCTCCCCGAGGAAGTCAGTGATGACCTTGTAGGCGCCCGTCGCGTTGTGATGAAAATTGAAGTTATGGCTCGCGTTGGGGTGCAGGTACGGAATAAACGGCTGAGCATTCCTATAAAACGTTGATGCCGGTTCGTCGAAGATGCCCTCGCATTCGCCATCACAGACGATGTAGTCTTGCTTTCCAGTAATTGTGAGGGCAGGGCCTGTGAAGTTACTAGCATCTACCATTAAGAAAAATTAGTGACCGAATAACGAGATAAAAGGGCTTGATACTTACCAAAGTTTCCTCCGTTGCCGAGCGGGAAAGTGAAGAATTCGGTGAAGCCAAAGGGTTGCTTAGCCTTCTCGGCAAATACAGCGGCTTCTTCATCATAATAGGGCTGCTTGAAATACCTATGGTGCACTGTAAGTCCTGCAAAAGTGGGTAGATAGCCAATATTTCAAATGCATCATCTCACCCGGACCGGTCCATATTCTTTCTATCGAAAGGAAATAGGGCCTTTTGTCAAGGACCACCATCAGCCTGATGTTGCAGTTCACATGCAGGCTTCCAATATTTGAAGTGAATCACTTGACCCGGATCGTGTTCCTTCTATCGAGAGCCAACGGTTTTTCCCAAGAGAAGCAGCCTATGGATTGACTTTCCACGGAGACTGGACCTAATTAGATTGACTGCCTTTGAGTCTGAAGAGCCCAAAACGTATGTGCTCGATTTGGTTGCATATTGAGTTGAGAGCCCACTTTTGATGGAGAGCGAATCATATCAAGGTCCATCTAAATGAATCTTCCCCATTGAGCAAGGAAGAAAAGTCTTGCGTTCGAAACGTATTGGGCCTGGCTCGGTGGGAAAAAAATGAGGACTCGGCGATGTGGATTTGGGGGGTTGTCCAATGTTGGGGCGAGACCAAGAGGGGATGTCCCATCCCTTCTCGAATCAAAAGGCGAGCCCCGGAAACGAGGTTTGTGGCACCCGAGTAACTGGAGAACGTCGCATTTGCCATGCGCAGTGAGATGGGATGATATCAGCTGCAGTCAGCAAGTCAGCGCGGTCCGCTGCTTGTGATCTGACTCCTAACCTAATCCGGCGTCCTACCCGGGTGTCCTAGCTATATTACGAAAAGATTGCTAAGGCACCAAGTTAAAAATAATGGCGAGTGAAAAAGGAAAAGAAACCGGCGGCGATTGCGAACGTCAGGAGCTGAAATCCGAGCCTGTCGTCTTCAGCCTTCCACAGCAGACGGCCGAGACGTCTTGCCGAGATCACGGGTGGCTTCACGAAGATAGATCTCACGTAAGAACGGGATTGCCCACCGGAAGACGGATGGGATCAATGCTTGATTCGGCTAAGCCTGTAAGCTCGAACCGACGCAAGCTGCATATCCTCGGCCGTACCCTTATAAGGACTGCAACGCAAGGCCATCCTTTCAAGCCACACATGCATCATGATACGACTGAATAAAGAAGGACAATACTTTCATAGAAATGCCTGGGGCCCGACGTCTATGATGGTAGAAAGCAACTTGCGGAGAAGGCGGTACATCCTACAGCAATTGTCACCCGAGGTGAGATTTGCTCTTACAGTAGAAACCAACAGAAGGCTCAATCTAAATGACAAGATCTGTGTTTACGAGTCGCCTAGGACGCCGAAATTTTGGATGGGTGATTTGTAGGGAGTTACTGCAGAGTACCAGGCCCACATGAAGGTGTTCCTTTCGGTCTCTCAGATCAGCGACCAGAGACTTCTTCTATCTTTTTGGGTGTGATTGTGCCCTAACCGTCCGTCTTCTTACTGACGTGTTATTCCTGTTCTTCTGGGACCTCTATTCCCCGTTTTCAGCATTGTTTTCCATTGATCAACGAAGTCCGCGTCTGTCAGTTCTTGCAGGAGCATTGCAGCGGCCCTGGCAAGGGCTGGTTTTCGATCAGTGGCCACTTACTTGTCTCTTTCATACGTGTGATGTTGCGGTCAGAGCTGCACTGATCAGTCTCAATGGGATTGGGAGTTGTGAAAAATCACGTTTCGTACGATTGATACAGATACTACTACGCCCTTACTCACGTCTGGTCAACGTCAGGATATCAATCGGTATCTAGAGATATTCCGCAACCGTGGTACTGACAAAGACAAATAGGGAATATGCACCAAAGTTAGAGATATCTGGGTATCGTAGGGTTTTCATTCAACAGCTTGTGTATCGGGAAAGAAGCAAGCGACCTCGGGCCCATTTTACCTCGACAGCTTCGGTCAATTAAGCATGCCTGGAGTCCAACGGAGTCCCTGGGCCAATCCTCACGAGAATGTCCATAGGAAATATTTTGATGGCCAACTCAATGGGCCGGGTATCTCGAAGAGTGTGGATTTTGTAATTGTCGAGAATTCCGAAATCTAGGGATTGATAGACTCGGGGAAAGCTCGCTGAGGAGGCAATCTTCAGACCTGATTGGAATGCCAGGCGGTTGATCCCAAGTCTGGAAGCCGTGATATCTGTTGTAATTACTTGTATAGCATTAATTCATCGGTCCTAGGTACAATAACGTCAACTCACTTCTCTGGAAGTCAAGTCCTGAGATATATCATCTGACTTCTCTTCCAATCATGTTCTGTCCGAGGAACAATGTTTGCCAGCGGCGAATCCGACAGCGAAAAGGAGAATCCCGACGCTTGGACATCAGGTTTATTTGTGACCTGTCAAGTTATCAGCCAAATAGAGGAACAACATTGGGTCATATGTGGAAGTGAGTCGATGTCGATGAAATAGTCCAAGAATTCCTCCGATTCCGGCTCGTATAATCCCAATTCCGTTATTTCCCAAAGAGCTACACAGCAATTAAAAAGTTACCCCGTGCCCCGTACTCTCCGTGTACCTGGGTGCGACGACACTCAGAGTGTCGGGGCGCAACGTTGAGGAAACCTCCACAGCCACCTTTTTAAGTTCTCACTACTCGCATCTCGTAATGATTCTGAGCAGCCCCCCCCCCCCCCCCCCCCCCCCCCCCAAAAAAAAAAAAAAAAAAAAAAAAAAAATTCCCCGCGCCGGTTTTCATGACCGTCGGGTCCTCTTTTTCAGGGGTCGGGTGTATAATTTTCAAGCCTCACTGGCATCTCCATGGTCCCACGCAGGAGAAGTCATGTTATAGTCCATCTTGGGAGCGGCGCATAACTGCTAACCGGTTGGATGAAAAGAGATAAATGTGGTCGGTTTGTCTAGCCAAAAGCACAGACTGATATGGTCGGGCCTGGGCCTAAACAACTTTGGCAGGCAGCACAATAATATTTCAAATGGCGATAGTACCATTATTTGTACGTCTGTCTAGATACGCTAATATACAAGAGAATGAACGTTCAAGCCTGGCTCTTATTGAAGATAGCCAAGCCACTTCGGTTGCAAAGAAATCATGGTGTCCAACATCTCCTCGGCTGCATGGACATTGTCGACAACGGGGTCAACAAGAAGCGCCTGAAGAGCGACTTTCTTGGACTTGGTTAAGATGGCCTCTGTCGTAAGGTCGTTGACGGCAACCTGAAGCCGAAGGAGTCCTGCAAATCCCTTGGGGTAGTGGTCAAACCCGATGCCGTGGACACCATCCTTGTCAATGGTGGCAGGGACTTCAACTGGCTGGTTTTGCGGTAGGTCCTTAATGAAGCCATCGTTGGGGATGTTGACAGACATCTCAAAGTGGCCATCGTTGGTGATGATACCTTCAATGATGGGAACCACACGCCAGTACTCCTCCACCGGTGTACCCTTCGCAACACGACCTAGCGCATCGTCCCGATTCGAAGACATTTCTGATTTGTAGCTATTATAGAACTCCATGATGCCCCGGTGATCAACAGCACTCTGGGCCCACTGTATGTACTCGCCAAAGTGGCTATCGGTAGTGATGGGTAGGTAGTCGAAGCGCTTAAGAATTTCCTGGAAGAGCTTGCGCTCACCGACATAGCCGAATGTCGATGGTGCCTTTGTGAAATAGGCGGGCGCCTTCTCCCTGATATCGGGGTATGCGTCTTTACAAGTGTCCTTGTATTTGGCCTCGACCAGGATACTGAAGTGGTTAAAGCCACCGGCTTTGAGATCGAGGTTCTCGATAGGAGTGTTGAGCATGATGGGCAGGTGCTCAACGAGAGAAACGACTTCGTGGCAGATTCCGGTGCACTTGAGCTTGGGGAACTTGGTGTTGATGGCGTGCATGATGCGAACCATAGGGTTGCTGAGGTTGATAACTTGGGCGTCCGGCGTTATTCGGTTGATCTTGTCGCAAATGTCCAAGATGGGGGGAATGATACGCATTGCGTGGAAGAAGCCACCAGGGCCGCCGTTCTCGCCGTAGACCTGCTTGAAGCCATACTGCAGGGGGATTTTCCAATCCTGCTCCCACAAGGTATGCCGGTCCCCCACTTCAATGGAAATGACGACAAACTGAGCGCCGACCAAGGCTTCGTCGAGACTGACGGTAGCCTCAACGGTAAAAGGGAGGCTGTTGTCCTTGATGTAATTCTGGGCAACATCCGCAACGAACTTGACAGCTTCGGGATTGATGTCATTGAGGACGATGGTGCTTCCTTGAAGGGGTTTTGACTTGAGGATGTCGCCGACAGCGCCGAGGCCGAACATGGCGCTACCGGCGCCGACAAGGACAATCCTAGAGGCCATGCTGGCGATGTGCGAATAGGCGGAAACAAGGTGATTTGAGAGATGTGTATGTCAATTGTAGAGGAGTTGAAGGGAAGGCATATCCTGGCCGAGAATGCGCTCCAAACTGACTTTTATGTAGCAGATGAGTGGGCCCGTTCTTGCATCGTGTCTGACGTACTGGTCCACGCACTGCTGACTCTCATGCCCGCAAATTCGTGACCGGAAGTGTTGAACTCTGGGTGAACATGGCCGGGGGGGCTAGGCTTGAGGACGAGAATGTGACTGGGGCTATCTTAGCCCTCCAATCGGAATCGTCGGTAACGGGCCCGGCGACTCAGACCGCTTCGGCGACTGAAACCCGCTAAACTGCTAAACTGCTAAACTCGTCTGGTTGTAAAATTACCTGCAAAACTGCAAAACTGCAAAACTGCAAAACTGCTAAACTGCAGAATTATAGACTGCGTGCAGTTTTACTACCAATATAACGATCTGCTAATCGTTCGCGTTACTTTGATTGGTGCAGCCGACGGCTGGGCGGATTGAGGACGTTCTGCGTCCTCTTCGCGAATTTGATACAAGACTGCCAGAGCCAAAGGGCGTGCAAACCCTTGGCAGGATCCCCCCATCCTCCGGCTAGGTAAGCCAGAGCTAGAAGTTTGATACAATGACGTCCTCCGACAGCTTCGCACCTTTCAGGTTCCTCCGCACGGGAGCCATCATCCAGTCTTGGCGCGTCGGCGGTCTCAACATCGTGCTCGGCTTTCCCACAGAAGACGTCTACGAGACACACAACGAGTTTTATTTTGGCGCCACCCTGGGTCGCGTTGCCAACCGTATCAAGGGCGCCATGCTCACCAATTTGAATGGAGCCCAGACATACTCGCTCCCTGAGAACGAGGGGCCAAACATTCTCCACGGGGGCAACAAAAGCTGGGGGAAGCGCAAGTGGGATGGGCCTAACAGAGTCGAGGTGAGGAAGATTGAAGGCCTCTTCGACGTCAAGGGGGAACAAAGTCTGCAGTTCTCCCTCCTGAGCGAGGACGGGGACGAAGGCTTCCCCGGGTCGGTGGACGCGCGCGTCACGTATACGGCCGGCTGGCAAACAACCGAACGTGGTGAGCAGGTGAGCGTGCTTCAACTAGAGTACGAGGCCGAGCTTGCTGGGGATGCTGAAGAAACAGTTATAAACATGACAAATCATTCGTGAGGCTCCCGAGGACTCACCCCTTTCCCCAAATTATACATGACGAGTCAACTGTTGAGACCAATGGGCAGTTACTTCAACCTTACGGGGGCGTCCACCATCACCGGAACCCAAGTTACGCTATGCAGCGCCCAGCACCTCCCTAAAGACGCAGAGAACATCCCCGTTTCAGGCCCGGAGCCCTTCCCCGCCATCAAAGCAAACGAGGCGTTTATTCTTTCCGACACGGCGCCAGTTGTTGACCACTGCTTCGTTATCAACGAAGCTCCTGAGACGATCCCCTTGGACACGCGCTGCTTACCTCTACAAAACATGGCGCAGACCTACCACCCGGAGTCGGGCATCCACGTAGAAGTCTGGGGCACGGATCCGGCGTTCCAGTTCTACACCGGAGAGAACACCAACGTCCCCGCAGTGGCGGGCATGGGGGCAAGAGGTCCGCGGAGCGCGTTTTGCGTAGAACCATCGCGCTATGTTAATGCGCCGGAGGTGGATGAGTGGAGGGGAATGGTTCTCATGAAGAAAGGACAGCGGTATGGGAGCCGCATCGTTTACCGGGGCTGGGTGGATAAGGATGGTCGCCAAACCTAGGCTAGGGATGGACAGTGAATACGGATCTAACCTATTTGGTGCAAGAGTGTCTCTATCTTAAATATATGTAAAAGGAATTCTAGAATTATTGAGGGTATTTACAGAAGGCACAGGCAGGATCCAAGTCCTGCGAGTCCGGCAGCTTATGTAGTGAGCGAAGCGCACAAATCGAGACATATGAGGTAGGGGTGGAGGAACTGCAAGCTTGAAATCATCCATATACCTGCTGGATGCGGTATAGCTTTATATAAAACAAGAGGGACTCCCCTATTAGCGTATATGCTGATCACTTTGGAGTAGCTGAGAATGAGAGGAGAGTAAACCCATCCTAATATGTCAATAACAATAATTATTCGTGGTAGTTCAGGTTGGAGAACACGGGGGTGTCGGAGACCACCTAACCAAACCAAAGCACGTGATGGCGAGCGGCCTAATCATCCTTAAATTGCTCAACACCATTGTGCAGCAATCATCGCCGACACCAGAGGGGACTTCTCTAGTCACGGGCGGGCCAAGAAAACCCAGCTTGAACTCGTGTACGATGTACCATGGCGGACCCGGAAGAGCCTCACGCGGAAGAACCTCACGCATCTACGAAGAGGAGGCGAATAACAGTCAGCCCACTCACCCTTCATCCCCTCCATCCCCTCCATCCCCTCCATCCCTTCCATCCGGTCGAGTACTAACTGCAGGTATTAGAGAGCCTGTGACAGATGCCACCGCTGCTGTCTCAAGGTATAGGTGAACTCCAGATTGACGCATGAATCCTACAGCCCACTAACTCTAGCAGTGCTCGCCGAGCTCGACGCCGCAGACGTGCCAACCCTGCGCTTCCTACGGCGTAGAGTGCACTTATAATCGTCCGATGAAACGTCGCGGCGTATGCCTCATAGAGCCCTACCTCGTCGTCTGTATCATCCTGCTGACTGGCCCGCAGCCGTCTGCAAAGCTCCAAACCTGGACTGCTGCCTGCACACCCGCGGAGCCTGCATCGCAAGCCGTGTCGGCAGCCTGGGAGTACCCTGAGATTGCCGATCCGTCCGTCATTGAGACTCTCGTAAACGTCTACCACAACGTCGTCCATCCTATGTACGAGACCCTATAATCCCCAACGAACCATAGCCCCGCAGTTACTAAAACAGCTTCTAGTCTCCTCTACTTCCATTGGCCAACCTTTCTAGCCAGCATCCGTTCCAAACGTTACATGCATGATCGCACCTTTTACGTCTTGACAATGGCCGTTTGTGCGACGGCTTCCACGCGTATCCACAACAGCGCCTCTATTGGTACACCGCCCGGTGTCTCCCGCGCCGCAGCCCCGTCATCTAAGGCGTTCTATCAAGCTTGTCTCGACGCACTCCCATCGCTGATTATGGAGACAGCCGACTTTGACTTGATGCGCACAGAGGCCCTGCTTGGGATGCTCTGCCTGGAATATAACGACATACGTGGCTGTTACGCGCACCAGCATCGGTACTTGGCTATGTGTTCTGAGATGGGCTTTCACGATGAGAAGCGATGGCCGCCTAATCTTTCTGAGATCGACATACAGGAGCGACGTCGCCTTGTGAGCTCCCTACAGCCCGGCACCAGCCCTTGCTATAATCTACCGGGGAGGAGTTTCCTCTACTAACCCTCTTTTATCGTAGTTCTGGCAGCAATACCATTTTGATATATACTTGGCCACAATTTTCGAGTCCCCGATACGGCACCGCAGCGAGACTCAATGCTACGTATTATACCCAGCAGAAGTGTTTGACGACGAGGACATCTCTGCCAGTGAGGTCACCATACGCCCTCCCGAAGAATACGTATCTTTTATCCGCGGGTGGAATTTTGTCACCGATCTTTATCGCATACTCGAGCGTGTCAATGAGCGCACACGAACACGGCAGCTAAAGGATGGCCATCCAGGCGGGCCAGTCAGCCAACTTTTTGCGAGAACGAGCTCCCCAAACGACAGCCCGAGCGCAAAGGATGTCTTGGCCCTGGCACAGGAGCTCTACGACAAGCTGCCCCCCATGTTCAAGCAGGCGAATCCCATATCGGGGAATCTGCGCGAGGACAGATATGGTTACCAGTGTCGGTTCTTGATTTCTCTCTCTCTCTCTCTTTTTTTTTTTTTTTTTTTTTTCGGGGGGGGGGGGGGGGGGGTTTGCTTTGCCGTCTCTCTGGCGCCGCGGATGGACTTTGAAAGCTGACTTTCAGCGATAGCCGCCAATATCGTTATCACAATGACAACGGTCGAGATTGTTCTGGCGGGATGTGAGGAGCAGAATGTTTCGAAACTGTGCGCCATGGCTGGCGAGCTTCTTGATCAGCTGTCCACCATCCCGACTGCATACATACAGTCCACTTCCTCCGCCATGGTAAGTCTGCCTGGGACATGCAGTCATGTGTCATGTACTAGGCGAGAATGAAACCGGGTGACGGACAAGGCGGGCGAGAAAACTCACACTGTTTACAGATACACCACCTAGCTGGAGTAGGGCATGTCCTCGGTCGTGTAGTCAATGCACCACTTTCGCAGTGGAGGTACATCCAGATCCGATCTACTCTTCTCGCCATGGCCGACCTTGTGAGCAGCTTGGAGACGGCGATTCGATCCACCGTCGGCATAGCCCCCAGGCTGCGCGACCATGTGAAGCGCATCGACTGCTACATGGCCGATGCTGCTAGGACGGGGAAGGACGAGCACATTCTGCATAGTGCGCTGCCGCCGGATTCATCATCCAATACGTCATTAAACCACATCCAAGGTCATGGTCAAGACACAGCGGTACGTCCAGCATCACCAAACTAGTCTCGAGTTGAAAACCACTAACGATACCCAGTGCGAGAAGGGTTCTAACTTGCCCGCCAGCTCCAAGCCTCCCCTAGACCCTGCCATGCCGCCACAGTCCTCAGATAGGTCGATTTCTACCGTAGATGGTCAGTCAGCTTTTATCCTGTCGCCGGAGGATTCTTTTCATTTTCAACTCCCTCATGACTTAGTTATGGATTGGCCTTTTGATTTTGGCCAGGGACCTGTATTTAATTTCCTTGGCTTCGACTAATCTCATACCCTGTCCGTCTGCGAGACTGCTCAGTGTCAGCACTTGTTCGCAGTCTCTATTTTCTTTGCTCTATCCCACTCAGCCTTTGCATCATTCGTTAAACACGAACCACAGCCATCCATCCAAGGTTTCTATGCCAACGCCACCAGATCGCTTCTTCTGATTCCTGGCAGCTATGTGGACCAGTAGATCCTAGAATTATGTGGTGCCCCAACTCTGGCCATCTGGTACGAAAAAAAAAAAAACCGACTCCCATCGTCGTTCTGGAACTATTCCCGACATAGGCCCCAGAGTGTAGCTTGATGTAGCTTGACTCGGCTACACAGCTCTCTTGAAGACAAGACCAGTACTCGGCTTAGTAGTTACATTTCTTCGTGACTCCACGGTGTAAAGAGATGATCCCGGCCCGGGTGATTCAAGGCAGCTTGTATGCCATTTCCTAACTAGTAGATGTGAACTGACGCTGTCAATACCAACCACTCAAGCCATTGTATGATTGCACTGTCAGTTGCTTCATTCCATGTCACACTCTCCCTAGACCTTTTTGGCCCATCAGCATTCCATGAGCATTTTCTTCTTGTTTGCTGAGCTATAATGACACACTCCCTTGGTCCCCTCACATCCTCCTCGTCATTTTAAGAGACATTCCTGTTTACACCGAGCTGGTAGAGCTTGCAATAATTTTCATGTACACAGAGGATAACCAGTCGCTTTAGACTTAAACTCTCTCTTCACCTAGACTAATGTACGAAGTGGAGCAAGTTGTAGGAGCTGAAAGAAACGCTGCCAAATAGAGGAGCAGGACCAGAGCAGCCGCCACCATCTCCACAGGTTCGAAGAAGCTTCTGTTAACCCGGCATGCCCAATGACTCAAACCACTTTACGCGTTCCTTTTCATTCCATATGGATGAGTTCGTATCACTCGATAGTGTGGGCGAGATACGTCATCGCTATTGTCTCGTTGAGTTCTTGGCCCAGGCCCGGAGCGTCAGGGATCTGGAACCGGCCATTCTTTGGTTGATAATCATTGACGCACAGCTCCCGAATGCACGGCTTCAAGGCAAAAGTATGGTGTTCGTGGATAATGAAGTTGGGGATTACGGCCTCTAGGTGCAGAGACGCCGCGGTCGAAACGGGGCCGCCGCAGACGTGAACTTGCACGGTTGCATCGTACATGTTGGCAAGGTCGCATATCTTCTTGCCCTCGGTAATTCCACCTGCAAGGCAGAGGTCGGGCTGGACAACGGCCAAAGCCTGCTTCTCCAACAGCTCTCGATATCCCCACCTCGTATAGGACCGCTCCCCCGTAGCCACAGGCAATGTAGTCTTGTCAGCAATTTTTGCGAGGCTGTTCGGATTCATAGGGTTGACAGGTTCTTCGTAGAAGTAGATGTTGTATGGCTCGAGAGCCCGGCCGAACTGGATAGCGGCGTTAGTACCCAGGTTGGAGTGGATTTCGCAGATGATGTCCACATCCGGTCCGACGGCCTCGCGGATGGCGGCGATTCGCTCAACGCCCTTTTGTGTCTCGCCGTGGCTCAGCAGACCAAAATAGTCCCGCTTGAGCCCCGTATCAGGCATCAGAGACCCGTCGCGTCCAACCTGCAGAGGGTCGACTTTGATGGCATCGTAGCCCTCGGCCAGCGCCAGCCGGGCGGCTTCAGCATAATGCGAGGCTTCAGTGGCCAGCAGGCGCTTGTCGCCCCAGCCAAACTGGATTTGGCTGGCGTAGGTGCGCAGGCTGTCGTTGGTCTTCCCCCCGAGCAGCTGATAGATTGGGGCCTTCAGCACCTTGCCCCGGATATCCCACAGAGCGATGTCGTATGCGCTGATGCCGCCGTAGACCACAGGCCCGCCACCCATGCCCCAGTAGGTCCGGCGGTACATGTCCTCCCAGATGGCTTCCACGTTCATGGGGTCTTTGCCTAGGACGAACCGAGCGAGGTCACGCAGCATACCCACAGCCGCTTTAGCACCAGCACCGTAGGCGAGCCCAATCTCTCCCAGGCCAGATATGCCCTCATCCGTGTGAACTCTGACCATGACAGGGTTGAACGCCGGCATGGAAGGATCACGACGGTTCACTTCGCAATCGAAGATCTCGATCTTGGTAACTTTCATGATGGTCTGGCTTGAACACACTTTCCCAACTCGAAACTGCGCGGTGTCGAAGCAGGCTGTAGACTGCGTGGTCAAAGAAGGGTAATGGTTGTCCCGTCCGTCTCGAGTTAAACGAGAAGCAAAGGGGCCGGGAAGAAACTAAAAGATGCCGCCGGATGAATAAGCGGCTAATCCAGAGGCTAGAACAATCTGCGAAGTAAGTACATGGAGGCGAGTCAGTGTTCGCAGGACTTGTCACCCAGCAGCTTTTCCAGGTTGCAAACCATCACCAGGTGTCCGGTCTGTCTACCTCAATGGGCTTTGCAGTTTAGCAAAATTTAGCCGGGAGTACGCTAACGACTTGGTAAACCCGGTTAGTTACCTTAGCTCTGCTCACTGCTAACGGCGAAAACTGGCGCAGGAGGTTTCCGGGTTCAATTTTGCAGTTTATCAAGACGGCGAAGACCGCATTAATTACTAGCCAATACTTATTCTGGTTAGTAGACTTCTGGGGTATGGGGAAGATCCGGGGACAACGAGGGGCACAGGCGGGGTACAGGCGGGGTACAGGGAAGAAACGCCGAACGACATCCTATATTGTCTGCATTGTGGTGATGTTGTGGGCCGTTAGCGTTGTTTGAATGCTCTTTCTTTCACAACAATATCGGTGGTAGACGGACGCACCTCAGCCAGGCTCACCTTCGACAGCCTGGTTTGTTCGCCGACCCTACATTAGCCACATTAGCACCCTGGACCCTGACCAACACATAGCGTCGCAGTCCCCGTCCCCATACCGAACCGAGTACATGGATCGTTTTGCAAGCTAAGTTACGTTCAAGTTGCTGTCAGTGATCCAATGCCAGCCTCTCAATGCTCTCGAGCTATAAAGCAGCCGGATGCCCCTTACCCACATTTTGTTTGATCATGTTTCCTCTTTGCATCTTGTTTTCTCCTAGTTGCAGCTTGCACAATGGCTGGAGGCAGAACGCAAGCGTCTTTCGCCGAGTTTCCTAGTGAGTTACGGTGGTTCTCCAGACAAATGGCCGCAAGTTAGCTGAGCTGATCACGTTGTCCTCATCTGCTCAGACAACACCAACAAAAAATGGTGGAAAGACCCGGGCCTCCGCAAGAACGTCTTTTACGGCCTAGGGTGCATGTTTTGCCCTTTATATCTCGGATGCAAGTGTGACGAGCCCCCTAGCTTGAAGCCGCAGCTGACCGTTCTGGCTAGATGACCAGTCTTTGCTTATCGGCCTCCAAGCACTACCTGCATGGAATGAGTATTTCGACCATCCCAGAGGCACTTTACTGGGTCTGGTCACCGCCGCCATCATGTTCCCCGGCATTGTCGCCGGCTTTCCGGCCGCGTGGATCTGTATGCACTGGGGTCACCGATGGTGCGTCATGATCGGCTGCATCCTCACCATAATTGGCGCCATATGGATCGCCTTGGCCCCGAACATGACTCATTTCATCGTTGGTAAGTTGGCGCTTCTACGATGACTTGCCAAGCTCACCCATCTACCTTTGTAGCTCGTGTTATTGTCGGTACCGGAGGTGCTGTCTCCAAAATTGCGGCACCCGCCCTTCTCCAGGAGAGCATGCATCCAAGGCTTCGTGCTCCCATAGGCAATATGTACTTTGGTTTCTACTACGTTGGCTCTATACTTAGTGCAGCCATGTCCAGTAAGTCTTACACCCTCTGGCAATGTGTTGAAGTCTTCTACCATACTTTCTCCAATCTAACAATCCGCTCAAGTTGGTAGTCTCTACATCAAAGGCAACTGGAGTTGGCGCCTCCCATGTTTGGTAATGGTGGTTCCCCCCGCCGTCATCATCGCGATTATTTATCCGGCCCCAGAATCTCCCCGATTTCTGGTCAGCAAGAGGAGAAATGGCGAAGCCTTGGATATGCTGGCGCGTTATCATGCTAACGGGGACTCTAATGATGCCCTTGTCAGGTGGGAGCTACGTGAGATTGAGTTTGCACTCGAGGAGGAAGAGCATAATAACAAGTCTTCATATGTAAGTCGGATTGGCGGTGCCAAACCTTGAGCCTGATTTTTTGACCACGTCGTCTAGTTGGACTTCCTCAAAACCAAAGGCAACCGCAAGCGTCTTGCTGTCTCCATTGCCGTCGCCCTTGGTTGCAATTGGGTTGGCAACGGCATCGTATCCTAGTTAGTGTGCACAGAGCTCCTTTAACCCGCATATCCAGTTCTAATCGGTTGAGCCATAGCTATCTTGTTCCTGTTCTGAGATCCGTTGGCGTCAGCGAGCCAGCCAAAATGCTCTCCATAAACCTCGGCCTAGCCGTTTGGAATTTGATCCTCGCCGAATGGGCCGGTATAAATATCGATAGATTCGGTCGCCGTCCACTTCTCCTCACATCCACTATCGGCATGATTATCTCATACTCTTTCGTCATGGGCTTCTCGGCCGGATTCGCCGAGTCCAACCGCAAAAGTCTCGGCATTGCCGCTATTCCCTTCCTATTCTTCTTCTTCGGCTTCTATGACATTGCCTGGACACCCCTTAACTACTCGTACGTCGTCGAGATTATGCCATTCCATCTTCGAACCAAGGGACTCGCAATCTACAACTTCGTCCAGCTTATTGGAAACTCCTTTAATCAATTCGTCAACCCGATTGCTCTTGACGCTATTGCTTGGAGGTACTACGCGGTGTACATTGGCGTCGATCTAGTCTACGTTTTCCTCATCTACTTTTTCTTTCCCGAAACCAAGAAGCTCTCGATTGAAGAGGTTGCCCTCATCTTTGATTATGACATCAAGGATGCGCACAAGAACGCGGCTGCCAATTTTGAGACTCGGATGTGCGCCGATACGACGGCCAAGAATATAGAACTGGACATCCAGGACAAGCCCGATCACATTGAGTCTCATGGAAAGGGCATCGGTCAAGAGGTTAAGGGCTGAAAAGTAGTGTCGAATTAGATGTTAGATAGAGCTGAACTGGTGTGAGAGAGCCGAATACTGGGAATCTTCCTGAAAGTGGCCCAATAATACTTCGTGTCTCGAAGGAAACACTACTATTTGCTAAAGCGCCGGGGTTACGTTGAAAAGATACGAGTAATTTTTACCATCATGGCCCAGGATTTTCTCAACTTGCATTTTGGGTCTTATGGTCGGTCTGGTTAGTGATTGTTCGGATAAGGGCGAGCTCTTTGTTCGTGGCGTTATAGAACCAAGCGGTTTCCGGAGCGTCCGGCATCGCGAAGCTGACGAGAACACTCCCAAACCAACAGTTACAGTGCCTTAGGTAAGGAAGATATATTTCAAGGGCGAAGTCCCGTTCGGCGTTTCTTCAAGCGTGGAAAACAATCGCGGACGCCCCGAACACGCACTCCCACTGCTAGCAGCAACAGACCAGTCCTCGGGAAGTTCGACGGCGACGATCTCTAGAAACAGTGTTCATGATTCACGAGATGAATAGAACAAAGATCCAGTGAGAGCGGGCTTGCCCAATCCCGTGGGTTGCCAGGATGACGGTCTTAGACTTTCTAGTCAAGTTCTTTGGGGAGCAAAACGATATGCAGCAATCTTGTAAGTGGCTGTCACGACGGTGGAGTCGCCAATGATCGATGGGGTGTCGGGGGTCTGGCGAATGGTGGCAGTGGCAAGGAAGTCGACGAGGTCATAATCGGTCTCCCACCTAGGCAGGGCGAACTCGATCACGCTCGGAGAGACTGACACGGGGATTGTGAACTCCACGCAGTCAGCAGTGGGGGGGTTAATATTAGACCTTGGCCGGGTGGTCGTCGTGCCCACCATGCCCGCCTTTACATGCGAGTGTGAGAGGGAGAGGTGCTGTCAATACCCAGAGGCTGAGAGTAGCGAAGTGGTTGAGGATTCCCATGTTGTTTGTTCAGAGAAACTAGAAAAGAAGAAGAGAAACGGGAAAAACAAAGATAAACGGGCGAATGTCTTCACAGTGACCTGGAGACTCAAGTCTGGCTGGTGAAAGTGAGTTGAGGACTCTGACATGGCTTTCTTTTCTTTGTCGACGAGTCCAAGTCTGACTTATATAGTCGTCTAGTCATCACTCCAGAGTAAGATGAGCCGTCACTCTCAGGGTCAGCGTCATTGAAAGAGATGTTAGAAATGGCCATCTCGTACAGCCTCCATGTTGTTTCTCGCGCTTTCAGCGTGGTATTTTGCGAACTGACTGCCCCACAGCCCAGGAGAGGTTGACGATGAGGCCGCGCCGGATTTGACAGCATACCCCGTAAAACACAACATTCTTGGCGCTCTTCGGCTCACGGGGGTGAAGCCCCATCGCGCATTGTATTCAAATTTCGTGTGCTACCAATAAAAACTTCTCCGCAAGCTTTGGCTTACTTGCTGCAGGCCGCTGGTGCCCATCGGGGAAAAAGGTAAGAGGACGCTAACCTCTTTCGAGAAGAGAATGCGAGGTACATGTAGCTAGGGCTGAGGTGACAAGGTGTGTGGGCCGCAGGATTCATTGGCTCCCAGGTTGGTGAGATCTTCGCCAACAAAGACACCGGCATGTTAGATGGATTAATTGCGAGGGGAAAGACGAGGTGAGGAAGAATATCCACGAAACTTCCTCCAAAAAAATCTCCAGCGGTAGTACAATCCGAGGTGCAGCACATAAATTAGACGTAAAGCTCGTGAGCTATGGCTGGAGTCGCAGGAGGATCCAAAGGCTGTCGGACGTGCCTCAAACGCCGAGTGAAATGTGGTAGGTCATGTTGTTTCTAGACCCGGGGCTGTGTCTCGCTTGCTCACAAACTGCCGCTCTCCAGACGAGCAGCGCCCTTCTTGTGGACGCTGCGCGAAAGCAGGTTACGAGTGCCTGGGGTACGAGCGAAAATTCCAAATATTGAATCATACTTTCCCCGGCGATAAAAGCAAAGGCGGTAAAAAAAATGACGTGGAAGCCGGCCGAAGTCCCTTCCCAGGAGGCGCTCACCATACCCCTTGTGCTCAGCCCTAATGCTAGCTTCGAGACCCCAGCCAATGCCGGAGAGGGTTCGGTGCCACAGTCGCTAAGTCTCATTGCTTTTAAGGATGTCATGGAGTTTAGCTATCTCCTGGATAATTTCGTTTGGCGTACTTTTGCTTGGCCGTGGTTCCAAATGTCGGCCCAGGGCAAATTTGGCCAGCTCTCACTGGACGCCTGCTAGGCTTTTGCCCAGACCGTTTTCGGCAAGCACCACCACCAAGAGAGCATTGAGACCCAGGGTCTCATGACCTATGGTCTAGCTGTCGGGGGTCTCTCCCAGGAACTAAACAATCTGGATAGAGACTCCACTCTCGAAATATCCCTAATACGACCTTTCTTGTAAGCTTATGTGAATGGATAGATGCATCAGAAGACATTGATTGGCCAATCGGTTGGACATAATTCTTCTTTCAGGACAAGAAATGCAAGATGCAGCAGTGCTGGAATGGTTGACCCCCTCGTAGGGATTTTGAGGGATCACAATAACACAGCCTGAGATCGATTCGTAGAATCTACGGATCTTACAGCTAGCATTATTTTACTGAGATCATAAAACCGCAAAGTAATTAATATTTATTTGCCGTCCACGCACCCATCTTGGCCGTTCGGTCGTTCATTTTTCATAAAATCCCCAACAGAAACGCAGGTGAAAAGTGCGCACACCGATGGCCATTTTCGGATTCAAAGCTGAGCTCTGGTATCGTCAGGGCTGAGCATGACTAAGCACCGCTGAGCGAGAGCTGAGCAAGGCTGAGAGGGGTGAGCAAAGTAAACCGGCCGGACTACATTTGGGAACACGGGAGCCCAAAACAAAGCCAAGGCACAGTGCCTCATTTTTGACCACCCTAGCGATTCTTACCAATTTCGTTAGCATGAAGAAAAGCTGGCCAGGGATATTTTTGCGGACCTAGTTTCGGGCACACATCATAGGATCGCGCTGGTATTACAGAGACCGGGGTTGAAAAAAAAATCTATATAGCTAACAAGTACGATAAATCTCAAGGCTTCTGGTATCGGTATACTGAATATTCATAGGGAAAATAGAGAGGCATTATAATTGTTTATGGAGCCATGCCGTATCGTAAGGATACGAAAATAACTGGTTAAATAGACTAAATGGAACTCCGACGAAGATTGATGGCAGCCCATGACAGCTGAATCTAGAACATAGCCATTTTACCGGCACTTCCGGAGCAAATGGTAATTTTCTACGTGGCCATGGTTAAACTAACGGTGTGGGCACGGGGAATAGATCATCACGGTGTCGGCGTCTGTGGCTTGGGAGCCTACGCCTCCAGAGGAAGGGGATGAGGCAGACCAACGGAGTCGTAGTTGAGACTCGGACTGCCCCGGTAGGGGCCCAAGAAGAGGATGATACAGTTTTAGCTGCCACTTTCAACCCAGTCTATTCGCTAATCGCCCGATATTATGCCGCCATGCATGCTCGCGAATACAACAGTGAGTCATTGCTAGACGCCAGAGTTGCAACAGGCTAGGCGCAAGAGAAATTTGCTTACCACTCTCGACTAGCCTGATGACCAGAATGTTATCGGCCTCTTCGCATGGCCTCGATGAGAATCCTGTGGTCCCTATCATGCGATAAGCCCTGCCACGGTGAAATTCTCTAGCCCATAATCGGCGTCAAATCTAGTTTACCTGTTTCTACGATATCCCCGCATATTTGCTACACATAAACTAGACACTCTGAATGCATTCAGGAACGCCAATCCCGAGCCATCTGATTCTTCTCCAAGACGTGCTGCTCGACTTCACTTTGCAGCCGTCTCGCGATATGACTCTTGAGGATACGAAAGCACTCGCAATATGGCATGACAAGACGGGAATGTTGAGCAAGAAGCAGATCTAAACTGGGCTCTGGACGAGTTCTACGACAAGCACGCTATCAAAGAGAGCATGGAGGCTGGCTTCAAGAAACACCCCAGGACGGATACGAAGTAGGAGTCGGATGAGGCTAGCTAGATGGCCAAGTGAGGTTAGCCCCTAAGAAGTCGCTCGAAAGCTTGATTGCAGGCAGCTCAGTTTCCATCGAAGTTCACTCGAGCTGACTGATGCGCTGGGTTCGATACAGGATGGACATTGGACCCGGCTTCGGGATCGGCATTGGGAAATTTGAGTTGACAGTGAAATGGATATTGGAATCGGTCGACATGATGTAATGACAGTTTCCATATTCCTAGTTGAAAGTTAAAGCACTCGTTGCGAGACTGCTTCTCTTTCTGGCTGCGCGTCTCCCTATTCGCCCTAGCTTTCGTCAGATGCCAGTACAGCGTCCGCTTCTGCGACTCCCGACTTCTCATCTATCAACCTCAAAAGGGCGTGCTTATTCGGTAGCCGAGAACGATCGACCCAATCTCTCACAGAGAGTGTTGAACTCGGCAATGGCTGACGCAACCTCTTGCCACCGCATGTTTCCTCCCACCGCTGCTTTACTGATCCATACGGATAACGGTCGACTCTCAGTCGAGTTCCCATGTTTACCGCCACGTCCAGCTCTAGCGGTTTCCCACTATCAGGGTTCATCTCCATGGTATATGCCAACCACGCATCATCTGCACCGGTCAGAATCTCCCTTCCATCTTCAATTTTGAGCGTCAGGTACAGATCTGCGCCGTTTCTTATGAAGCATTCCAGCACCAACCTACCTCGTACTGCTCAAAATGGTCGCGTGGGAGATAATCATCAGAACTAGTATCTCCCTCTGCCGAATCCAGTTCGAGGCTGGTTTGGGACTGCTCATCATCAGAAGCGGTACCTCCTTCTGATGGTTCCAGAGTGAGACTTCTTTCGGATTGCCCATCATAATACCTAGGATTACCCTCCTCAAAATCGCCGCATGCGGCAGCCACAGCAGCCCACCAACAGAGAAAATGCTGCCAGAGGGACAATCGCTGGTTTCCGGCAGCAATGCGGACGATGCCGAACTCGCCGCCGAACGCCAGGCGAGTCAGGAAGTTTGGAGACAGAATTTGCTGTTTGAAAAGATGTTCCAAGAAATAGAGGCCTGCGGCTTTCAAAGCAGTTTCGTTAACGTCCGATTCGCGACCCCAAATTCGGCCGATGCCGGTTGCTATCGCATAGTATGAAAGCATGGCGAGGGCGTCAGATTCTATAGGCATTTCGTAGAGGCGTGATATCCTCCATAGTGGATACTCTAGTCGCCCTGAGCACAGTTCGGTGAAGAGAGGTGAGATCACGGCGGTCGAGTAGTCTTCTCGATCATCAACTTCTTCGTCGTATGGCCTCCATGGCACCGCCGAGCTCTCGGTATCAGACTTGTCGTCCTTCTTTCTCCAGTATATGCTGTCATTGACACACTCTCGGGGCATTCCGTCGCAATAATCTATCGATATATGTTGAACTCGCGAGGTGTGGCAGATTTCATAGTGTGAGTATGGCAGGATTTCGAACTGATCGCGTAGCTCTTTAGTCGGGAGTTCCAGGTATTTTTCCCAGGAAAGATTGATTCGAAATGCGGTCTTGTTGGAAATCAACGCGCGGCTCATCATTGCGCTCACGGAGAGTTGGGGAATGGTATCAAGAGATTTAAGGAAGCCAAAAGGCGGCGCGTCGAGCTGTTGCTGTCGTCGTAGTTCGAGGAGGCATGCAACCAGTTTTGAGTGACGGCTGAGAATCCCCTCTTCCACCTTCATTACTTCAACATCTTTATTCCCATTCTGTCGTTCTGTATCCCACCAATATTGCTTTATGCTCGCGAGTTTTAGTTGGGACAGCGCTTCCAGGTTGTTGAAAGACTCGTCGTGCATTTTGACCAGAACCTTCTTCTGCTGGAAAAAGTCCCGTACGGAACGATGGATGAAGTCGAGGTCTGTGTCGATATTTGCTTCCACAAGTCCTCTGCAGACGCCTCTTAGTTGCCTCCTAGCACGAACTTCGCTCTCTTTGACTGACTCGTAACCCTGCCCTGGAAATCTCTCACTTTCAGCAAACCGTAGGTCGGATTCGTAGTCCTCAAGGAAGTAGAAATCGCTCAAGTTTAGCCATAACTGCATCTTTTTGACCTTTTGGATCTTATCCAGGAAAAGGAGAAGGGAGACGGTGTGGCTCGCCATCCGGCGATGTCGCATTCCAAGGGTATCCAGAATTCGTTGGAATAGTTCGTCCAGCTCGATCGGGAGTGACTGAATCTCAGCTAATAGCTGAGAAAACCTAGCCCCATCATCTGACTGTTTACGAATATTTTGAACAACTAGGACAACCCAGAGGAACACACCCTCTGCCTTCGTGGTGATAGATGAGGCGAGTTGTCGGCATTCATTCTGCGTTCCGACATGTTGCAGATTTCCCTGAACATATTCCTCCATATCTGCTCTTGTCAGCTTGTGAAGATAGAGCCTGATGTCCTCAGAGAATAAATCCATGAACGGGTTCTCCATACGACTCGACACGCATATCTTAAAGCTACTGGAGGCGCTATTGGCCACATCTAATAGGGTATGTACCATCTCGCGACGGTCGATGGAGGTGGTCGCCTGATATTCGTCGAGACCATCGATAAAGAAGCTGAAATAGCATCCACCAAGGGTTTCGCAATTGCGCTGCTTCGCTAGACGTTCGAAAGCACACTTAATTTCCTCGTCAAGTATCTCGAATGCTGAATGAACCTTCTGCTGTGAAAGAGCCTTAACCCACTGATCCGGGAGAAGAAACTGTATGAGACCTGGGCTTGCTGTTAAGATTTGGTAGAGTAGAGTTCGGTAGAGGCCCATCAAAGACTTCTGTCGAGGATCTGAGCCAAGGGAATAAAAGAAGAAGTATGCTATTATTAGTCTTCGCCCTCCTTTAGCTCCTGAAAAAGTCGTCAGCTAATAAAAAAATATAGTAAGACACTTCCTCTATAGGTTGGACTTACTCATCCACTTCTCGAGCTCTATTCTAGTCCGCTCATGCGTACATAGCTTCTTCACTAGTATAGGTCAGTCTTCAGGGAAGTCGTAAATATAACAAAGGCATAAGGTATTTTCACTTACTTAGTGTAGACTTCCCCGAGCCGAGCTTCCCACATATGTGGAAAATACCGTCTCCTGATGATAGCCACTGGGTGAACTTGGTAGCCTCTGGAGACTTGCCGCTGAGGTCCAAAATCCATTCGAATGTGTCTTTAAAAGGTTTATCGATGCTCTGGTAGCGATAGGATATATCATCGAAGCCTCCCTTGATCCCTCTTAGGATTCGATCTTGGGCGACCTCATTTAGTGTGTCCTGCCCGACATGTAGCAAGGTTTTCAACTGGTTCAAGATTTGATTGCTGATGGAGTTGTCCCTCATGGCTGTCATGTTTTGTAAAGTCTGTCTTAGTTGGGTGATGGAGAGCTCGAGTCGAGTCAACTTTGCTCCATCTTCTTTATATGTGGCTAGTAGTGCCTTGAGATTTTCACTTGCATCGTTGAGTTAGTCACTATATTCTTTAGATGACCTTGTAATCCGTTAAGGTACACAAGGTACTTACCTCGACAAGGTGGAGACGTGGAAATGAAGCTGATCGCGGCATCTTTGAAGCTGCTGCTCCAGATCTCTGATCTTCGGCTCCACCAATAATGTTTTCAGGGCCGCAAGGCTGCTCCGAGCCTTGGATTTGCGCCGTTTGGGCCTAAGGCTTTGCAGCTCCTCTCTGATGTCATTTGATAGCCTGTTGCACTCCTGAGCTAGAGTGACAAGAGCTCTGTCCTCTTCGGCCATGGCAGACTGGTTTGGAGGACTTAATCGCTTCAATATAACAGCCATGCTATCGGCCAGCTTCAAACGCATCTCCGTCTCTTCTGAAGACCCTTCGGCCGAATTGTAAAGCGCCCATGATAGTTTCAGAATCTTCCCCGCCGCATCGACGAATGTGAGAATCCCCGAACAAAGGGTCCATTGTCGACAGAGAGTGAGGGAACGAATTCTTGAAACAGAAGAGCTTCACTTATGAAATTGTGCACAGCTGAGTGGACTAGACTTTGGCAGATGTAAATCTCTGTCTTGACTTGTGCTGAGTGTGCCTTGTGCGTGTCGGCTTTGAATGGTTCAACGACAGAGACCTCCACGATCATTGCGGCGGAATGCGGGCGTTATGGTCTGTCGCTAGCCGCCTGCATGTTCTCGGGCGCTAAAGCACGTGACAAACCTCTTTTCGATAACGTGATTTCACGTACGCGCCGGCCACGTGGTCGCACGGGCCAGTGTTAAGATTTGCACAGACATTTTGCTGCCGCACTAACAGCAAAATTCCCGTCTTAGTTCCACTGCTAATCTTACTTGATGCAGCAACCTTAACGTTGACTACGGGACCATACCGTCGCGCGTGATTGGCGGGTGAGCTCCAGCAGACTGCAGATATTCGTCCGGATCCCCGTTAGATCTCGCGACTCTGATAAACATGGTCTAAGCCACTCGACCCGCAAACTCTGCCGAGAATGACCGTTTCTCGCATATTACATAACCAATTACTTCGTATGTCAGAAACGCTAGGACTGACGGCTGCTAGCAGCCGTCAAAAACGGCCCGCCTCGAGTGGTCGTAGGGCAGACCATTTAAGGACACGCACCGAGAGCGCCGGATCAGAACAATCGGAGTCGCAGCAGTCATGATCAACAACCTCAGAGACACGGAATAATAGACACTTTTGAGCCCTCAATTGGCTGCAGTATATCTTTCAGCTGCCAATTGAGGGCTCAAAAGTGTCTATTAGGGTAGGGAAGTGGGAAGTGGGAGAAGATCTTCTACCCGATAAATAACTTTGTTAGAAGGAAAGATTAGGATACTAATAACATAGCTAAAATGGGATGGGACGACTCAGGATAGAAAGGGAAACTAGCGTACTTATAAGAACGTACGGTACCAAGGCATATAGAGAGAAGGGCAGTATAGGTATTCTGTTTTGCCCCTTGGGGCGTATATGCATGGCCCCCGGGAGGTGGCCGTTATCAGCTCCCTCGGTTATAGTTCAAGCAATTCGCACTCTGTGGCGCTAGCCGGATTAGCGCCGGAGCAGGGTCAACATTGGCCGAGCACGGGGCGACTAGCGCCAGAGCAAGTTTCCGCAAAGAGGTGAAGCGATACGTGATTCCCCTAGGTGCAAGCGGTCGAGATTCGGGCTAGGAAACATTCCATTCCGGCATCAAATACCGGGCAGCAATCGGGCAGCGCGCAGTAACTGTAATTCTCGGCCGAGGTAAGCCGAGTGCCAAAGTCAGGCTCAGCCTATAATATTACGATCCCATTACAGAGACCGTTCGTTAAATATTGAATTACGTAGAGGCATTACGATCGTTCATGAGCCATATCGCATCTTGAGAATACTAGGAAAACGGATTAAATAAACTAAAGAAAGCTCAAGTAAAAAATCATGGCGGCCCACGATAGCTAAATCTAGGGTAGAAACCATTACAGGTTAGAAAATATCTTAGAATAGAGAACGTCATAGTGCAAAGCTGTCCCTAGAATAAGAAATATCGTAGTGTGTTGGTGCGTAGGGCGATGGGCTGCGGCGCCGCCACATTGCGGATCGGTGCCGCCACGAAAGCCCGAAGTGCCGCATATCCAACCCTCATTTACATATAAAAGGCAAAGGCCGCTCTAGTTTCGTGGAATAGATCTCAATGAAGAATAACAGCGTAGAAGAAGGCGAAGGGCGACGTTGCGGCAGCGGGCAATCAGTCGTTCCCTGTCGGAGCACTGCCGCGAAGGTTATTCTTTTACTATTCTTTTCTCAATATTACCTCTTTTTATCTTAAAATTTCTTTCCTTTTTCTTGGATGTGACGTCTCACGATGCAGACTCCGACAGATCGTTGACTTCCCGATGTCCTACTTGACCACTAGACCATTCTGACGACCATTGGAGCATTTCTTCTTTGCGGCGTGGCTCCCAGCCACTGCCAGTTATTCCAGTGAGCGGGCGACGCAGACCTGTTTGTGTTGTTGGGTTGTGCTGCTCGGCTCCGACAAAGTAGGCGAAAGAACATGCCGGCGACTTGCAATATGCTAGACTGGGGGAGAAACCAGAAATCGCTGTCGTCGAGTGAGCCGACTTTATGATCGCTCCGCGTCACTGCAAATCCTGTGAGACTCACGACCACGATAGCAAGCGTGACAGTCACCATTAGGGTGGTAGGGTCGTACTGTGGAGCATATCAGCGCCTCGGTCCTTTAGGTATGCAGCTGCCCGGGGAGATAATGGACGAAGGTGCCTACTAACTTTGCGATAGGGGTCGCCTGTATCGGTGGTATCAATTGCATGAAGTGTCTCTTGCAGCGCGATGGGTTGATTTCGAGCTGTGACAGCCTTGAGTTCGGAGGCCGGAGCAGGACGCCGAAGGCGAGTTGGCTCAGCATGAGTACGTCTTCCGGTTTCAAATCCAGTCGTGCTACCGCTGGTTTTTTCAAGAATTTCCTTCTACAGCCGACGAACTGCACTTGTCTTCCCTTCGCGTATATAAGCGGCATGAAGATACCAATGATGCCCAGAAGACAATATGCCCAATTCTCTTCGTGAGTGGTCTGGCGTGCCGTCGCCCATCTGAACCGCTCCTCGGTATCCAACCGAGAAAGGTCCCGCCCCCTCAGGGCTAGAATCGCGATCCCGGTGATTTTGTGGATCTATTGCTCGAGAGACCTCTTGTCGCCAAGCGCCGGCCGTCCTGTGTGAGGAACTCGACTGATGCCGGTGCTAGAAGCTCTTGTAACGTCCAGCCCCGCGTGAACCATCTGTGCGCTCGAAAGGCTGGGCCCCATGCGAGCCCCGCGTGCTAGCTTTTCTCGTAGCTGGCAACCGAGATATCCGATAAGTATACGTAGCACGCTGCATTCTGGTACTAGCGGAACATAGAATTGATCGCCGTTGAGAGCTCGTTGTTATTCAATTTGTCGATGCAGCATGTATCCACCCAGAAATAATGTAGGCCGTCGTGTCTCCCTTGTTCTGCGCAAAACCGGATCTTCGTGTAGCCGATCCTATCCTGTTCAGCACCATCGACCAAGTCTCTGAATTGTGACCTCTTCCGTATCCGGGCCCCTGCTCCTGCTTCTTTGTTTTGTATCTCTGCAATCCCTTCTGTTGGCCAGATCGCCCTGCTCCGTTCCAACAGCAGACCGGCAACAAGCCCGTATAGCTCAGTGGTAGAGCGCATCACTAGTACGACCTAGTGCAATGATGAGGTCCCTGGTTCGATCCCAGGTGTGGGCATTTTTTTGTTCGTTTCTTTTTCCTTTTTCTTTTTTGGCCAGGGCTTGGCTAACGTTCTAATACGGTTAAATAATATATGCGTGTATTGAATCAATACGGTCTGTCCCATTGTGGTCTCCTCCGTGACAAGAGGAGGGAGCTAGGACAATTTGAATCGGCGAAAAGGCTGAAAAGTGGAAACTGGCGCCCAGAACGTCTAAGATTGCCCTCTCCAGACCAGAACCAGTCTCTTCATCATTCCAACGAGGCGAAGCGGATTTTCCACCAGACATGCTTCAGGAAACGGCAGAGTCCTACAGTCCCCGTCCCGGTGGGTGGCCCCGGTGATAGGTCATCTCCGTTGACAGGCACGGCATTTTTCTGTAGGCACAATCAAACACGCCGGAGCTTGAGAGGATTTTGCAAATCTCAAATTCCCAAGGTTGATTTTAATCTTCTTTATATACACGGACCTTGTAGTCGTCAAGCCACTTGTCCTCGATGATGACGAGCTGCGACTCTTGAGTCTTTTTCATATACGCATCCTCCGGGGTGTCTCGGTAGTCTTCCCTGTCAACATCCATGAATCCCTCCTTGGCCACTGAGCGAGGGGTGATCATAAGCGATCGTCCTAGACTAGGTGTCAGTGACTGGCTCTGTAGGGGCATAAAAACTCATTGTTCCAAGACTTATTGAGGTCTTACCGTTGATGGACTTGTCAGTGGAAATCCTCAACATGCAGCCGGCAACATCAATTTGCTCTCCGAATTCGACTCCACGGTCAATCAACCACTTCTCGTACTCTGCGGTACGAATGGCGCTCTTAATCCAGCACGGGGCGACGTAGTTGATGCGAATGCCCTGTTCCCAGCTGGACCGGCGGACGGTTTTCATGAAGCCCCTGAGACCATGCTTGGTGGCAGTATACTCCCAGTTTCCCTGCAACAGACACTTTGTGTGAGAATGGGAGCTCCGAGGCGACATGATAATGCAACGTAGATACAAAATAAGAGGCATGGGGGAAGTAGACATACTGGAGAGTCGATGTAGGCAACCATGCTTCCCGTGATGATGAAGCATCGGTCTCTCTCTTCAGTGTCGGGCTGCTTCCTAAAGTAGTGTACCGCAAGCCTCCACGTGTAGAACGTCCCGTCAATGTTCACCCTGACGATGTTGAGGTTTGGTTTGGTGGGCTCTCCGTTGGGATCTACACAAGAGTTCATACGTGTGAGTAACCCATTCAGGACCGCTCGCAATCGCATCAAATCTGAGCATGCGGCACTGAGGAGACTCACCGTCTAGATTCCACAAGCTATCGCCAGAGCTGCGGCTTATGCCCGCATTGGCGATCACTATATCAACGCTATTACTGGGACTCTTCGTCTTGGCAGTCTCAAACATGACCTTCTGCTGGTCCCAGTCCCGAATGTCACACTTGACAAAGACGCATCGAGGTTCGCTGGTGCTGGCATTCAGCTCGGCCTCGATCGCCTTTCCACGGGCCGCGTTGAGATCGGCAAACGTCACAAAGGCGCCGGCTGCTGCGAACTCCCGGACGCAGACCTCGCCCATGCCATTGGCGCCGCCGGTGATGATGACGGACTTGCCCCGGACTTTTTCGAGATTGGGGGGGATGGTGTGGTCGATGGGACCTGTGTAGGTGTAGCGTGGAAGAGGCATGATGGTGATGGTGATGATGGGCGAGATGGCGAAATGGTACGATTGGGGATGAAATGGTACGACAATGATGATATCACCTTGGTTCTTTCTCCTACTCTTATTACCGTGATTCTTTACCTGCCGAGGAACCCCGGATTCCGGATATCATCGTTGTTTTACCAATTCAATTCCCAGAAATCCTGCACGCCCATGCGTATGTGTTGCCGTATTCGCACGTCTGCAGCACCACCATCCCCCTCCGTCGGTAAACCTCCACCAGGATCATTCTCTTACCCCGCATGCAATTTCCACTGCTTCGGGGCTTTAGTCGGCGGCTTGATTGACGCTAGTGATAGTCTTGAGACGGATCGGTGGCGTATCTGCGTCCCCGCACGCTAACGTCGATGAAGGGTTCATGCTTGCTTTTCGCTGGCCGTGGCCGGTAATCCCAATTAGGATTGCCACGTCTCGGTAAAGAATTCCTACTCTCCGCTCCAACTCCAACCTCCACACTCTCTTGGACCCTGGGCCCAAGCGGCTTCTTCGGGTCCTGTCTTGTCCCTTGGGCGGCGCAATGTAGTTTACCGTTCACTGTGGAGAAGGCAACACTATCTCTTGCCAACCAGAGAGATTGGGACAGCTCCAATCGACTAGCTCAGCTCGGTCCAAGGTTAAGCCCACCCGGCATTGTGTTATTGAGCAAACGACACATTGCCGGTGGCAGGCAAGAGCGGAGCATCCCCAAATGATACCAATCGTAAGACTGTCCAAGATTCTCCAATATTACGATACATTGAAAAGCCGACGTGCAAAGGGAAACTTGATTCCTTGCCATTATTAATATTCGAGATTTTGTTGATTCTCTGAGGCTTTGGAGACTTACCTTTACGTGCTCGCATTCAACTACTTATCCAATTTAATCCTACTTCTCTCAGCCTCGCCAACGCCTGTACTCCACCTGGTCTCTGTGGTACTCCTCACAAGCAGTCATCAAGAACTGGTAAACGCACTCATTACCTCGTCACCCCTTCTCGCCTCTCACCCTATCTCTCATCATGACCGCCCCCGTCGATCCACCGGTGTTGGAAAAGCCAACAGCCCTACTCAACGGCAATGACCTCTCACGTGTACCCGCAACAGAGCTACCCGAGCTCGCCAACGGCTTCGATGCCCTCAGGCAAGCCGCCGCGGCAGCTGCCTCGAACGGCCGCGTCACGGACCCCTTCAAGCTGAACCCCGAGTTCGCGTACACCCCCAAGAAAGTCAAGGTCATCACCATCGGCGCCGGGTTCTCCGGTCTCTTGATCGCGCACAAGTTCCAGCACCGCTTCCCAGAGATGCGGGATATCGTCGAACACACGATATTCGAAGCTCGCTCTGATGTTGGTGGGACTTGGCTTGCGAACAACTACCCCGGGGTGCAGTGTGACGTCCCTGCCCACATCTACGTAAGTGATTTTAAGGCGCTGAGTCGAGTCGTTGAGCTCTGAATCAACGCTGATAATCTCCAGGCCTTCCCTTTCGATCCTAACCCCGACTGGGAGAGGTTCTACGCCAGCGGTGCCGACATCCTCAACTACATCAAGCACACGGTAAAGAAGTGGAGTCTAGATCGCGACCTCCAACTCAACACGAGAGTCGTCGGGGCCTGGTGGCAAGATGACTTGGGCCAGTGGAAGGTCAGGGTGGAGAAGGACGGCCAGCAGCGCGACGAGTTCTGCCACGTTTTAATTTCGTCTCAAGGTGTCCTGGTGTAAGTCTCATCCCGTTCACTGCCTTTACTAACCTCGACAAATCGCATTGTTCCCTGTAGCTTACAAATTTATTCTCTCTCTCCCTTTGTAGCCACGAGAACTGGCCCGACATCCCAGGTCTTCGCGATTTCAAGGGCCACATCACCCACTCCGCCAGATGGGACCACAGCTACGACTACTCCAACAAGAGGATCGCCGTGATTGGCAACGGTTCCTCCGGCATCCAGATTGTCCCCCAGATGGTGAAGCTCCCCGGCACGGAGGTAACCAACTTCATCAGAGGCCCCTCGTGGGTGTACTATCGTGCGCCGCCCTCCAAGCACTTGGGTCGTGACGACGCCGACCCGAACCCGAGATATACCGACGAAGAGAGGAAGCGATTCCATGATCCCGACTACCACCTCCAACACCGCAAGGGTATCATCCACAGGACGAACAAGTCCTTTTACATCTTCGTCAAGGGCCAGAATAACGAGGAGGGCATGAAGCTCGCGGCGGACCAGATGGCTGAGAAACTCAACCACGATCCCGTCTTGTGCGAGAAGCTCATCCCGAAGTGGGAGCTTGGGTGCCGTCGGATTACACCCGGCCCTGGATATCTTGAGTCTTTCCTCAAGCCGAACTGCCACCTCACGAACAGCGGCATTACGAAGATCACTGAGAACGCTGTCCACACGGCCGATGGGAAGGTCCACGAGGTCGATGTCAGTAAGTACAGCCCCTAAAACCCCCACCTCACTGGCAGGAACTATGTTGGAACCACGTTTGGCTAACCCCAGTGCAGTCGTCTGCGCCACTGGTTTCGACGTCTCCCATCGTCCCCGCTTCCCCATCGTAGGCCTCAACAACGTCGACCTCCAAAAAGCCTGGGCCGAAGACCCCGAGTCCTACATCTCCGTCGCCGTCCCCAACATGCCCAACTACTTCATGATGATGGGCCCCAATTGCCTCGGCGGCCACGGCTCCCTGGTCGAGTCCCTTAACTGGACCGGCGACTACTTCGTCAAGTGGATCAAGAAGATGGCCACCGAGGATATCAAGTACGTCGTGCCCAAGCAGGATAAGGTCGACGACTTTATCAGGTACTGCGATGAGATTCACAAGACGCTCGTTTGGACTGGTTCTTGTAAGAGTTGGTATAAGAGAAATCGTGTCGATGGGCGTGTTACTGCTCTTTTTGGTGGGAGCGCTCATCTTTTTAATCGCATGCTGAGTGACATCCGCGGTGAGGATTTCGAAATCAAGTATAATACTGCAAACTCTTTCAGGTTTATGGGCAATGGATTTACGGAGTACGAGATGGATCCCGACAGCGATTTGGCGTGGTATGTCGAGAAGGCCGAGACTTTGGAATTGCAGTAAAGTTGCTGGCCTTGTTTGGTAAGACTACTTTGCGTCCGTCAAGTTTGTTTTGATCTGTCTATCTTGTTTCTTTATTTTTGTATATGTTTTCATTTCCTTTTCCTTTTCCTTTTCCTTCTCCTTCCCTTTAGTTTTAGAATCATGAGCAAAACGTAAGATACAATAAAGCTAGACTGGAATACACTTAAAGTCTAAATGTGTCAATGTTCGGGTCAAGCTTAGAAACTCACTCCGAATTTTCTCGCGTCATTTGGTTTTGGGCAAGTTTAAGACGCTGTTCACTGAATCACTTCATACGCTTTCTCCAAGTAGTCTGATCACACAAATCATCCTGATGAGGCATTGATCTGAGTCCGCGAATCAAGTCAACTAGGCCTTTTACGGTACGATGAGTCTCTTCATCGAATTATTAATATCATAAAATATGTCTTCAATATCAAGCCTGCCATTCCCAGACAAATCCTACCATGCATACTATACAGATTTAAAAAAAGAAACCCAATCATAACGAAAAGTTCATGTCCGAAAAGTCAAGGGGATACTCAGCGCTAAAGTTAAGAAGATCCTGATACTGCGTCAATAAAGTCTCGTGGAAGAGATAGTCTTCGGGAAGAGGGAGGAGGCATCTCGTAGCAGCCCCTTGCTCCTTGTCAGCAAGAAGACATTCGGCAATACGACTCGTCGAGCGAGTGACGAACGGAAAGAGAAGCGTCCAGTCAAACTCGCCGACGTGAGCGGCCATTGTCGACACCTCGGGTTCGCCCTGGGCATGGCTGGCTACAGCTGGTTCAAAGTTGACTCCAGATTGCGTGGGCGGGATCCCCCTCCCTCCTCCGATACCAGCACCATTCTCATTCATAACGTTGTCCGGGGACAATTTCCTGAGACGCTCGAATCCCGTGCTGATGATATGAGCCGACGCCCACATGCTCTTCAGCTGGTCCATGGCGCACTCCAAGACATCCAGCCCCTCCTCTGCCTCCTGGGCAAACTGCTCAATCTTGCACGCCTGGAGCAAAGGGATGAACGCCGTACCGCTATACCAACAAGTGATGGCCATCAAAAACCGCGCGTTCCCCCGCGACAGAATATCCCTCAATATCCTCGCAATGCAGGACGCCGCTAAGATGGCCGGCGGGAGGGCCTGCGGCAGGTCATTGGCGGACCTCTTTAAGTGCAAGATGATGATGGTGGTGAGGTATGGGAGGTGCAGTTGGTGGACGTCTCGGTCGAATGAGGCGGTGCGTCCGGAGCCGATGGGGAGCTGGAGCTCAGGCGGCAGAGAGTGGACCCAGTCGACTAGTTCTTGGTGCAGATGGACGGGGAAGGGCTGGGTTGCCAGGTGAGATGTCCGTGAGAGCACTTTGGCGACTTTGCCGATAATGGCGCAGAGCCGGACCCAATAGATAAAAATCTTGCCCTTGTGCTGGGAGATGGGATCGCTGGCGAAATCTGACGGTTGGGGTTCCTCGATGTTACAGTCGTCCGGGTCGATGATGCACGGCTTGCTTTGGCATAGGGCTGTGAGACGTTCGCGGGCCTTGGGCGGCCAGGCACGTTAGAATATTATGAAAACAGGACAAGAGAGTACAGTTGTCACTCACAAATGCAGTCCACCAAATCCTTCGGCGGAGACTAATATTCAGTTTACCTCGTAGGGGATGGTTTAGGCCGGGTTCCCGATGGATGTTCATCTGCTGTGCGTGGCGTATTATCATGGAAGTCCAATACCAAGACGCATGCCCTAAGTTCGCCTTAGCCACGTTACTTCGATCCTCATATTCGGCGAATCTAATTGAGGAGGAAGACACTCACGATGAACCGTCGCGGGCGGCTTCGGGGCCCACCAATAGAAGAGAGCCAACGCCTTGAGCGTCATCAAGCCGTCAACCTCTTCATCGTTATAAAATATGTTCCTGGCCCGCTTATAGTACGTTTCCGGACCTGCATGACGCACCAACGGCGGCTGAATATGGCTCGCGGCTAAGGCGAGCGCGTTGGCAAGGAGAGGCGACCGCGCCAGCTCCTCGGGTAAGGTGTCTCTGTCGAGGACCGGACACCACGCGTAGCAGTACTCCCAGTACGTCTCGGCGAAGCTTTGCAGCAACTCTTGTTGGTGAGGGTGCGAAAAGCGCCGCCTCGCCTCGAGAGTGGCTTCGAGTTCGGTTTGGTCGGCGTACAGCTGGTTCTCTGGACCGTACACTTGGAGAAATCCCGTGTCTACGTCGCCGAGGTGACTGCGGCCTTGGCCTTCGCTGGGGGATGTACCTGAAACTGGTGGGCAGGGTCCATGAGGTACATGCGCGTGAGAAGAGTCGGGTACGCCCTGTATGACAGCGGTGCGGTGAACGGGGCCCGAGACGGCGACACCATTGGGGGATGGCATGGCTTGTGGTTGTTGGTTAGAGGGCGGCAGCTCGATTACGTCCAGGACGGTGGTATTGTCGGGTGAAGGAAGGCCGGCATTCTTTTCTCGGGCTTCCTGGACGGCGTTGATACCGGACGAGGCACATGTACTTGACGACGGAGAAATGGCCCTTCTTGGGCGCTCGCGATCACGACGCCCGTCGTAGGCCGTGCTGCTGTAGCGCCTCTTGCCACGATTCGACGGGCGAAGTCGACATTCGCGGTCTGGATTGTCGCAGTTGGAACATTTCTCGTGGCCGTGGGCATTCCGACTCTGCAGGGCGATATCACGATTAGCAAACGCCTGCGATATGAGACGATGAAGAGGAAGAAGACGATGAAGAGGAAGAAGACGATGAAGAGGATGATGATGGTGGTAGTGGAGATGGATAATAGGTGGGTGAATGAGGTGCGAAGCTTACCTGCAAGTCGCATTTTATCTTCTTGGAGTGGCAGAAGACGCAGACTACCTCTGCTCGCTTCCGCTTGACCTGGCGACCATTAAAATGATGCCAGTCCCCGACCACGTCGGTCATGGCGATTAAGGAATCTGAAATATTATACAAAAAGCCGAAACCGGGGGACGTTAAAGATCATTCCAGAGGAAGATCTCGCGGTAACCCGTCGTGACGCACGATTGATCGCGTTGTTCCTGATCTCTGGGGAAAGGTGGGCGTGTAGCAGAGATGCCGAGAGTTGTGGGGATGAGCAGTTTCAGGAGGAAGGAATTTGGGGACTGGTAAAGGCTCGGCTCCTCTATTGGAGGGGGTAATTATCAGAGTCAACTCACCAAGACCCTTCGGCACTCCACCTGGTCCAGGTGGGCACTGCGAGGATGCTACAATTGGATGCTCATCGGTGCTAGTTTCCCAAATTGGTCTTTCACGTGGAAACGCGAAAATGCGGGGTCACTAGCGCGATGCAACTGTGGAGATTTTTGTGGAGATTGGTGTGGGGTAGATTTTGGAGATTTTCCAATCGGCAGCTTCAAATCGTCCCTCAAAATCCTGGATTGGAGACTGCGAAGGAACGAAGCAACTGGAGGTTCCTCCCCGTTGCAGACTTTTATATCTCCACCCCATTCCGACTTTGTCAGCGGTCACCTAAGATACCAGTACCTTGTCGAAATGATCCTCCGTGTGAGGATGCACTATCGTACTTCGTACTGTATGGTTGATCAATACATACGAAGTAGTATCTTTGATTGTCCCAACTTTGGTACCGAGCTGCAAGCTGCGCTCAAACCCAACATGCATGCCTCAACTCCAGCTGATATTGACTTTGGAGTGGGCGGCTACGGACAGGACGAACACATTGAAGCGAATTTGGCATCGTTGGCGCCAATTCGCCTTCCATCACAAGTACGAAAAGAACGGGACAGCCGTGGCCGAATATGAGCTCGCAGCTCAGGGCATGTTGGAATTCACTGAATCTGAGGACCGAGGGTCTACTAGCTACATATTTTATTAGACGATAGCTCGGGGCTCATTAAGCCAACACTATCCAAAGTAAGTATTAACATCAATGGCATCCCCCAGCACTCGTTCCTTGGAGTGTATGCCCCATCGGATCCGCAACGAAATGGGCACATCATCACACGTAGTTCCTCTATGAGTCACCGCAGACGTGAGAAATTCCGTAGAGACGCGCAAAAGAATCAATATCAAAAAAAAAAAAAAAGCGTTCCGTACAAATCTCCCGAAACCGCGATCACAGATCATAGAATATAGCGGAATTGGGGATTCTATGGACATAGACGTTAGTGAGTTGTAAATCAGAGACCGGGAAGTTTGAGCGGCAATTACCTTGATATCAGTGAGATCGTCCTCGTACGCGTTATCGAAAGCCTCAGAAGTACCCGCCTCGTCGCGGCTCTTGTTGCTCCACACACAGAGGAGACGGTAGAGACCCGCAAGGAGGCCAGCGACGATGGAAGTCACGACGACCACGATGAATCCGGGAGCATATCGGGGCGCATCCTTGGGCTTGAAGACCAAGGGGCCGACAAAGTTACCCAGACAGTAACCGATGTACATGCCTGAAGAGGCGATGGACCTCTTGGTGTATCCGGCAGTGTTGGCGATTTGCAAACCCATAAGAACCGCGTATCCAGAGCCCACAGTTGGTAAGATGTAGATGGCGAATAAAAGACCTCCCGTCGCACTCATGGGCAAAAGCCAGAGGAGGAGGGCGGCAAGAGTAGTTCCCGCCTGAGCGAACATGACCAGGTAGGCCCGGTTGTTCTTGTACTTGTAGGCCAGGAAAGGGAGGATGAGCTGCATGGTACCGGCGTACGCACCGGCGGGCATGAAGAGCAAGAGCGACTTGAGCCCGCTGAAGCCCATGCCCTTGATGATGAGAGGTGCAAACGTCGAAATCGGACCGTTGGCGATCATGGACAGGAAGGCGATCGAGAAGGTCACCCAGAACTTGAGGTCGAGAAGAAGCTCCTTGATCTGCGCCCCCTTCCAGTGCTTGTTACGAACACCAGAGTTATTTGTGCGAAGACGCGCTACCATGATGTATCGTTCGCGCTCGGTGAAGCCCTTGGCTCGGACGGGATCCGGTGGGAGAACGAAGTACAGAGCGAGACCCCAGGCCATCGTGAGGCCGGCGGCGAAATAATACATGTATCTCCAGGACGAGACACCGCCGTTGACGAGACCGAATCCGTAGTTGATCAATGGAGAGAAAATTGAGACGTAGCCCTTTTGAGCGGTGAGGGGTATTAGTATGATTGCTCTTATTTTATTACAGACAAGGTGACCTCACCGTGCAGCAGTACCAGATGCTATGAGAAGAGAAAAGCCGCGAGGAGAATTTGTCAGCTAAACCGTCCCATTGATGATGTTGATGCCCAGGAGAAGGAAATATTGACGGGACCAAACTCACCCCATGCGCATAGCTTGTTCATTTTTCTTGTAAAAGCTGCCCACGATGAGCATGAACATAGGGCTAATACCACTCTCGAGGACACCCAGCATAAATCTCTGGGCGTAAATGCCTTGGTAGTTTTTGCACACCGTCGTGAGGATGAGCGTGAGACCCCAGACGGTCACGGTGAACGAAGCGACGCGCTCAATCGGGAAGCGCTGGGCGAAAACCATGATGGGATACGCGCCGAGGATGAAGCCGAGATAGAAAATGGAAGCGGTCCACGAGTAGCGGTCGCCCGTGAGGAGACCCAAGTCTTCGCGTATACCGAAAAGCGCCTGTAATCAAGGAGCCGTTAGTAGTGAACTTTACTAGAATAAACCCGCGTAAGTTGATTCCTCATGCTGGGGAGAATACACACCGCTTGGGACAGCATAGCCTTGTCGTAGTATTGAAGGCCGTACGTCAGACAAAGAACAGGCATGAGCCTCCAGTCGATCTTGCGAGTCAACTTCTTCTCTTCCTGTGTCGTCCATTCCTTCTCCCCCATGTAAGTTTCTAGGACCTTCAACGCCTCGTCCTGGTGAACGGTGTCGATGACTTGCGTCACCTGCTTGACACCACCTTCGGAGGCATTTTCAGCCTGTTGAAGAGAAGCGTTCTTCTCGGAGTCGGACATGATTCAACAGCAAAAGGGTCTGGTCCTTTCACGTCAAGTGTGAAAAGGAAATGTAAAAAAAACTAGTTGATGAAGATCAAGATCACAAAATCTCAATACCGGCAGTACGGGACCGAACGAGACTTTTATGCAGTTGAAGCTGTCACCGACCCCATGGGGATGATCGCTCCTGCCGCTGTGGGGATCGAGGTAGCCGGGTTAAACGGGATGGAAAGATTGGGTTTCTGGTTGCAATGCATTTTGAGCTAGTGTTAGGATTGTGAGAGTGTCGACGAAAAGGGAATTACCGGTCAAGGTTGCCGAGATGAGCTAGTTAATTATTAGGGGATGAATCATAGAATGTAGGCTGGGGCGAGCTTAGACTTTTTCCAGCCACGCGCTAGAGGAGCAGACGCCCTTGTCTTCACCGATGCACGAGGACGCATCGAGCAGTCCTGAATCCTGGCTCCGAACATGGGTCGTTCGTGTTAACGACAACCAAAATTATTAGAGAAGCACCGCCGCGGCGGAAATCATTGATTAAGGGCCTCGACACGCAGCTAGGCGATGTGTCCGGACATTTCCTAAACGCAAGCTCTATTGAACCAAAGGAGCCACAGCATACTATTCATTGACACTTTGACCATACAACGAAGATCGAACTATTCGCCATGTCCCAATCCAACTCCATTGTCCAGTTACCCGAAGGTCGAGAGACTATCGTGGTCAAGGTCATCAACCCCGTGAACTTTGGCCCGGCGATCCTGGAGCGATTCATGGCGCCTCCGGTTCCTGGCCTCGAAACGTTCAAAGACTCACCCTCTTTTTCATTCCTCTTAGAGCACCCTTCGGGACGAAAGTTGGTGTTTGACTTGGGCATTCGCAAGGATTACAGCAACTACGCGCCTTCAATCGTGGAATACTTGCCGACGACCAACTACGATATCCAAGTTACCAAGAATGTGGCTGATATTCTCGCCGAGAATGGAATACCTGCCAAGGACATCGAGGCAGTCATATGGAGGCAAGTAGCTCATGACGTGCAGAAGGAAAAGCTCGAAGCTACTTGGAGCTCCTTGATCGAAATCTCAAATAGGAAACCAGCTAACGCGCCTGGGTAGTCACTGGCATTGGGACCATATCGGAGATCCCTCCACATTTCCTGCATCTACCGACCTAGTGGTTGGCCCCGGATTTAAGGACGCCATGCTTCCCGGGGCCCCGACAAACCCCAGATCTCCAATAAAGGAGGCCGACTACGCGTGAGCTACTACCCCCACACCCACTCACTACTTCGTACATGCCGAACTCAGCCTTTGGCTGTTCCCCCGCATGCGCGTAGAATCCCCAAACTGAAAGACTAAAAAAAAAATTGCCATCGATTTCTTTTAGAGACCGAAACCTTCGTGAGATTACCTTTGAAGGTCTGGGTACAAGCCAGATCGGTCAGTTCCGCGCCTTCGACTACTTCGGCGACGGTTCGTTCTACCTTCTGGATAGCCCCGGCCACGCCTTGGGACATCTATGCGGCCTTGCACGAACCACAAAGGGCCCGGGACCAGACACGTTTGTCCTTCTTGGAGGAGACGTCTGCCACTATGCCGGCATCCTGAGGCCGTCCAAGCACCTCCCTGTGCCGGACTGCATCACACCCCACCCATGCCATCACCCCAACAGCGGAATCTCCCTATGCCCAGGTGGAGCGTGGGAGGAACTCCAGAGATCTCGTGGTAGGGAATCCACGGATACTCTCTACGACATCACATTTGGACACGATATTCCGCTGGCCACGAAGACAGTGGGTCATCTCCAGGAGTTTGACTGCAATGAGAATGTGTTCGTGATTATTGCGCACGACTCTACTGTGAGGGATGGAGTGCCGCATTTCCCCGAGAGCATAAATGACTGGAAGGAGAAGGGATTTGGCAAGGGGCTGAAGTGGGCGTTCTTTCGAGACCTGAAGAACTACTGGACCTCGAAGGGACTAAACTAGTACTGGAGGTACACCCATTGACAGAGTTAGCTGGGAAGAATTAATAATGATACTTGTTTTTTGCCCCCTTAGAAACAGAGTCTATTTCGTAAAATACTGAAGGGACCGAGTAGGCGGTGTTGAAATTGCTTGTCTATGCTTGTTCTGGCCCCGCGCAGATTCAGATAGGGCATTGATAGGTTCCCACTTGGCAAGAATCAAACTTTAATCGCATTGAGAATTTTTCTCTGCCGATCCAACTACAAGCTGCAGGTGTCATTGCAATGTGCGTTGCAAACGTGTCAATGGTACATCGGAGGATGTCAAAGTGGGGCGTCGCCGCCCGTCGACTCGGCAAACCGAATCGGTCCTAGCGGCGCCCCGGCGTCGGTTGGAGTAATGTTCGGCATCTCCGCAAAACAGTCTCCAGCCATCTTCCGGCTACCCATTCCGGGTAAGGTCCGTGGCTTTTAGCGCTTCCCCGGTTTCTTAATTACCCCACAATATACGAAGGAGAGTGGAGAGCTCGATGATAACGGCTCAGTCCAATCCCGGTTACTGAGTCAGGGCCCCTTGTCTGTCTTCCTTGGCGCCCCCATCGGCAAAGGGTAAGACGGCACCCTTTTCCTCTGGCTTTCTCCGCCTTCGCCAACGCGATGTCGACGACGGATAACCAAGTGAGATATTTGGAGGAAGGCCTTATGGAGCCTCTTGAGCAGTGATATATCTGTGAATTTGTTCCTGAGAAATACACCCAGCTTCCATGCAAGTCGTTGTATCCTCACTCCCCATAGCCTCCCTCTTCAAACCCTTTACTTCCTAATCACCAGCGTCTACACCCTTACCTTACTAGCATACCTCTCACGTAATTTCGCGGACCCCTGCCCCGTTTGTTTATTTGGTTTCATCCCCATTTTGGCCATGATCTCCTCTGATTCTCACAACGGGCACGCCAATGGCGTAAACGGCCATGCCAACGGCGCGTCCAGTTCTCTCGCAGCTGCCTTCTCAGCAGCTAATGCTGGGCTTGACTATGAAGTGCTCATCATCGGTGCTGGCCTTAGCGGCATCTTCTCCATGTACCGGATGAGGGAGCTGGGTCTGCGGGCAAAGATCCTCGAGGCCGGTTCTGGCGAGGGCGGTACCTGGTTCTGGTAAGGATTGGGCCCTTTGGATTTTTTTTAAACAACTCTTATCATTCTAGTCCAACTCGAAAACTAACTTTGTCCCCCAGGAACCGCTACCCCGGTGCAAGGTTTGACTCTGAGAGTTACTCTTACATTTTCTCCTTCTCTCAAGAGGTGCTTGATGAATGGGACTGGGAAGAACATTTTGCCCCTCAACCAGAGACTCTCAGGTACATCCAGTACCTCACCAAGAAGTTCGACCTCAAGAAGCACATGCAATTCAACACAAAGATACAATCGGCCCATTGGCAGACGGACAGCAATTCCTGGCTCTTGACGGATCAGAATGGCCAGACTTACACTTGCCGCTACCTCATCACCGCCATGGGCATCCTCAACGAGCCTACTCTTCCCAACATCCCAGGAGTAAATGACTACAAGGGTGAGGCCTGGCACACGGCAAGGTGGCCCGAGAACTCCTCGGCCAGCCTCGAAGGCAAGCGTGTCGGCATCATTGGAACGGGTGCCACCGCCATCCAGACCATCCAGGCCATCGCCGACAAGGTGGGCAGCCTAACCGTCTTCCAGCGCACCGCCAATTGGACGGCCCCTTTGCGGAATTCCAAAATCACCAAAGAGGAAATGGCGGAGATCCGCAAGCGGTACGCCACCATCTTCAAGCAGTGTCTCGAGTCGTACTCTTGCTTCATCCACGTCACAGACCCCACGAGCGTCTTCGACATGTCTGAGGAAGAGCGCCTCAATCATTGGGAGAAGCTTTACAATACACCCGGGTTCGCCAAGGTCCTCAGCATCTCTTCCGACATTTACACCGACAAGGCTGCCAATGACCTTTACAGTGCTTTTTACGCGGACAAGATTCGCCAGCGCGTCAAGGACCCCAAGGTCGCTGAGAAGCTGATTCCCAAGAACCACGGCTTTGGAACGAGACGCGTTCCCCTGGAGAGCGGCTACTATGAAGTCTTCAACCAGGAGAACGTCAAGCTCGTTGACATCAGAGAGAATCCCATTGAGAAGATTGTGGCTACTGGTGTGCAAACGCGGGACGAGCTCTACGAGGTAGACATTCTCATCTATGCCACGGGTAAGTCATGTCGTGGGGGGCCGGCCTTTTTTTTTAGCACCAATTAACCATCGGGACAGGTTTCGACGCAGTAACCGGTTCCTTCCGAGCCGTCGATTTCCAGGGTGTTAACGGCACAAAGCTCAACGATGTTTGGAGTGAGGGTATCCGCACCTTCCTAGGCTTGACCGTCGCTTCCCTGCCGAACATGTTCATGGTAATGGGACCTCACCAAAGTAAGTAGGCAGGAAACTTGAAAGCTTCATAGCTAGCTGCTAACTGTGGAGTGTTCGGCAATATACCAAGAAGCGTAGAATACGCCGTCGAGTGGGTGGCCCGGTATCTCAGGTATGCACGCGATCACAACATCCAGTATATCGAGGCCACCGAGGCGGGCATGGACTTGTGGACGGAGCATGTCCACGAGTGCGGAAAGGGTCTGCTTGCGAACGACGTAGACTCCTGGATGACGGGAGTCAACTTGAACTTGGCGCATAAACAGAAGAGGTCCATGACGAGATACAATGGGCCTGCTCCCGGGTACAGGAAGCGATGTGATGATGTTGCGGCTAGGAATTACTCTGATTTCGTCCTTAAGCAAGGGTAGACGCGGTGAATTTTTGGATCGGGGACGATGTATTGTTAGCTTGTTCATTTGTGGTTCATTGTCTTTTGAATGAACAAAGTCGAAAGCATGATTTCCTTTAATATAATAGAGACTGAAGTTATTAGACCAGCTTTTGAAGATCATGTGTGATAAGGAGCACCTTCCGCCATAATTTGGAAGGGTATGGGGCACGGAATTACCCGAACCGGATCCGACCCGATTACAGAACAACGCACCGATGTACTCCGGTTCAGCACTCCTTCCGACCTTGCAGCAAACATTGACACCATCTCAACTCCTCATAGACACTCGGATCGGCTCGTAGCATGGAGATCAATTACAATGAGGGCGCATGTAGCTATCTAGGATGGCGTCGTCCATGGACAGGATGTCTATTCCTTCACTTCAAATTCGTACGACCCAGAAGGGTTGGATAGAACCCACTTGATGCCGTCCTCCATAACCTTATCCCATCTCGCAGCGGCAGAAAGATTTGCGCCATAACGTCGGAAACCGTGAGGCAGCCCCTTGAAGACGTTGATGTCCGTCGGGACTCTGGCATAATGGGTTAGTTGATATTGGACAAGCTACCATATGGTGAGAAGAGATTCTTACCCAGCATCTGTTAACAGTTTAGCATAAAGCAACCCTTCATCTCTCAATGGATCCCGACCAGCTATGCCAAATACAGTCGGAGGGAGGCCCTTTACCTGATCCAAGGTGGCATTTCCGGGGTTGAGTTTCAAATCATAGACTTGAGGATTCTCAATCTTCAAAAGGTCCGTGAACGTTTTGCATCTATCGATTGGCAAAATCGGAGCGTCTTTACATTCCTCATAAGAGGAAACAGATGGATCCTTCAGCTTCTTCAGCTGCGGCTCGTAGCAGTACATGTTAACGACGCACGGTATCATCAGAATTTGCCCGCGTAGCTGCGGGCATGAGACGGCGGCTTTGCCCAGTTTCTGCTGGAGAACTAGAGATGCAGAAATATGTGCGCCCGCCGAGATTCCCCCAATCAATATTTGCTGGCTATCCGTCCCTAGCTCCTTGATGTTCTTGTGAACCCATTCCAATGCGTCCTCTGCATCGTCCCAAGCGGTGGGATAGACGTACTCGGGGGTATGGCGGTAATTCAAGTTGAGGACGATCACTTGGGCACCGATGGCGATACAGGAACAGATACCATCTTCCGAGGCCAGAGTTCCGAATAAATACCCACCTCCATGAAGGTGGATGTACAGCGGCAGGACCTTATCTTCGTCGATAGAGACAGGACGATATGTTCGGCCCTCAATAGTCTCGCCGTCTCTTGTTGGGATGGCGAAGTCTCTAGTACGGACTTGAGGCCCTAGTGTTTTCATACCTTCCGCTGCCAAATTCTCTCTCGTTGCGTTCACCAACCGCCGCGATTCGAGGAGAGAATTGGCTTGGGATGGTTGTGGGAGCGATGCCTCGATTGCAGGCCACTCATCACTCACACCACCATAGCGAGAGAAATCGGCCATCTTGCGGATTGGGGGGTTAACGGGTGAGTTTGGAGTAGAAGATGAAGTTCTATCTTTCGTCTGGTTCTAGGCGAGCAATTGCCTGTGATGCTGCGGCGTGGAGGTGTCTGCAATACAGAGACCTCCGCACACTTTGATCGTGAGGTGTCTCAGTTCTCATTGCCAATTAAACGGTGGGTTCCGGTGGCCTGGCCCGAGAACAGGACTTCAACGGCCCTCAGGGATTCCCCATGCACCAACTGTCTTCGTCAGCTAATCCGAGCCGAGGCTCATCCTTACAAGGTGCACTACGCAATACCAGATTATATCCCAGACACTGATTATCGCTTCCCCGCCGAAGATTTGAGGATGAGAGCCGAACTGGAATTAGCGTTCCCAATCTGGCAACTTACCCCGCATTTTCCCTGCTCCGCTGTCCTTGTGCCCCAAGTCCTGCATCCTCCCTCCTTCGGCACCCCCCGGCAAGGTTCCCCGGCATCACTAAGAAGCCGCAACCGCAACCCTAGTTCTCGGCTACTCTCGTCTGGTTTGCCATCTCCACGAGTGGAGAAGCTGCAAGTACGGAACTGGATATTATCAATCACCGACCACTATCAAATGCATAGTCTGCCGAGAAGGAGGGTGAACATATTAAAAGCGATGGTTTGAGTAACAATCCAATATTACACGGAACTGAAATAAGTTTGAGAAACACGACTGCCGCTTACTCTATCCCCTGCCGCCATCTCCCCCGCCTAAAAAAATGTCCCTCCATCTCTCACCTGACCCCCCCTCACGCTCCCTCAAGGGAAAAGTGGCCATCGTCACCGGCGCCGGTTGTGCCGGTGATGGCATCGGTAACGGTCGCGCCATCTCCATCCTATTGGCCGATGATGGATGCGACGTCGTCTGCCTGGACATGGATCTCACATGGGCCACCAAGACCGCTGAGATGGCCAGCAGTAAGCCAGGCCGTGGCAGGGCTATCCCATTCCGTGGAGACGTCACTTCCGCCAAAGACTGCGAGGATGTCGTCAATTTTGCGCTGTCTCAGTTTGGCCGATTAGATATCCTCATCAACAATGTGGGTATCGCTGGTGCTCCTGGGACTGCTGTCGAGGTAGATATGGACAAGTGGGCCAAGAGCCTCGACGTCAACGTTTCGAGTATGGTTTTGATGGCCAAGTATGCCGTGCCGGCTATGGCTAGGAACGAAGGTGAGAACAAAGGCAGCATCATCAATATGGGCAGCGTCGCGGGGCTCAAAGGGGGAACACCTCACCTGCTTTATCCCACGGCTAAGGGCGCGGTCGTCAACATGACGCGCGCCATGGCGGCTCATCATGCCAAGGACGGAATTCGCGTAAATTGTGTCTGTCCAGGAGTAAGTTGGCTCAACCCTACATATCCCTCGCAATTCCCATTTCACGCAACTAATTCTTGCTCCAGATGCTGTACACTCCCATGATGTACGAAAAGGGAATGACGGAGGAAGCAAGGGCAGCAAGGAAGGCGCGCAGCCTTCTTGGAACCGAGGGAACTGGTTGGGATTGTGCAACAGCGGTTGTGTTCTTAGCTGGTCCGCACGCACGGTGGATCACCGGCGCCATATTGCCGGTCGATGCCGGAACAACGGCGGCGGTGGGAATCGGCATGCCCGCCGGTACGAGTGTTAATAGTTAAAAAGATATTGAAGTTGTGTGATTAAATTCAAGCTACGTCATTAACGGGTTAATTATGCCTGCTTTGTCGATGCACCTCATGCCAGCCGATACACTGGGTATCTGTAAAGGTGGCCGTGTTACAGAGTGAATGGGAGTTGTACGTGTAGGTCTAGGGCAGGTGTAGGATTGAAGTGTCACTAATCGCGAACTCACATTCTTCTAATATAGGAAGCCAAGCCCTTCTCATATATTCTATTATTACCCGATAGTGGTCTTGAGAAGTCCTCCAGCAGAGCTTTCATTTCTTCTTCTTTTCTTACCCAATCTTAGCATACGTTCTCCCCAGTTTGCTCAGCCCCTGTAGGTCTCTGCCAACAGTCTCATATTGGCCTCCCCTCAACTCTCGTGTGAACTTGTACCATGACAGACAGACTGATACATCAGGTATCGAGCCTTAGCACGCTCTACCAGATTCCCTGATGAGTGACTCTCAAGATCCCACGGGTTCCCTATTCATAATCAATACTGTTTGGGCAGGCATCACTAGCGCGTTGAAATGCGAATAGGCGAGAATAGCAATTCACTAGAACACAATATTGAATGATCCAACTTAGCGACCCAATATTACTCGTATTGAGTCAAGGCCATCCGGCCAGTAAATTGCCCTTCACATAGCGACTTGAGAATAGTAGGAAAGTCCCGCAGTTTGCCCTCCTGCACCTGAGGCTGGATTACCTTCCTCTGGATGAGATCAAGGACCTGCTCTAGGTCCCGGACCTGGCCGCCGTAGGAGAAGATATAGCTTAACCTCTTCCGAGTCCCAACCTTCATGCGGATGGTGTTCTCAGGGTTCAAACTTCCAATACAGAGGAGCTTACCACCTCGCCTCACTGAAAGCCATGTGTTAACTGAGAGCGTGTGGATTCAACGGCATAGAGATGTGAACTTACCGATATCTTGTGCATCGTGGAAAGTCTGATGAGTTCCTACAAAGTCCAAGACAGTGTCGATCTTCAAGTCATTTTCTTCAACAAACTCAACAGGCGACTTTCCGATAGGAACGATATCACTCCTAGGGACACCGAGCTTAGCGGCCTCCTCAAGGCACTCCTGCCTAATATCACACACGATAATTCGAGCTCCGATATCGAGGACCACTTGGAGGGCATTAAAGCCGAGCCCTCCAAGGCCAAAGAGGAAGACGGTCTCATGCTTTTTGACCTCGCCTCTCCTGGTGATGGCATGAAAAGCCGTGTTCACTGCATCTGTTGCCACGGCGGCTTGAGCAGGGGTCACACCTGCACAACGTGTCAGAGAACCGAAATGAAGTAAATGCTAGAAGATACGTAGAATTAAACTTTGCCTACCTTCGGGGACCAGGACGGCACCGCGGATATCAAGTGCTGCGTACGGGGCGTAAAATCCATCCTGACCGATACCAGAGTGATGGCCACGCTCGCAAATTTGGTGCAGATCCCGAGAGCATTCTGGACAGTCCTCCTGGCCGCACCCAGGCACACCGTGGAGAGCGACGATATCTCCCTGCTCTCCTCTTAGACCAGTTGCTGAAATGGTTAGGGTTTATTCGATGGTTGAACTCACGAGCTTGAACTTTGTTTCTCCAACCTGATCACCAATTTGGATAATCTTGCCGCATCCTTCATGTCCCTAGCATAATCAATGTTAGAATTGCGAAGTCCGACCGAGGGCCCGAGACGAGTGAGGAGGGTCCAGCATACGAGAATGTATTTTTCCTGGAACCAGCCAGCCTGCTTCTCGAGCGTGAGAAGGGAGTGGTCGCTGCGGCAAACTATAATAAAACATCACCGTCATTATTGATGCCATCAGCAAGATTGATTGTTCAAGAATTACCTCCAGATGCCAACATCTTGCATAACATCCCCTTGGGAGGACATCGGGGAACCGGAACCTCCTCCCAAACCTGCTCCTGTGTTAGCTACATTTCCAGGCCTTTCTCAGACGTCTCGTCTTCAAGCAGATAGACTGCGGGCTTACTGGCTCCGGGTTTCCCCTGTGCTTTCTCCAAGCGAACATGGTCTTTGGAAGTTCGGTCGTCATTTTCTTGTGCAATCCCTTCGAGCCGTCACGATGTTATGCAAAGTTGTAGAAATATTGCCAAGCTATTGAAAGTCAAAATAGACTGGTCCAATAGTTGGAGACAGCATGGAGAATTGTTAAATACAACACCCCAGATAGTCTCGCCTGAAACTAGCCAAACTCTACTGCGAGTCACATGCACCCCAGGAACAGTCTCTCGGGCTCAATCTGGGGATATGATTGTTGAAGCCATACCCCCGACGCTAGTGTCCTCTTGCCGAAGACTCCAGGACCTGAACTTGCGTTCGAACTTGGACCCCTCGCCAAAGGCCGCTAAAAGATCTGGTGCATAATTCGTTATCTCCGGGTCTGGGGGTTTGCGCGTGTAAACTCGGCTTCCCACCGGGCCGCCGGTATTCCGCTTCGGGGAAAGCCATTCTGTAATTAACTCCAAATATTTTCCCCACACACTCAGCACCGAAACTAGCTGCTGGGATCCCGAAGAATGAAAGGAGCTCGGGCCATCGTGATGATGTGCTGCAAGAGAGGTTGGGAAATGTCCAAGATGGACACAACACATTCAGTTGGTGAGCCTCAACTCTCTTTTAAACCACCAAGATAATACACAGGATTGGCGATTGCAACCAACCAGATCCTGTGCAAGGAGATACATACCTAGTATTCTCTTCTGCTTGTACCTCCACCCAATATGGTCTTCACTCCTCCGTCCTGGGTGCCCCAGCTCCCAATTGGTATGCATTTGTCGATGAAAAAGGCAAGAAAGAAATTCTCAAAGCTAACTGCTCTGTTAGACCCCCCGGACTCCCTAACGATAGCGGAATTTATGCAACGAGAAGAGTTTGGTCGCCGCCCCTTATCGAGCAGTCGCAATCCCTTCACATGCGGTCTCACCGGACGCACTTACGCGGCGCCCGAGTTCTTCCAAAGAGCAGGATCTTTAGCTCGCGCCTTCGCGAAGAGGCTAGGGTGGTCGCCCAACGAGGCAACTCCCTGGGACAAGATTATTGGTATCTTTTCCTTTAATACGGTAAGTAGAGTTGAATCCTAAGATGATCGTTGGATATTTAACGGCCAAAACTGAAATGATGCCATAGATTGACTACATCACCGTCGCGTATGCTACTCATCGCCTATCCGGAATCGTTACTCCCGCCAACGCGGTCTACTCAACCCAGGAGCTTCAGCATCAGCTAAAGTCGTCCGGAGCAAAGGCCTTGATCACATGCGTTCCTCTTTTGGAGACCGCCCTCCAGGCGGCAGAGGGTGCGGGAATCGCCCACGACAAGATCTTTATCATGGATATCCCGGGCTTTCAGTTGAAGGACGGGAAGTTCACCACCGTTGAGGAGCTTATTATTGAGGGCAATAGCCTGCCGGAACTCGACCCCCTCCGATGGACCAGGGGCCAAGGAGCTCGCCAGACCGCGTTCCTTTGCTATTCCAGTGGCACCTCTGGACTTCCGGTAATATTTTTCATCTTTTTTAGGCCATGTATATTGTAACCGCTGACTTTGTTCCAGAAGGCAGTCATGATTTCCCATCGAAATGTCATTGCCAATATTCTCCAACATGTCACGTACGAGTCCGTAGGACGAAAGTCGAAGCGTGTTGATACCCAGAACGTCCTTTGTTTCCTCCCCTTTTCACACATCTACGCACTGGTCGTGATCGCCCACACCTGCACATGGCGCGGCGATGGAATCATCGTTCTTCCCAAATTCGACTTTACACACTATCTCGAGTCGATTCAGAAGTATAGGGTGAACCAGCTTATTGTCGTACGTCCGGAGGTTAATTACCCAAACGAAAACTTGGGCCTGACGTACTAATTCAAATTGGCAAAGGTCCCTCCTGTCATCATTAGCATGCTCCAGCAGAAGGATATTTGCCGCAAGTACGACCTCAGCAGCGTGCGGTTCGTCTTCAGCGGTGCCGCTCCACTTGGTGAAGAGACGATCGACGAGATAAAAGAGATGTATCCAAATTGGACGATAGCTCAAGCTTATGGTATGCCGTTTCTTGCCGCCGTTTCTTGTTCTTTTCCTTTTTGGTTTTGCTCACCATCCATTCTAACCCAACACTAGGTATGACTGAGACATCCGTCGTCGTAACCGCTCCGAGCGAACATGACATCTTCCCCAGGGCCTCGGGTTCTCTCCTCCCCGGTATCCAAGCAAAACTCATCGACTCCCAAGGCAGTGAAATTACCGCCTACGAAACGCCCGGAGAGCTTCTCATCCAAGGCCCGGCCGTTGTTTTGGGATACTTGCACAATGAGAAGGCCACTGCCGAGACTTTTGTTCACCACCATGATGGTCGGTGGATTCGTACAGGAGACGAAGCTCTCGTGGCAGTCTCACCTGCTGGAAATGAGCAGATTGTTATCGTTGACAGGATTAAGGAACTCATCAAAGTCAAGGTAAGAATATATGCTAAAGCTCTTCCATCCCTCCCCCAGAGTTGCATGCGCTAACCAGTATCGCAGGGTCATCAAGTAGCGCCGGCCGAGCTCGAAGCTCACATCCTCTCTCACCCGGACGTGTCCGACTGCGCTGTAATACAAGTTCCCGATCTCAAATCAGGCGAGGTTCCCAAGGCTTTTGTCGTCAAGGCTCCCCACGCCACCTCGAAGTCCGACGAACTCCTCGCTCAGATCATTACGAAATATGTCGCCGATCACAAGGCTCATTACAAATGGATCAAGGGTGGTGTTGAGTTTTTGGGCGCCATTCCCAAGTCCCCGAGCGGGAAGATTTTGAGACGTGTGTTGAGAGATCAGGATAGGGAGGCTAGGAGGAAGAAGGGAGCCAAGATTTAGTCGGAAGAAGCGGTCTGCCTCTTTTGGTCAGTCATTGTAATTATCGAAGCCTGATATAACTACACAGTGGTTTGAAATGCAATTTATGGCAAGGTTTGATTATTAGGGGCAGGTAGTCCCCAACAATAATTACCTGGTGCTCGACTCTATCCAGAATTATCTCGCAGGCGTAAAATTCATGGTAGGCCGGCACGTCTCTCTGCGTTCCGTGCGGTCCCGGGCCTTCGAAGATTATCAGGTTGAAACTAGAAGGTGTACAAGTTCACCGTTTCACCTATTCTCTCCCCCCGCTCCTCTTTGTCCCCGTTCGATTGTTTTCTATGTCGCGCCAAAGCCATCGCCGCTAACACTTCCAGGTCAAGCTCGGATCGACCACCTGAGCTTACACGGAAAGGGCTACTGTAGACACTCGTTTCTCCTAGGCTTAATCACAGGCTTCCTCGCCCTTGTCGCGGGCCGACCTTTATACAGGCCCAGGGCGGTGGAACCCAGCACAAAAGGGTAAACCACAGAATATCCCCAACCAGTAAGATTAGGACCGACAGGGCCGTTATGTCACGGCCTTAAATGGCCAAGAACTGCGGCCAGGCAGTCAAGCCCAGCAGAAACAAGTAAACCACAGAAGTATAGGAGGCTCATAGAAATCATAGATCACCCACACCTACAGTGATCTATAAGTAATCTTAATCGAGCAGGATCACAGTAAGCTAAAGTTATCTAAAGCTTAGAAGGGAAACGCCTATATAAGTTGTAAAATTCTCTATATATCTAGTTTTAATGCTTGCTCGCGATGCTGCAGCGCACGAGTACAACGGCATAGACCATTCGCTATTGTCGTCAAAAATGGTCTTTGGTCCACCATCGGTGCGAACAGGAATTCCCCTCATCAACCCGCATCCTACGTGGATGTTGGTGATGTTCGCATGGTCTCTTGCCGCACAACAGAGACATATACGGATATAGCGAAAATAATCAGCTTGAGTGATATTCCACAGATTAGGATAGTCGTCAGAGGTCGGTCCCAGCCACAGCGACTTATTCTAGAAAGAGTTTTAAAGTTAAAACGCGGAAGCTGAAATTGGACTTTATTGTAATTCATTGAATTAGTAGAAAGGGAGGGATATTTATAATTCAGCCGGCAGTACCTTGCAGTGCAACCCACCAGCGAGCTCTCCTCTCACGCCTAGTCTGCCCGGAACCCTGTACATCCATAAACCTTAAAGCCTTCACATCAAATAAAACCTCCGCCGTCGTTTGCTTACGAACATCAACCGCTTTCCCAGGCGTCCGGTCGCACCTTTCCGACTCGAAATACTCCAAGCAACAGACATTGGCATTATCCGACCCAAGCGGGTACTGCTCCCACGTATACCCCGTCCCCTTCGGGATAGTCGCTGACTGAAATTCCAGTGCTCCCAAGCGCACGCATGTAGTATTGAGCGTCGTTTCGCCCCCTGCGTTAGTTTCAAAATACTCCGTTGGAAGACCCCAGCCATTGACATTCTTGTCCCAGCTATTGATAGTCAAGTAAGGACTGGCGACGAATAGCCACCCGCAGTCCTTAGTGCCTTTGCGGCTTGGGTTGGGCAGGACGGTGGGCCCTGTTGGCGGGGACGTTGTGCTGCTGGTTGAGCTGGGCGTGTTACAGACCTGTCGGCCCTGGGCATCGTTAGTGCAATCATAGGTGCCGGCCTTGCAGGCCATCGGGAGCTTGACTTCCTAGGGAGCCGCAGCAGCGAGGGAAGCGAAAGCGGCGATGGCAGCAACGGTGAACTTCATTCTGTTGGTAGTCGTTTGGGGGTGGGAAATGAGCTGAGGTGACTGTTTGGTTATTGTTGAGAGAAAATAAGAGGCTTTTTGGGGATTTCTTAGCTAGTTGTAGTGTTGAGAGATGCTGGTGATGAAGTGGAAGTTCACAAGTCTTCTCTATAGGGGGCATAACGGCGTCCTTATATGCGCCTCCAGACCGCATATTCGCAGCCCATCTGGACTTCTCGAACGGCTTCACGCTACCTCTGTGATGGAGACTTAGTTTTGAGTGTAGGAATACGCTCGTTGTTCCCAGTAAAATCCCAGGAGTCGGCTCTTCGTTCGGACACTTTTCCCTTCAGACATTTCCTTCAGACATTTCCTTCAGACATTTCCTTCAGACACTCCTTCCTTCGGCGTGCCTTGTCCGCTCACTTGGGTGTGCAGAGCTCCATGACGGTTCAGTATGATGCATGTGCCGGACCTTCAGCTTAACTCTAATCTAGAGGCCGCGCGAACATGGAGCAGTATCGCGGGACGAGGATGATCCCGAGACAGCACGGTGGGGAAATGCCGTACCCAGAATCCCGCTGGAACCCAGTCACAATGCCAAAAGCGCGAATGTGGAAAGAGATACTTAAGATTTGTCTTTGACGGACGTCCCATGGCTGAGTTAGTGAAGAAGACTGGCGGATCGGAGGAATCGGACCCCCGGCTAATGTGAAGCAGCATGCAGAAGTGTAGAGTTATAGGAAGGGTGACCAACTATGGCTATCTAAGCTTTTTTTTTTTTTTTTTTTTTTTTTTTTTTTTCTTCTTTTAGCTAACTCTCAAACAAAGGAGCGAGGTGTTGATTGAAGAGAAGTGTGAGAGGTTGGCGACGTTTGTGGTAAGATACTATGTCCTGGATTCCGGGCCGTTCCCTGTCTGCCGCACTGCGGGGTGATTAGGTTCGCCGATGCGGCGGGATTCTGGGTACGGTATTTCCCCACCGTGCTGTCTCGGGATCATGCTCGTCCCGCGATACTACTCCATGTTCGCCTGTGTCAGAGAGGCTTCGGCGTCTGTTTATTGAACGAGAGGGTATCTATGAGGAAAAGTGGGTGAGGAGAGACCAAGTCGATCAACAGATGGTCAGCGATGAGTTTAAACAACTCTGGGTGTCGTAGATTCTTACCAAAGCCAATTTAACAACCTAAACCCACCTCGGTCTCCGGAGCAGTTCCTGAAGCGGGCGGTAATCCCGACCACCGTTGGAAAAAAGAAAGATAATGGAAGAAAAGGCGAAGGGTCTCCGATGGCGCAGGAAATGCCCCCAACGACTGACTATGAATTAATTAACGTTTGCGGAAGCTGTAACGTGCCGTTGTTCTGATCGAAGTCACAGATGAGGAGTAGTTTGCGTCATAAGGGACCAGAGTTAGGTACACAGGGCGAGAAGGTTCATGACGAGAGAATTTCGTTGAGAAGATGTCATTTCTTCCGCACGATGAGCTGGCTGTTAGGTCAGATTAGGCTGATGACAGAATCCTCAGGTCTCAAGTGATGTTTGGAAGGATACATAAACTCTCAGGTATAGAGGCAGGCATTCCTCATTGCCATCAAGCAGAGATTGAAGTTTACCATCCCAACAACTAATAAACAACATCGAATAAATAATCTGCGAAGAATGGAAGACCGATCGAACCGAGAGCGAGGCCTCAAGGCCGCCATCCACAACCCCCACATCTCCAAAGAAGCCAAGCAACACGCTCGTGACGCCCTGAAGAACGAGTTTGGCGAAGAGATCAACACCCCCTTCGGGCAGGCCCAACGAGAAGAAGGACCCAGAACATGTGTACGTGCGATCATACGAGGGTTCCCCCCTTGAGCCTCCTTGGAGAAATGAACTAACTGCTAGAGGTAAAGCGCCCAAGGCTTAAAGGCTGCAACCCACAACCCACGGGTTTCAGAGGAGGCTGAGCATGAGGCACAGGAACGATTGGATAAGATGTTATGGTCGGAGTGAATGGGCAATTGGTGGAAGCTTTGCCAATTTCCCAACGCATAAGATCGTAGATCATTAGCGTGCCAGAATTTGGTTCAATGGACTACTATTCTCTTTCGCGTAGGTCGATCTACTACACACCCTCAAGCTACCTCAGAATCGCACGCATCGTGATCCCTTCCTTATATCCCATAATAGCATCAAGCGCCGGCTGAACATACACCTTACCCTCACCCTTCACAAACACAAAATGTTTCCCATCCAATATACTTATATTAGTTCCCTGACTTGCAACAATAGTCTCAGCATTGACGTGAACCGGCGAAAAAGCCTTGAAGCTATCTAGCATAACCTTAGCTCTCCCTGCCATCACCAAGGCCTTTCTTGCAATGCTGTGTGATGAGCTCCGGGCTAAATACTTAACTCAAAACTTTGTTTGCGCCTGGTGAATTATATAGATTCGCCCAGACTTCTTTCTCATCAGGGTCCACTTGCGCTTGGACTGCAAGGCTTGTGTCTTATCTAGGTAGTCCTTGCCATCGTTTATCATGAAACTCTCTTGATTAACATTCATCATAGTCTAAGGGTATACAAAAACTGCTGCCTTTAGCTGGCTGCCGGCGAGGTCTACTGGCATAGCATAAGGAGACAGCAAGGCAGGTGTGCAAGCAACGAGCCAATGAGGTTACTGCTGGCGCTGTCCTCTGCAATAACGATGTCCTTGACCTTTACAGAGCGGGTTTCTAGGAGGTACCCGAAGGCAGTGATGGCTTGGACTAGCTGGACCAGGTACGGATGTCACCTCTGTGAAAGTACAGGACCGTTGGACCCGCCGGCGATGCCAAAGGAGGGATGACAAAGTGGAGTGTTGGTTGAGGGACCTTTAGGTCTGCCTTGAATGCGGTACTGGAATCATTGAGAGCGATGACTTCAACGGAGAGTCCGATTTTGGCGCAGTATCCTTTGATTCCGGCTCCGGTTAGGACACGCCGGAGGTTCCGGCGGCGCATGCCCGCAGGGAAGATGACTCTCTGAATCCAGATGAAGGCCAGAGCTTTATAATCTTATATTTTTAAAGTTCAAGTTAATAAAATCTTTGTAACTTCTAATACTAGAACTTTAAACTAGTTATCTAGTTTATCTAATAAGTTATAAAAAGCTTCTCTTATTTATTTATAAAAATAAGTAACTAGTATTAAACCTTAAAGAATTTAATTATTTAAATACTAAACTTGCTCCGAGAAGATGGAGATAATGGACGAAATATATTGGCGGGCTTTTTACTTTGAATTAGTTCAGCATCTGATTCTTCGACGACATCCGAAGTGAATTGTAAACTGGTGTGCGTGGTGGAGGACACTAATGAGTCGCAACAAGCCATCTCTTCGCTTGCCCTCGACAGTGAGCCACGGGGATATAACTCACCAAATTATCCTTTTCCAGGGTGGGAGCAAGGAGTGTACTAACACGTTTTCTCTTCTCCTCTTCCTAACTTCTTCACTATTACTATGAAGCTGGGAATCTTGGTCAACTGAATATTATACTGATACTTAATTCCATTTGTCTTATTCTGACATCTGTATATAAGCCATGCAGACCTCAGGTACTGTGACATCTCTAGTTTTAGTTTAGAACCTTGGAAAATTGTCATAAACTAACAATTCAAAATCGGGGAGACAGGTATCCCAAGTACTTAGAAGGGAGAGGATTGAGGTTAGGGACACACAGTTGGACTGACCTAGTTTATGACCCCTGAGGTAAGTCCATCTGCATCCCCCTGAGTTTAGTGCCTGGCTACGGCGGACTGGTTTTGAGGGAATGGAAACCCCCGGTCCATCCAAGAGTGGCTGCATAAGTGCGACATTACACGTTGCATTCTGCGTTCTCTCGCAGACTAACGTGTGACTTCGTCGGCTCGTGTTAAGCTCACCAGTGGACTGTTGACCCACCAGCTGAGAAGCTTGGAAGACCGTAGGAAGTACTCTTATGCAACATAAAAGATTGGCTGTTCAGCCTGCCATGTGAGCTCGCTGCATCTCTTTTCATTCCACTTGCATTCCAAGCACATTCCGAGCAAGTTCATGTCACAAAAGCTGACTGTCCCACACTGCCAAGTTAAGAAAAGAATTTTTTTTTTTTTTTTTTTTATTTGTTGTATATCTATATATATATATATATATATATACAATATAAACAATCTTTTATGTTGCTAACAAAATCAAAGAACGAAAGCACTCCTATCTTGGGCAGGATTAGTCCGTCACATGCATCAACAATGCCGGGGTGCCTATTGGGAACGAATTTCAGGACCCAAGATAGAGGGGTTGTGAGAGTTCCGATCAACTCGGACGACATGTGTCAAACAGAGGCCAGCCTACTTTAGATTTTGTCGGCCTGGGGTTGTCCTCCCCTCTGAGGCATCTGTCGGGGTCGAGATGTACCAACGAGACCGGCTTTTTCATTGCGAGGATTCGGGGGGTCGAGGGGCAGGTGGAGGCCGAGTCGCTCACGGGTAGAGTAGGTGGCGATATTCCCATCAGGATCAGCCTCGGTGACCAGTTCCTTGCGGCGGGTGTCGACCAAAAGTCTAATGAGATCGGGACGGCCGTAGTGACCACCGTAGTCGTGAACAGCCTTGGGAATGTGAGTCTCGTTGAGATCAATCTAATAGTGAATTTTGTCAATGATGCTCGATCACCGCGATGATACTAATAATAGAGAGAGGAAAAAGCAGTAGGTTCAGTAACGGCGCGCACTCACATCAGCAATCAACAGGCCATCAAAGTCCTTGTCTGCTTTGGCAACGCAAGTCCCATCGGGCGCATAGATGCGACCCCAGCCGTTGTAGTGCTCCGGGGCAGTCTCGGGCTCCACGCCGGGCGGCGTGTTCTTCTTGATACCGTCCAGGCTGATTCGCTGGAATGGCGCAATCGTCCATGCGTTCGTCTCGATGGCGTATGCCGGAGTAATCAGATCAGCCCATTGCTCTGCGGTATTAGTCGCAGTATCAGGATAAGCCCTCATGGCATCGCCGGGGGCAAGGGGCCAGGCCGCGACGTGGATCTGCTCGCCACAGGAGACGTTCAGGGACTTGAGGAAAGGGTTCATGTTCTCCCAGCAGTGAAGCTGACCAAGGCGGCCAATGTCAGTGTCAGTGACAGACATGAAGGTATCGCCGGAGCCATCTCCGTAGACAAGCTTCTCTACGTGACTAGGCTTGATCTTGCGGCGGTGGTTGATGACATCGCCATTAGGGTCGATCATGACCTGGGCAAGATAGCAAGTGGCATAGTCAATCTCAGAAAAGCCGAGAGAGACGAAGCTATTCGCAAGCTAGATTAGTTTAAGGAGTATAATTTGATTCTTGCACAAGCTGCCTTACATATGATTGTCTCGGGCAGCCTTTCGGATGCGGCGCATTTCGTCAGAGTCGACCCTCATGCTGTTCTCTCGGTAGAGCTTGATCATGGGCAACTGCTGCATGTAGTTGACCTTGGCAATGTCAGATTTGGTAAGAATCTCCCAACTCGATACCTTTTCCCAACACTACACTCACCTTCCACAACCAGTATGGGTATCCAGGAATCCCTAAGTTTGATTAGCAAAGACTCATAACTCATAGCCGTCTCACTCAGAGCTTCGACGAAAAGCTTACATGTCTCAGGGAAGCCGATCAGTTTGCAACCGGCCTTGCCAGCTTCGTTGATCAGGGAAATTGTCTTCTGGACGCCTGCTTCCAGGTCGAACCACTGTCCATTGTGTTAATCTGGGGCTCCACCATTGCGAGCGTTGCATCACTTACAGCAGGCTCACTGACGACCTTGATGGATGTTAGACTGGATTTTCTTACAACACACACAAACGGGTTTAACGTACCGCGGCGGCCTTGTACTTGTGGATGTAAGAAGGCATGTTGGATAAGACTTTGACAAGAATCTTGAGATTCGAAAGCTGTTGGGCGTTTGTAGAGACTGATGTGCAATGTGTAGCAGTGATGATCGAGAGTTGCTTGATGGTTAGGGTCAAGACTGCGATAACTCAAGCATCTTATATAGACGCTTCGTGAACGACATGAACGCTTGAGTTCCCGGAGATGATATCTTCCATCCAACCGAGAGAACCTTCACCTCTTACCGAGGATAAAACTGAGATTCTCGTCAGGGAAGGCTTCACAATGGCGACGCGATCATCCTTTCGGCTACTCAAGAGAGTATCATGATATCAGCGATGTGATTGCGCTAGTCTTACCCCGGTTTCTGAGAAGGTTATTCCCCGCACACGCTCGGTGAAGAGCTTGCCGCTTCATCCGTCCCCTCAAGGTACCCTCTATCCTTGTCTGGCTCCGCCACACCTGTGATGCATCATCTAGCTTAAAACCCCGGCGAACTAGTGTACAATCCCCGAGGATCTTTTGGATCTCGGGGACCACTCCGGTATGGCTCTTTTAGACGTACGATAGTTCCACGTAAGAGACAAACAGACTACTAAGTTTACATACATCCCAGGTTCTAAACGCCACTGACAAAATTCGTTTAGAAGCTGTTTAAGTATCTCGAAGCCTAATTATGGTGGTATGATACTTCAATTCTTTTTGGCAGGGGTTACACTTCGAACTAGCGATTCAGATCCTTGCGGCTCGTATTACATCCTGGAGCTTCTCCGCATCATTGACCAGCTTTCATTGAGCTTGGAGCTATCAGAAGCGTCGATTAAGCTTGGATGCGTTTACTAATTAGTGAACATATCGACATCGACAACTACTGGCCAGGAGTGGACCACTTCGGATCAGCGGATGCATTGTAAATAGGGGCGTATTTGATTTCTGGAGGTCGTCTTCCTTGGAAAGATAAGCTGAACTCTAATTAGAATCCGCCACGGCTTCCTCGTGTTGGCCGGTGAGAATGCATTTTCGGCCGGACTCATTAGAGGCATCGCATGAACGGATTTGAAGTAATGCTACGTTGGTCCCCCGCTCGGCCTCGTCCTAAGGTATTAGAAAAAGATCTTGTTTCCCTTTCTGAGCCAAGTAGGATGTGATGGCAAGGGGTTCAACGCATCCTGATTTTTAGCCTAAGTTATTGGAGGGAGTCCTTCGACAAAAGCTCACGAAAAGAGGTATTCTTGCTTCCGTTGAGAGTGATGGTCTTGCCAGTCTCCGTCAGAGCGCGGCTCTATGTCGAGATTTAGCAATCGCAATCCAACAAGATGGGAACCAAGGCATACCCATGCCCACAAAAACCCTTACCTAGTCATACAATCTCACCGTTTTCAACATCCTTGAGATACTAGCTACACCTAGATTAACTGTCCGTAAAACGATGGCCCATAGCATACTATGGAGCAGTAAATAACAAAAGAAAGAAAAAGAAAAAAAAAAAAACCTTCAGCTCGTTGCGGGATTCCTACTGTAGTAGATGTTTCCATATTTCCATATGTATTTATATCGGCTGGGATTAGGAGACTGAGGAACACAAGCCTCGGAAGCTTTGCAACATTTCCCACTTTTCTAGGCAAATGTTACTCGATATGCAACCATTGATGGACAGTCTATCAACGAGCATCCAGCCCAGCTACTTTTGTAGCCACTGCAACATTGGGGACATTTCCTGGCCTCTGGTAGCCTCTTCTATGGATACTTTTACGCACTGATATTGAGATTAGTGCAAGTAAAACTCCAGGAGAGCAAAGTCTTTCCGGAGCTATGCAAGTACTCGACGTAAACCCCGAACCACCGCCATATACCTTGTCCTTTTACCTCGCTCTTGGTCCCCAACCCCACACCACCCAACCCCTTCTTGGACGTGTGCATCCTGGAGAAGAAAACAATTACGTTGCGACCCCAATACCACCGGGGTGGTTCACTTGGGAGTTATGGGCTCGGGCCAGCGGCTCTGATCAATGCAGGCTGTTACTGTTTGGGAACTATAATCCGCCGAGACTTCGAGGTAGGACTAACGAGGGAACATTTTAGTTTGTCACCATTCCAATCCTGTTACGACCCTAACACTGGCCCGTTGACAGTATGTATCAGGTGGATACAACTGGTGTTGGGGTCGTGTACGAAGTAACTCGGTATCCGCCTCAGTTGCATTGAAAGTCTTGGCGATTTAAATCTCCTAATCGGGTATAGCAAATGCGGGGTTCTTCTAATCCGAGTTGGGAAGTATTATCCGCCAAGAGTATATGAAGGTTGCCGTGAACCCCCGTTGGCAATAACCAACGGATCAACACCGTTATCCATCAACCAACGAAGGAAATATGAAGATTCGACAACGCACCGTATGCAGTGCCTGCAGGTCACGGAAGCTCGGTGTAAGTCGTCTAGGCCCTTGAGTGGCTTATGAAGGCCTGACCAATATTCTAGTGCGATGGTAATCGCCCGGCATGTTCCCAGTGCCTTCATTCGAGAAGGCAGTGCCCCGGATACCAGACTGATCTCATTTTCCGGTCCCCTGTTGTACTCGTGCCTAGCTCTCCTGGACTACGTCGAAGGCGGCAGAATGCAGCAGCTTATCAGCGTCAAGAGGGCCGAAAAAATTCAGGCCTTGGCCAACAACCACGACGGCATACGGACGCGCCAATATTACTACCTCCTCTTCGCATGCTGAGTTGGCCTCTGCGTGACGTCATCTCATTCTGTGTTCAGAATTTCATCCCTGTTCACGAACACCCGTTGCTCTCTGAAGATCCGCAGCGGTTACAGTCTCGGATTTGCGGTGCCTGGGTAGAAGCGCTTCCCAACTTGGCCGTCAGGAGTGACCTTGGACCCCTTTCATTAGCCATTAAGGCGCTTGGGGTTACGATTGCCACCTTAGGCCAGACAACTAGGGCACCAATTCCCGATGCCCTTGAGGCTAAATGTACAGCTCTCAACACTTTGCAGTCTGCTATCCGCAATAATACCATTTCGCCTTCCAATGAGCTGGCTGCTACTATGATATGTTTATTTATATCAGAGGTAAAGTACTTATTCGATATTCCTGTGGTCTTATCCTAGATGCATTATCAATCTAACTTACACTTTTTCCTCTTTGATGTTGGTAGATGCTACTACCCACCTCGGCAATGAGCTCCGTAATCCACGAGAAGGCTATTAGTGATCTAATTCGCCTCAACCATCCCTCTTTCTACTCATCCGGGTTACCATACAAACTCTTCATTGGAATTCGGCCAATGCTTGTAAGTTTGATTACTTCTGTCACTAGTCGTCTTGGCCCAAACTCAGCCTCTCGGAGCCTGCGTCACTAACCGTCACAGATACTTCACGCTTTCGTGAAACGCAAGTCCACATTCCTGGCAGATGATGATTGGAAAAGTGAACCATTTCGTATTTTTCCGGCTATCCCACTCCAGTCCCTTATGAGTAATGCTGCTATGATATCCGCTACTTTTGAAGACCTCGATAAAGCAAAAATCGACCCTCAGAATGGGGACGCTCTAGATTTGATGTCTAGATTTCTCCAGGCCGCGGATCAGCTTGCGCAGTGGGAAAGGACTGAATTTCCTGTTTATCAAAGCCCGCTGTGGTGGCCAGTGACCACAGCTGGTGGTGAGACGTACCTCTGGTTCCAGGACCTGGCAGTAGCCAACTGCACCACCTACTTCTGGGCATTTCGGATTATTTGTCTGACCAACATTAGACAACTAAGAATTGAATTTCCCAGCCTACTGCTGCTAGACATAGATATAGATGGGAAATCCCCAGAGAGCATCGAAGTAACGCAGGAGATTATCCAGCTGTCTAACCAGATTATTCAAAGTATGGAATTTTTGACCCAAGAGGAAATGGGGGTGTACGGAGTTGCTTCAGCTGCACTACCTCTTCAAATTGCCTTCGGGGTCCTTAGCGACATGGGGAGTGATTCAGAAGCGGGGTCCAAACCTTACTTGAAGACGATCAAGAAGATAATAGATAAGGGATATAAGGAATGTCTGCTATATGGGATTCCTACGGAAGAAGTCAAATAAGACTAGGATGACTTTCGCCGTTATGGAGATGTCAACAATAAGTGCAACAAGCCGTAGAAACGCCCATCACCTTTGCAGTCGACCCAGATGTCATGTGTACGGCACATTACACTACGCTGCATACTGCCATCAAACCGGTGAATTCCCCGAAGCCATGACCCAGAGTCCGATCGAGGCAGATGATGCAAGAGACCCACGAGTGTTGCAGCCGACTACTTATACCCTGCTTTCTACACTGGTCTCTAGAAGGGGAAACGGTGTCTCCGCTAGCTTTGTAGCAGTTTCAACGAACAGCGGCTGGACAAACCATGGCGGCGCCAATTCCCGAAGCAATTGTCTAAAGCACAACAGAATAGGGCTAGAATACCCTCGATGCACTGGATAGCCGTTGAACAAAGGCAAAGGCCGGTGCTGCTGCGATGAATCTCCACTCCCGAGAATCTCCGGATCGGTTGCGCAGTGATGTCCGTTTTCCGGGTCTCTCTGCTTTTCCCCGTCTAAGCGTACACCCGCTATCGCCCAAGCCACTACGGCGGCCTGCGAAATGGCGACGAAATGAACCAGGCTAAAGATGTCAGCCGTTCGTTCTCGGTAATCGGCCAGCGCCTGGGACAGGACATTCCAGATTTCGATTGCATGGTAGAGAGCAATTTTTGCACCCAGTGACTGGGCCCAGACGCGTGCCTCTGACACGAAGACCTCTATTGTCCGCGAGAACTGCTTGTGCGGCACACCAATTGACGCCAGAACTTCTTGGAGGTGATCGATGGGGGCTCCGAGGCGCATCTGTGCTAGGTGAAACAACACTTGGCTTCGGAGAAGGGTTCGGGTATCTGATCTTGGGTGTACGGAGAACGACGCTCCCTTCTCCGCTGTTAGCGACACATTCCACTTCCCTAATGCCCATAATACATTATCCAGGTCTGACTGAAGACTCTTCAATCGATACGATATATATCGCTGAGAGGCGTCGCTGAGGCCTCGCGCTGCTGAATCTAAATTCGGTTCGGCTCTGGGTTCAGTGAGACAGGCTTCTCTCTCATCAGGTGTCGAGTAGGTTGGGTAGCGCAGTTCGGTAATGTTCTGGCTCGACGGTTGAGACAATATGTTTACATGTCCGATATGTCCACAGAAGATGAGTGGGCTGCGACACACATTCCAGACCGATCCCTGCAGCCCAAGAAGGACAAGATCGTGCTCCAGGGCTGTCAAATGAGGTAGGTTCTCTCGCGGATCTAAAGTAATGTCCACGAGATGGGCAAATAGGTATTCAGATCGTCCATCTACCCCATCGCTTGCTTCCAGTGACCTTCGTTGCCAATCATGGCCCGTGTAGGTCCACGCTTCATCGCTGCACGGCATCTCTAAGGTCACCTCTCTATGTGAGACAAGAGGCATGGTGTTACGCATCACGCTAAGGTAGGTGTCATAGCGAACAATCCCGTATGCAAGCCTCCTACGCATATTAGCTTCGATCCATTCCATCAACCTCGCGTCGGAGCAGTTGACGTGGGGTCGATAGTTACTGAAGTGCTGGCTTGGGACATAACGGTCATTGAAGAGGTTTAGTCTGCGGCACTGCGAGACCAAGATGCTGTTGATATGATGTGCATGGGAGAATGTCGGGTCCTGGCCAAGTAGGAGCTCGGCTCCCAAGGTAAGGAAGCCAAATAACAAAAACACGGTCATTTTACCCTCGTCTGAGTCTTGTACGACGGTTTTGGCGTAATGCGACCTCAATCGATCGTGAAGCATCCTTCCATACCGAGCAGCTTTTTCGCCGGCGTACATGGCGCCGATGGAGACCATGCTAAGAAAAAGGGTGGGCGAGATGGCGTACGAGTCAAACCCTTGCTCCCAGAAAACAGGGCATTGGGGATGAAAGTGCTCGAAGAAGAGTGACACAAACTGGTCGAGGATGTGTCGAGATTTGAGCCCGGGGTTCGAACCGTGGCCTTCGAGCCCGAAGGCATTTTCGACCTTTCTTGACCCATCGTGACGAGCTTGAATGCGGGCCCTCTGGTCTGGTTTTCCGGGATCCCTGTCTGTCATTGTGGCAAACTCGATATGGCTCTCAATCACAGTGTGCTGGATTTCTATGTCACTGACGGGCTGGAGCGATGGCTCAGTTCGTTCTGATAGGCGTTGAAAAGAGTTGTGTTCTGCCTCCTGGCTCTCTCGAACGGCCAATTCGCTCCTAGCGGGCATGGCATAGGTATGTGCTAGAACAACGTCACGGCTGCTTGTTGGGGTGATCTGCCCGAGGTCCGTCGGCTCGTTTCCGGTGGGAAGGTTTGTCGCTCCTTCCACCACCGGATCCACGCCTATCAACATGCCATCATATATCCATGGCCATTCGGACCAGTCGGCAGAGCTAAACAAGTCGCCGGCCCCAAGCAGACTCTCTAGGCTCTCTAGTCCTTTCAAGGCTTGTCAGCAGACTAGTAGACAGATAAGCTCCTTAGCAAAGGCTGCGAGGGCCGAATCTCAATAAAGGTGTTCATAGGACGAACAGCCGTTATAGGGAAGGCTCTCCAGCCCAATGACAAGAAAAGGAGAGCTAGGTTTGACAACTTACCGGTGACCGATGTTGGAGATAAAAAGAGATCATCTGGAATAGAGTTTTCAACTCTAGCCTCAGGAACTCGTTGGAAGTCAGTCGAGGCGGGCGCTATCACCGGTAGCGGATCCTGCGTAGACTCGGGAGAATGTTGGGGGCTGTAGCCCATCGACGCGGTTGTGCGCACATCATCGTCGTCTTCAACGGTTAACAGTGCTTCTTGGAGGCTCAACCTCACGGATCGCTTGCTCTGAACGCATTGGCGATCGGCGCGCTGGCATGCGGCGCAAGGAATTCCTCCACTGCACTTAATCTTAGCTCTCCTGCAACGGGTGCAGGCGATGGCAGCTCTCTGACGGCCAGCGGTCTCGTTGTGATCTTGAGATTGGTAATGAATCTGACTATGCCGGACAAGAAGGTCCCTGCGATAGAAAATACAACGGCAAATGCTACAAGCGTATTTCTTGTTACGACTGTGAGTGTTTCGGTGTCGAGTGAGGGCGTCTCGGGAGCGGTAGGATCGCCGACAGACTTCGCAGATGTGCGATGTTGGGATACGCGTTGGCCTCTGTGAGTCTTCTGAGGCGGCGCGGGTCGCTTCTTGATTGCCGCTCATCGTATCTTGCTCCCGGTACGGATATTCCATAGGTAGGCGTTGTAAAGCAATCCTTAGCATCCAACAGCTCAGGGGCTTTTTTTTTTTTTTTTTTTTTTTTATTATTATTATTCTTTACGAATTAAGGATGGAAGGATGGGTGCATTGATCATGCGGGCTCCATCTGCCAAGACCTGCTGAACCGATCACCCCAACATTCCGGGACCAGCACCCGGCAATTTGGTACTTGGAAATGCTATGTATTGGACTTAACCCCGCATGTAGGACATTAGTGTTAGATTTAGACCACTACACCAAAAATGAGCGACGTGCCACTCTATAGTGCTTGGTCATAAATCTATTATTTCAACAATTAGTACGAAGTAGTTTAGTATACTTCGTACACAGCGACGAATGTGGACGCAGGTGGACTGACCCATGACGCCTGAGGCCAGCCAGTTTTTTGGGGGGGGGGGTAGGACGCCAAAAAAAAAAAAAAAAAAAGAAGAAAATGAAATTAAAGAACGAAAACAGCAAGCATCTTCAAGAAAGATATCGTCAAAGGCAAGAGCTAGAGAAATAATAGAATTAATAACGCATACGCTTTGCATATTCTACGGGCCAAGCTCAACACTTTCAACTACTTCTTCTCTCGCCCTAGTCTGCCCAGCTCCGGCAGATTTTCTGCTTGCCATCGCTGCCACTCGTCTGCGTACTCGGGCTGATCGCGGAGGTATATCTGGTCCTTACTGACCTCAGCTGTGCACCCGGTCTCGTCGCCGTTGATGAATCGGTCATAACACTTCATTACCGTCTCGATTGGTGTGATAGCTTCGGTTGGAATCAGACTCATTAGTCTCTCTGTTAACCTAGTCGAGATGATTCCAGGGCAGAGACAGTTAATCGTGATGTTCTCGGCCTTAAGTCTCGGTGCCATAGCCCGAACTAGACCCACAACCTGCGTGATGAGACAACCGGCTTAGCGACTTCGAGAATGTAGCACGGACTATAGGGGCTACAGGGACGGTCTTCATACCCCGGATTTGGCTGCTGAGTACAGTGGCACAGACTCGAGTGGATACAGCGCTGATGAGCTCGCCGTCACCGTGATCTTGCCGCCGGGGGCTACGGGGTGTTGTCGAAAGTAATGTAGGGCAAGATATACGGTGTAGATTGCTCCCTTGAGGTCCACGTCGACGGTTTCGAGTATCGGCTTCGGCGGCGCAACCCCTGCCTTCGGTGAGGTAGGAGTGTATATAGAGTGAGTATCGATAATTCCGGCATTCGCTGCGACTATATCGAGAAAGTTAGTCGTCAAACGCTCACGAGCCTTGCATAGAGAGTTTAGCTAATCTTACCGAAGTCAATTCGCTTCCATTTCGCCCATACTGTCTCGAACAAGGAAGCTTGTTGATCATAGTCAGTAACATCCGCCGCCACAAAGACAGCGTCCTCTCCCAGTTCGGCCTCCATCGCCTCTCCACGTTGTTTGTCGACGTCGCTCATCCCGACTCTCCATCCCTGTGAAAGCAGATGTCGGGCCAAGGCGAGGCCCATCCCGCCTGCTGTCTTTCTGTAAGCACTTGCGGAACACATCGTGTCTAGGTCCTGAGAACATGCGTACCAGCCCCAGTGATAATTGCAACCTTGCTTTCGTCCGTCATGTTAAAGGTGTGTGAGTGGGTGAATGACTAGTCTTTGGTAGTAACTGGAAGCAACTGGGAGCGCCTATTACTTCTACGGGGTCTTCGCGTCGGTTCTCTTTAATCAAAAAAGATTCGTCCCTGTGCATACAGTGCCGACCGCCAATAGGCCCGCGCCTTGTAGTCGGCAAATGAAGCCTATGACACCACTTGAGATGACAAGGACTGTGATTCGCCGAGACCCTCCTTTTGGTCTGGGTTCGGCAACCCCTATCTTCCCTCCTCGACGACCACATTACCCGAAGTTAGGAATCGTTGCCGTCCCCACAAAACAACCACCTAAGCCGTGCTGGTGAAAGCGCTAGTGGTCGTGTAGGCTTTACGTCCGCCACGTCCTTCCGAGCTTCGCGTCGTGATGACTGGAGTGGATTTAGAGCTTCTTATTTAAATTACTTCCCTCAAAACCAGCCAAGATTCCCTCAAGAAGCTCTCTCTCCGCTCTAATGAGGAGTTACGATACGTCTCAATCTTATAGTGAACGGTACGCAACAGGCTAGATACACTCTTACCCCGTCGTTTGCATAACAGCTACCCACGAACATGGCACCCTTAGAGCTTCAGTTTCCTAGGAATCGAGAGTTTGCCGGCGGGGACTTACTGGCACAATCCCTCAAATCACTTGGAGTAGACGTGGCGTTTGGCATTCATGGGGGCCATCTCGATTCTTTCTTCATGGGATGTTTCGACAGCGGGATTCGACTTGTTGACACTCGCCATGAAACCGTAGCCGTGCAGGCTGCAGAAGGCTACTCCAAGGTCAAGGGGACTGTTGGAGTGGCCTTCGTCACGGCAAACAGCGGGTGTGTACATACACATCTTGAGCTCCCCATCAAACTTCCCCACCTGCTAATTTGCCTACTTTTCTTCGTAGCTTCTGCAACGGCCTTCCGGGACTAGCCTCGGCGCTAGCAGACCGCAACCCTATTCTCGTCATTACTTCTTCAGCTCCTATGGTTGACACGGAGACAAATGCGATCCAGGGATACATCGATCAGGTGGATGTCGCGAGACGCATGACCAAATACGCCCATAGGGTTCCTCAACCGGAAGAAATCCCTCGATTTGTCGCTCACGCGTATCGCACCGCTCTCTCAGGGGCACCCGGTAAGATATTGTGAAGTCGATAGCATGCATCTCGAGACCCGTACCTGACGTTTAACAACTAGGTCCTGTGTTGCTGGACTTCCCCTGCGACGTTCTTTTCAAGCCGGTGCATCAATGTCGCATACAATGGGGAGCCATCGGGACCCCGATGCCCTATCGTCCAGGGCCAGCCAAGGCGGCCATCAGAGAAGCCGTAGACTTGTGGGAGCAGGCAATCAGGCCAGCGGTTATCATTGGCTCTGGAGGCCGAAACCCAGAGGTATGAGCACTACTCCCACGAACAAGCAGTTCTGGTGGACCAAAGCTGATCCACCCGATGAAACAGGCACATGAGCAATTATCTAAACTTATTGCGGCCACCGGAACTCCCGTCTTCCACGGCGCAAAATACAGAGGGTTTAACTTAGTGGATTCCCGCTTCGACGCTGGTGCAGCAAGAGGCCTTGGAGCTCTCGCTGCTACTGGAAAACCCCGGCCAGACTTGATAATCCTGCTCGCCTGCAGAACTGGGATGTACCTGGGCGGCCGCCAGGGTAGCGTGCTTCCCAAGGAGGGTTGCAAGTATATCCAGGTGGATATTGACGGAGGAGAGATCGGCAGAACACAGCCAATTGACTGTGGCATTGTATCTGACCTCGCCCTGGCCTTAGAGGCTCTAAACGAAGAGATTGAAAAGAGGCCAGCTTTCAAGGCGCCGAATGACTGGCTTGAGCTTGCCGTCAGCGTGCAGCACCGCACACCTCCCATGGAATCGGACCCAGTGGAAATCACCCCAGGACGGATGAACGTGTACCAGGGCGTCAAAAAGGTTCTGTCGTCTTTGGAACCGGGGGCAATCATCTGTCTCGATGGTGGAGAGTCGGCACTCTGGGGAGCTGATCTTGCGCACCATGCAAGGCCTTATTTAGTCCTCGGAGCTTTAGGCTACCTTGTGCTATTGGGCAACGGTTTCGGATACTCGCTGGGTGCCGCGATAGCTGACCCATCCCGCCAAGTGGTCAACATTCAAGGCGATGGATCTGCGGGTTTCCATATATCTGAGATGGATACATACTCCCGCCATGGGCTAAATATCCTGACTGTTGTAGTTAACAACTATGTCTGGGCCATGTCCATCCATGGCCAGGAGCTCTTTTATGGCGATGACCATCCCGCTCGGTGCGTCAGTCAGGAGCTCTTTTATGGCGATGACCATCCCGCTCGGTGCGTCAGTCGGCTAAGCCCGGAGGCACAGTATGATCAGGTGGCATCGGGCTGGGGTGCTACCGCGGTAAAGGTGACAACGCTGGAGGAGATTGAACCAGCGGTCAGGAGTCTTTCGGCTGCCGATGGTCCCGCATGCCTCAACCTTGTTGTTGACGACAAGCCTGTCCACCCAGTGACGAAACTCTACATGAACTCCGATCCAGACCCGATGACTATCAACGTACCTTACTACAGCAAGATCCCACGACCTTTCTACAAGGTTTAGGCAGATAAAAAAAAGAGGTTAGGCATCTTCTCATAGACTTTAGTCCAGGAACGCCTGGAGTTCTTGCCGTTGTGCGAATATATCGTACCATCATATTAGAGAATAAATTAAACAATATCGCCCCGTGAGTTCACGATTCGTGAGTGAAATAAACGATATTCTTGCATAATTGATAATGACGATGAACCTTTTTTTGCCCGTCGTGGGGTTGCTCTTAAACTAGAAGCGGACAACAGAAACGGTGTACGGCAAGTGACTATAGGGTATTTCACTGACCTCAATTATCGAATCGAATATTCTTTAAAAAAACGACGAATGTCATTCTAGCTGACAGGATCGTCGCCAACCCGGAATGGCCTACCGATGTCCCTCAGCAACGATTGTCGCGACGTTTTGCTCCGGTAAGATAATCGCAAAGGGTGACAATTAGCCCAATAATAAAACAAAAGATCCCCCAGTTCCAGCGTCACATGCCAGGAACTACCCCTTACGTCCATTGACGAACCATGCCATCGCGGCGGATTCCCAGCCACTTTGTGTATTCTATCACAGTTCTGGAGATTGCAATGTTAGATGGATTTAGCTATATATTGGCTATGCGGCCGCGTATTCTCGTACTATAGACACGCCGCTTGAAACTTCTTTGACGGCAGGCAGATATCCCTTTGCCATGGTACCCTCTCTTTCTGGAGACAATGCAAAACCACCTCACTGGTATCTCGGGAGCTGCACTCAAGCTTGAGCTTTCCACAGATTAGCTCCAATTGCATTGTGCCGTCTATCCTAGCGGAGATACCTAGATAGCTAGTTATAGCCCCCATTCAACCATGTGTCTAGACAGTAGAGTGAAGATGTTCCACCAACACTGCCTCCTTCTCTGTTTCCTCATCATTTTTTTCAACGTGTTCATCGGCATAGTACAGTTCATCTCGGTCCTAATCAAGCAAATCGGTCAGTTGGAATGCTTTTCGGCAAGAGGCTCGCCGAAATGGAAAGGATTACGCACGCCAAACATAGCTGCGACTTCCTCAAGCGGCACACCCCAGGTGTCCGGAGCAAAAAAATAGATCCAGAGGGACATGAGGATTGCCGGGCAAATAAAACACATATAAAACTTCCAGCCAATGTTCCTGAGTGGTTGCTGTCAGCTTTGGTCTCGCGCTCAAGTTCCCTCCAGAGTCCTCAGTAACAGGGCAGGAATTAAGCTTACTCCAGGGCCGTGGGGGCGGCTTGCAACCACACCACGCTTATTATCAACCTAGCGTCAGTCCATGGTTCATTTTGTTGCGGGGAGGTGTCGAGACTTGTAAAGCTCTTAAACGTACTCCGTGAGCGTGATAGAAGCGACAGCAAGTGCCATTCCTTTAACACGCAAATGCGTGGGGAATATCTCGCCAAGGTAGGGCCACAAGGTGCAGTCCACGCCCCCGTTGAAGGCGGCGAAGAAGATGAACATCATAGAGACGGCGGCACGCAAGCCATGCACATTGTTTGCTGGCACCATCGTGGCTGTCAATGCAGCCAGGACGACAACACAAGTGATACACACACCCTCACTGATCGCCATGAGCTTGTTGCGAGGGACACGATCTACGATCCACACAGCGAATGGGCTCATGACAGTTCCAGCCATAGTGCTGCAGGCATGAAAAATGAACTGCGACTCTTTATCGTAGTGAAGACCTCCATAGATGGAGGGGCCGTAGTCTAACATTTTCGTCAGCGGCCAAAGCCATTGATGCGGATGGGAAGAGACTGGATGCTAGCTTACTGTTGATAACAAGCGCGCCAACCATTTGAGTGGAGGACGCCAGGATGACGGCAATAATTGCCCGTTTCCTATACGACGGTTTAGTAGCGATACGCCGCCAACTGCTGTCTAGTCTGCTATCAATGGCGATCTGGTTGCGGATCTGCTCCAGTTCGATGGTAGCTTCTTCTTCATTGTGCAGCTTGTGTAGCACGGTTGCCGCGTCCTCTGGGCGATCCTTCATGAGCAGATAACGAGGGCTTTCTAGAGTGGCGTGAAGTTATTAGCGATCTCCTAAACCCTCATATAATTTGGATACTTACCGGGGATCCAGTATATCATCAACAAGAGGGCGATCAGCGGGAAGCATTGGACGACTGGCCGACGTGTCAGTGTCGAAGACTCTGCGAATTTAATGGATATTAGGCCAGATGCCTACGTAGTGGAATCCTCCATGCGAGGTTGCTTTTGACGTGAAGGAAGCCGTATCCAAGCCACTGCGAGATACAGTAGCCAATGCTCAAGGAAATACCGTGGGAGACTCCCATAGCACCACGGACAGAAGGCGGGGCGACTTCGGCCATCCAGACTGGAATCACCAATAGGAGGCAGAAAGCACTAAGTTCAACTCGTCAGTCATCCCCGGTCCCCCTCAAAGAACTGATGGGCATGGAGGAGTAGGAGTTGCATTTTACCCAACGCCATTGATAAATCTCATTGCCATGAACATCCCAAAGTGCACGGAGCCGCAGAGGAGAGCACTACTAATGGCCACAGTTGCGGAAGCCTATAACAGTTATCGCTGGTCAGACATATCCTGCAAAACGTGAGGCACTGTCGACCTACCAGTGCGATACCCATCTTCCTACCCCATTTGTCCGCGATCGGAGTGATGAGGAAACATCCTATGAAGCCACCGGCCATGTAGAGTCCCTGTGGTTCATGATCAGAATTATGCAGAGTGTAAACATATTATATCGTCGACGTCTCACAGTTGTTGCCGCCTTTAGAGGGGTACCATTTCGTCGGGTATCGAGTTCGAAATAGGAAATAAAGTAAGGTTGTGCCCTGACCTTTGTTAGCCTTGAGCTTTGTTCACGCTCGCAGAGTCGCAGTGGGCAAGAGTCCAGCACCTACATAGTAGTACCCATGATAGACGCGCTGCATCCGTATCCGAGAGAGCCTAAGCTCATCGCTATAATCATCATGACATTGAACCATCGAAACTGCCTGGTCTTGGAATGTTCGATCTGGATATCTGGATCCGCACTAGCGTGACGGGTTCTCATGGCTGCGGTGGAGTTGAAAGGTCCGGTTCTAAATGAGGCGACCATGAACGACAATGAATGAAAGGAGTTAAAATCCTCGACAATGGACGCAGCATGCCATGTTCGACTTGACGAGCATCGGCCGACGCCTTATGTAGTTGGCCCCTTAATTATTTTTGGTAATTCGTGCGGCAGTCAGTTGAAAGCTTAGATTAGAATCCGGGGTACTCCACAACCACTTTTGCCATCTCCACGGCCTCCCCACCCCACATGGCGTCTAGGTTCGTCTCCCACCTACCACAATTATCCGACCCTCCACGACCACATCTCCCGGGTCCACCCCTTACACCTGCCTACCACCATATCCGAGGGAAAGAGTCTCCTAGTTAAGACTAAGATCTAAGCCCTTGATAATGTCAAAAGCAGCTAGATAAGAAAGAAAACCACTCCGTCGACGCCACTTCTATTTGGCGTCTTCTCATTCTTTTCCCTTACCATCGGATCAAATCACTTCTCACAATGCGTGCGCTTCGATTTCACGGCCCTAAGGACTTTCGAGTCGACGAGATTCCCGAGCCAAAATGCGAGCCAGGATGGGTTAAGATCAAGATTTCCTGGTGTGGCGTTTGTGGTACAGGTAAGACATAAAAGCTGCTATTTCATATTTGTGGTACAACCCGAAAAGGCATTTTTTCTAAAGGACCAAAAACAAAAAGACATTCACGAGTATATGAACGGTCCACGTCTAGTGCCAACAACGCCTCACCCCGTGACTGGAGAGGTCCTCCCTTGCACGTTAGGTAGGTCTCCCCCATCCAAAAGTATGCATGCCATCCGGGGGTAGGATGATATCCTAATAGGACATGTCTTGTTCGCAGGCCACGAGATGTCCGGGACGGTCATTGAGACCGGGGAAGGAGTCACCGGTTACGCGCCCGGTGACCGAGTTGTGGTTGAGAGCGTCGTCTATGATGACTCCTGTTATGCCTGTAGGCAGCATGCTCCAGGGCTATGCCACCAGCGAGTCTTCGTTGGTTACACCGGCTACGGGGGCGGATTTGCCCATTATATCTGTGCGCAGCCGAAGTCAATCCACAAGTTACCGGACAGCATCTCAATGGAAGTTGGTGCGTTGATAGAGCCGCTGGCAGTTGCATGGCATGGAGTGAAGGTCAGCCAGATCAAGCAAGGTCAATCAGCATTGATAATAGGCGGGGGTGAGTCTCCATTAACGCTTGAACTACCTGAAGCTTCCTGACAAGAGGCAAATTCGGAACAGGACCCATCGGGCTAGCCGTCTTGTTGTGTCTTCAGGCCCATGGGGTGAAAGTCATCCTCGTGTCTGAAATGTCGGCAACGCGAGCGTCCTTTGCAACATCTCTAGGAGCCACTGCGACATTTGACCCACTCGCCGATGACGTCGTTGCATCGAGTCTGCGTTGGTGCGATGGTCTGGGCGTTGATGTGGTGTTTGACTGCGCCGGTGTCCAACAGTCGGTAGATACGGCATTCTCGGCAGTGCGAGTCCGCGGCACAATTGTCAACCTAGCGATGTGGAAGTCGAAGCCTGTAGTGAACGTAAATTTGTTTCTCTCGAAACAGATGGCCTGGGTTGGGTCTTCTGTTTATTCACAGGGTGACTACCAGGAAGTTATTGATGCTATTGCTTCAGGTATGTTCTCCTATGTTTACTTTACTTGCAGTCACGCTAAGGTGCTGTTCTAGGCCAGATTGTAGCTCCAGAACGCTTAATCACTGCAAAGATTGGGCTAGACGAGGCGGTCGTCAAAGGCTTCGAGAGGCTCGTCGCCAGAAATAATACAGACATCAAGATACTTATATCGCCAAAGGAAATAATAGTATAAAGTAGAGCTATATATCTCAGGGGTTATTATGAGAGTAGACATGTCACATAGTGAAGCAGTAGAACAGGCCAACTCTAAAGTCACGGTAAGCTAGGTATAATATAGTAAACTCACTAATTACTACCATCTTCCGCGCCCGCTAGCAACACGCAAGGTCCACGTACGACTGGGCGGTAGTGTCACGGCCACAAATGGCCAAGACCTGCGGACCAGGCAGTCAGGCCCAGCAGAAAAGGGGAAACTACGAAATAACGGGAGGATCACGGGAAACATGGATCACCCGTACTCACAGTGATCTACGAGTGATCCAAGTCAAGCAGGATCACGGCGAGCCAGGGTGATCCAGGGAGAGCTTGGAAGGGAAACGTCCACATAAGCTACAGCTTCCACCATATATCTAGTTTATCTTTCAAGACTCTCTAGTAGTCAATTCAAGTACAACTACACCACTACATTTGAATACACACTTCTTACTAATGTCTTATGAATTACTACTTGACTGCCTCGCTTCATAACAGGCAACCCTTGAACCTAACACCAGTTGTAATTATCCACTTGATACTGTTAACGAGCTAGTGTTAGGATCGTAACACTTTACTCCTATTGGTCTCTGGTGGAGTGATGGGCCTGCCTGTTAGTTCTGTTGGTTCTATCTCCACTGGTTGGTGATACTCTGTGGTTTATCCTTTTCTGCTGGGTTTCACTGCCCTGAGCCTGTATAAAGGTCGGCCTGTGATATACACTTGCTGACACTTTAGAAGCACTCGACTCTCTGGGCCGACTACAAAGGACGAGGCCCCTTTTCGGGGACTCCTTGTGTTGGATCCTATTTCTGGGGGCTTACCTTGTGAGCCCCCGTTTTGGGACCTTTTTTTCAACTTATTTAGAGTAGCTTGAGTAACTATGTTGAAAGCTTTCTCGGGTGTTTTAATTGAACATTCTTACACTTCCCCGAAGCTGGTCTTCGCGAGTCTCGTGAGTGTTCTATATCCACGACTACCTCCAATACAACTAGCCCTCATACTAGGGCACTATCCAGACTGTTTGACCAGGTTGTGATAACTCCCATCATAACCCATAGCTTGAAACAGCCTTATGGTTCTCGGTTCCTGCTTATGACACATAAAGATGTCATGTTCTCTCAGGTATCTGCTGATCTTTTCGTAGACCTCGTCGCCTTTGTCCTTAAGAACCTTCACTTCAAGCTCCATCAGGTGAAAGGGACCCACCTGTACATCGTCAAATACGGCCCTGTGGGAGGAGATGTTCAGACGCCACTTAGGATTCGGGTTAGGTCCAAAACCGACAAGATCCCCCCAAGTGACACTTTGGCAACGTTCAGCGAACCGAATTTGCTCGTCAGTCCAGAGCTCCTTTCTCCCACCTAGGAGCGACTGTATCTGACAAGTAAAGTCCGTATCATTGCCATACCGATCCCAGACGCAAAGGAATCTCTCTGATGTGTCCAATGCCGCTCTATTGAAATTTGCTTCGACTATTGGAGCCTCCAAGTCATCCGACATTTTTGAGTTGAAATGAACTTTAACGGCTGAAAGCTCCTCGCCACGTCTAGTTTTTGTGCGGAACATGAGCCCGCCCCAGGAGTAGGATGGAGGATCGATGTCGTAGTAAGTGATAGGAGTCGTTTTATACGGCTCGCGGGTACCGTCTTCGCCGAGCTTCTGGAGTACAGTCTGGGGGTCTGCATCGCATATGGACCATTGCAGGTTGGCTTTGATTTGCTTGCCCAACGGGCAGAGCGCGAATAGAGTGAAGGCAAGGATCAGGTGGCACTGCATGGTTGTTACTGCCAGGGAGACTGAACCCCGAGAATCGGGAGTGAAAAACTTTTGGCGAACAATGTCAGGCGGATCAGCAGGATGTAATAGAAAATGTTCAGCTGGTTGGTGCGCCCACATAAATTAGTATGACCAGTGGATGCTCCAGTGAGAGAAACTCAGAACAATACACATATGCACGCATGCCCCCTGCACATCCAGATGGTAACATATATATCTGTCAGGGTCGAGTAATTGCAGAGATTCCCCGGAAGAGTGAGCGCTGGAGCACGCGACCAAATACCTGATTGTCGTGAACCACCGTGTGAGTATCAAGCTAGACATGTACACTTGACCATCAGATGATTTAGCACTCCGGGACGCGTTGACGAGGGCGACATAACAGTGCCTATTCATGTGATTTATCTGGAATGACGAATACGTCGCGTCTGGATAACGTACATGGCATATGCGTAAAAATGTGTAAAAAGTTCAGAAGCTGTATTTCGGCGAGAGGAGGGTAGATTGAGGGTTCCTGTTTAGCTCGTGACCTTTCTGATCAAACCTCATCTCTCGGGGAGGGCGTCGGAGGGTTGGAAAACTCATGGTTGTCTGTTATCTCTCCCTTGACTCAATTCCCTTTTCCCTCTCTCGCTCTAGATGCATCGTCGTGTCAATGTCATGCCTCTGCTCTGTCCGGACGTTCTCCTCCCTCCGTCTTCTTCCTCCTCGCGCACACTACGTTACAAGCTTTTAAACCCCGGATAGGATCCAATATTAGTAGAGGGGACGACTAGATATAATAACACTTAACTAGTCACTAGGACTTTCAAGGGGAACCGTCTGTTTCTCTTAGGTGGTCTACTGTCGCGGCTTGCTAGTTGAGGTTGTAGTACACACAGTCTCTTTAGCATTTCATGGGGGCAGAACCCGCGTTAGAGAACTAGGGATTATTAATACTGGTGCCTTTGGCTGCCCAGGTCTAACCTATATCACTATGTGCTCAAGATTCCCTAGTCAGAATGGATTTCATGCTGGGAGCAGGCGTCTTATATCTATTTCGCTTGGGGTGGCCTGATGCCTGGAATGTTGCGGAGATTATAGAGTTTCGCCACATACTTACCTAGGCTCAGTTGCATTATAGGCCGGAACTCGTATCGGTTGCGGCGCTTGTGATCATGCTTCTTAACAATCTTGAGGGAGCCGATGTATTTGATATTACCGTACTTTTTCAACTTGCGGGATTTTGCTAATAATGCTGTCGGATTCTGTCTCGAGGGCACGGAGACGGGAGGCGGAAGGTAGAGATCTCACCCTTCTTGGGAGTAGCATTTATCGTCAGAGGGCTCGGCGTGTGCAAGCTCCTTGAGCTTGTCAAAGGTGGAATCGATGCGCTACTTAAAGGCCATTGCCGCGTTGCTCCTGGAATCTCGGTCAGCTTTTCGATCTGCGTGAAGATCTCGTCGCAGAAGCGGTTCTCATCATCCTCGGAGCGGTCCTCGCGCAGCGCGCTCTTGAACTTCGCGTAGTCGATGTACTTATCTTTCCATGGCGTATAAACGCACTCACGGACGGTCCCGCCGAAATACATGTCGGGCGAGTCTCGTCCTACGCAGTGGAGTCGTGGAGTCGGCCTTGGAGGCGAGACAATGACAGATGCTAATGTTCTCCTTGTTCTGTCTATGTGACTTCGGCTATATATTAAGAGTGCCTCGTCCGAAGAGATTTAGGGCTAAGTTTGGACTTCATCAAGAAGACAAAGTCACAGGTCAAGCAATCTCAGCCGACCTCGGCATCGTCGCCCACTGATGGAGATATCCTCATAAGTTGAGCGCCATCAAGCGCTGGGTTTTGTATTATGCGCTCGCAAAGCCTGTCTAACGGGTTCTCCGTTCCAACAACTCAGTGATATGCGACGAACGCTCATTCGCGGATTGGGCGTGCCCACGTGCCTGTGAATATGTACCAGCCTGAATCACCGTACATCCCACATCCTATCATGGCTCCCTGATGGCTGGTGTGTCAGCGCAAGGTCTCCGTTTCCCTTGACAGTACAATGATGAAACCCAGCGAGCTTTGCTGCTAAGGATCGCATTGCGTTGCCATCGAGCGGCTAAGGTCCTGCCACAACCGGTGTCACCGTTAATTTAAATAGTTACACTGCCCAAAGTATACAATATAAAGAAAGAAATTTCAGAGTAAAAGACAGGATATGTGAGGTGGGCGCCTATAGAATGCAACATTTAAGCGTCGGCAAGAAGGCAGACTTAAGTATCGCCCTGTGCTTCAATCCACATCGTAATATTAACATGTCCGCCTCAACAAACCACTAAGCTAACGACTCAACAGCTAATTTATTCTGCCCCTCATTCCCTCATGCTAAACCCTCCGATGACTCGTTGGCTTCAGACCATTTGGTTGTTGTCTCCGGGACAGTTGTGCAGAGACTGTTAGCCGGATCACCGATAACAGCCTCACAATCGCTTACCCTGGAGGACGGGAAGCGGGGAGGAATCGGCTTCCTAACGTGGGTTAGGCTGATACCGTCCGTGACGGGGAATGGCCTGGGAAAGAGCAGATTGCGCCAGTTGGATAGCGAGGACTCGTTCACGCCATATACTATGGCGTCAACGAAGCCTTGAAGAACGATGCATGCCTTGAAGCGTGTCAGTTGGTATTTCTCCGCCACTAGGTAAAGGGCTCACCTTATCCACTGTCTGCAACGCAAACGGCGCCGGTACGCCCTTGGAAGACTGATATATGCGGACAGCGGTGGGCAGTATCCAGATCAGCATGTATACGATTGGGTACATGAGCATCAGACGAGCGAGCTAGGACCGACAAGTCAGCGGTCCACACTTCTCGTGTGCGTACGCCGGTCTTAAAACAAGACTTACCATCTTCAACTTTAAGTTGGTTTTCTGGTGTTTCCGTTGTCGTCCCGCGCCGTTTGAGCTGGTATTGTTCATAACTCCCGACCTTGGCCCAGGTTGCATCGCAGCATATAGAGTCCTTGAGCCAGAGGATGTCGGATCTTCCGACGAGTACTCGGGCGGGAACTGAAACCGGCCGTGTGCGCGGCATAGAATGAAGGCCAGATGCGAATACATGCCCAGCATGGCACCGATAACGACCCAACGGGGCACAAAGTTGACCAGGAGACGGACTTTATCGGACGTGAACCAGCACCCTATAGAAGTCCGGATCTGTCAGCATCGTATGCGTGGGGCACGATGGGGGTAGAGGTGGACGAGGCCTACACGCGCCGATGTCTCCGTAGCCAGCGAGCACCAAGCCGAGGGATGCCCACACAATCGAGAAGACCCACGGAAGCGCCATCAAGAGCCAACGCTGATTCTGGACATAGCAGGACAGTCTCCTGAAGTCGGCGAGGATGAAGTATGTGCAGAGGGCGATCGTCAAGACCCAGTAATCTGTCTGAACGACGAAGACCTGCGTCATGAAGCCGTTAAAGCTGCAGAAGCCAGCTTGGTCTGGGTGCCTGATGAGACGACCGCTCACGTTCATCGAGGACGAAAGGAGGAAGTTAAGCGCCATGGCGCAGTCGCTGATTGCAAGGCCACTTCCACACGGGGTTAGACGCGCCAACATTGTCGAGGAAGGAAGACGTACAGGATGAGGTAGTGCCTGAAAGACCGCATCGACTTGAAGCACTATGAAGTCTCATGAGCTACAAGTGAGAGTAAATCACAGTCGGGAACAAACCTACAGCGAAGCTGAGTATAATCCATCCCCCTCCCAGAATAGACAGGATAGATACAGTAAGGATCACGATGCTTTGAATGCGGATCTCACTTTCCGTCTCGGGTGCGGCCAAAGCGTGCTGTCTCGGTAGCGGGATCAGGAGGGACCGCATTTTGCCCCAAAGAGTGATGGATTCGCATATCCATGACTGCTCCTTGCAATTGTTTACGAGGAAGATGTGGGGATTTATGGTTCATCATTCGATATCACCTACCAATATACGCGCATCCGATAAACCTTCCTCAACAGGTCCGAGGAGATGTCCCTTTTGATAGCTGAATAAAATGTGCCTACTTGGGGGCGTAGGATTTGATATCGATTTAATATAGAGGTGTTAAGCACCAGAGGTTTCAAGTCCAGTTGATCTTTGGCCACATAGAAGAACGAAGAAAACCAATAATATAAAGGTCCAGGGATCCTTATCAACAACCGGCGCACCCGCTTCTCTATGGCTGCCGGAATTAATAGCCCCCGATGTAGTCCACGTGGGGGTCATCGATGTCCTAGAGATAGCAGTGTTCCATCCTGGGTTTGGAAGAGCTGAGACTCCCTTAATATAGGCAGGAGGTCTCGAGGGAAGCAGGTGTAGAGGAGTGTTCCGCGGAAATGAGAAATTCGGCCGAGCGCCAGGTCGTTGATAAGGATCCTAGAGGTCAGCCCCACGACCAGGATCCCTGTCGCGGGAATTGCCGAGTCATTTGTGAAGCATTAAATATGCTGGACTCGTGTTTACATAAGCTAAGCGTCTCCTGGTAAGGGGTAGGTACACCCGCTGGGAAGGTGCATTTGAATGTCGCATGTCTTTGCGCATTGTGGTGTCTTGTCGTCTGTTTCTAGAAACCCACTTGGAAACGAAGTAAATTCATACAGGAAAGCAGAGAATCGCATGTCTGCCAAGTCCCGTGCTAATGGCAAAAGGGATTCTGACCGTTGTGAGCACGGAGTACTCTATCTAATACATTGATGCTGAGAACTTTGCGAGACTGGGATTTGGATAAGGTCAGCGGACAGGGAGAATATAGCGGTTCACTCCGGCCAACTCGGACGTAATGGGAGAATGTACCGTGTCGGAACCGGAGCTCGTCATACTGGAAACTGGTTCAAGTAACCATAAGTTAATAGGAGTAAAACGAGCATATTTTAGCGTTAGGTACGCTACGTCACTTCCTGTACTCAAGGCGCTCAGGGCGACGACATCGAAGGCGGATCAGTCTTAGGACATCGTAATACTCGAAAACGGGTCTGGGCCGAACAGTTGTGGATTTCGTGCCAACGGGACAGGGAGTCATTGCACCATTGCAGAAGAGAATAGCTTCATATTCGCTGAACTGCTGCGCCTCTATAAGAGCTCGATGTTACAATCCTAACACTATCCCGTTGACTGGTATCAGGTAGATACGACTAGTGTAGGACTGAGGTAGTTGTCTGTAGACAGATAAGCGAGGCAGTCAAACAGTATTCACAAGATATTCGTAAGAAGTGCATATTCAAGTGGAGTGGTGTAGTTGTACTTGAATTGACTACTGGACACTTTCAAAGTTGATGGATTACCCCCCGAAAGGGATGGTGACAAGTCACATCTCACAAAGAATCCGACCTTGGTCATTGAGGGGAAGGGGAAAAGGGGTGTCTAAAGATTTCATATATTGCCTGTAACAATGCGGTATCATAGACACAAATGAGACAGCTACCTTGTAAATTCAAAGGGTCTCTAATGCCTACCATTTTACTTTTGCCTAGGCTCTCCGATCTATCAGAACATGCTTTTTCTATTATTGTCTAGACTTTGAGTTTGTCGCCGTTCCCTCTCCTCACGCTCCACCACCACGCCCTCCAACACCCCATTTCGCCTGCGCCTCGACAACCCCAGCCTTGATAGCCGGCAGCTCCCTACCCCGTCCAGTTGGCCACGCGAGGAAGTTGGTTTCGGCGAGGTACCTTAAGAAGCGACCAACAGCTTCCCTACTAATACCCTCCCCAGCACTCTCATCAACACCTGTCCACCGGTCTGCATCGGCCTTAAGGACAGCAACAGCATTGCGATCATCTAGTTCCGGCGCGCGTGTGGTTGCGGGGAGATTGTTCGTCGCCATGTGGAAAAGAGGCATTAGAGCGCTCTGTTCCTCGTCTTTCTGGACGGAACCTGCGGAGACAAAGGTCTCGAGCTGGGCCTTCCAGTGGTCGTAATCCACCTCGGGAACATCGTAGCCGTAGTAGCTCAGGATGGAGAGATACTCGTTCATGCGTAGGCGAGGATGGGCAGTGACGTGGATGACGTGGACACCGACGTCGTCGCTGCCGCTGTGGCTGTTTTCCGTTTCGGCCGGGATGGGGTTCAAGCTAGCTGCGACGACGACGGTGGAGACGTGACCTACAGGCACGGCGTTGATAGTGTTGATAATTCGCGGCCGGCTAGACAGCTGGATACAGCCCTTGAGCATGCGGATAAGAAAGTCGTCGCTGTTGCAGACACCGGTGGCAGCGTCTCCGAGGATATAGCCGGGTCGGACGACAGATCCGAGGAGACCGCGTCTGCCAGCCTCGCGGACCAGCTGTTCAGATACCTGTGGTCCATCATCAGAATGGATGTTACGCAATGCAGAAAAGGGTCTGTGAAGGCGAACTTACCCATTTGGACTGGCCGTATCCGGTGCCGAGACCAGTGCGACTGCCCATCATGTCATCTGCTTCCATGACAGCGCCTTGCCCAGTGCTGGTCTGCTCTTGTGACAGGTTAATATAGTGATCCGTGTCTAGAACGCTTGTCGAGCTAATGAATGAGAAAAGCTTAGGTTTGCCCTGGTTACAAAGCCGCAGGGAATCGATTGTTGACAGAACATTGCTACGCTCGAGATGCTTATACTGCTTCACCCAGTGGACGAGGGCGCCGTTATGGATAACCACATCGGCAGTGTCGCCAAGCATCTTCCACGTGTCGTCATCAAGTCCAAGACGCGGCTGCGTCAGGTCACCAACGACTGCACTGAGCCTAGTGGTCCAAGAATCCTGCCATACGCTGTATCCACGGAGTGACTTCTGGAGCCGCTCGAGGGCGGCCGGGACTCCCTTCGTTCCACGGACGTGGGCGATCACGTGTACGTTCTCACGCTCGAGCAAGTCCTTGACGATGAAAGAGCCCAGGAAGCCCGTCGCGCCGGTCACAAAGACGGTCGTCTTGCCTGCCGGTGAGAGTGCCGCAGGGTCCGCCGTCTGATACTTGGCATCGAGGCTACCGAGCAGGTTGTCCAGTGACTGAGCATATGCAGCTTCGCCGTATTCTGCCGCGCTCGAATCGTCCTTGCCCTCACGCTGGCGGTCAATCTGTGTGCTGAGAGCCCTAAGGGATGAGTTCGAGTACAGTGAGCTGATGGACACATTGGTCCCCAGGTTCTTGCGGATATTGAGAAGAAGCTGCTGGGCCAGCAGACTGTGCCCACCACTTTCAAAGAAATCAGACTCGGGATGCAGAGTCTTGGCATTCAAACCATTGATAAGTGTTGCCCACTGCTCCGCCATTTCCTTTTCGGTGATGCTGAGCGTTTCCCATCTCTTCAGATCCTCCTCTGAAGCCTCTTCCGAGATCAGGGCCGCATCCGGGAAGGGCAGGTTTGGGCCGTCAACCTTGCCGTTGGGGTTCAAAGGCATCTTCTTCAGGAAGATGAAATAAGTCGGGACAGCGTGAACTGGCAATCGAGACTTGAGGTGATCCCGAACCTCCGTTTGCATTGGCCGGTAGCGCTTAGAATACACGATGACGGGTCCGATCTCGGTACCTTGGTCCTCAGTTTCTTCAAGGCTGCGTTCTGCTAGCCACTTGAGCCACTCTTGGTGTTCAGGCACAATGTAGCTGACCAGTGTTGGCTCTTCGTTCCGATCTCTCCGAAGCAGCGTCTTGCACTCGCGGACTAAATGGTGTCCTCTCAAGTTGCTGTCGATCTCATTGAGCTCGATGCGGAAGCCACGAATTTTGACTTGATCATCGGCTCTGCCGGTAACTGCGCAATTACCAGAATCGTCCAAGAAATACCCCAAGTCGCCGGTCCTGTAGATTCTGTCTCGTGGGCCTTTGTAATACTTTCTCCAGGGCTCATTGGCGTGATCGGCGACTTTGTTGTCAGCATCAACCCACTTCTGGTTGTCGACGAACCAGTTGTCGAGGAACTTTTCCTTGGTTTTCCCTGGGTCATTTAGATACCCGTAACCTCGAATATTAGCATGACTCTATCAGGGAAAAAAAAAAAAAAAAAAAAAAAAAAAAAAAAGGGGGAGACTTATCTCGGCTAAGCCTGCTGCTCTCAACATAATCTCACCGATCTCACCGACGCCGCAAAGCTTGGTTGGATCCTCCCGGTTGACTACGAGGAGCTGGACGTTCTCGATGCCCTTTCCAGCAGGAACAATATCGCCAAATTTATCTAATGCGTTCGGATCTTCGGCGCGGCTCTTGATGTGGTAGTATGATACGCTGCGGTTCGTCTCAGTGGTACCATACGCAGCGCAGATGTCCGCGTTGGGCGCCAGTTTACGGAGCGCAGCGCAATCCTTCTTGGTCAGAATATCACCAACGTAGAGAACCCACTTCAATGAAGGGAACTCCGCCTTGGCACCGCCGCACAAGATTTGGCCCATCGCGGGCGTCAAATGGACCGCGTTGGGTTTGTGATCACGGAACCACTCGGCTAGCCTTTCGTGGGCGATATTCTCGCGAGCAGGGCAAATTAGCTCCCCGCCCATGAAAATCGGACTGAAGATGTCTCGCTGGATGGGATCATGGCTTATGCCACTATCATTGGTTTAGCAGAGCTTGTGACGGGCATCATCATCTTTGATATGGTTTACCTTAGACAAGCGAACTTTGTGTCCGAGGTCCAGTTGAAAGTTTTGGCCATCCACGGGAAGTACTTGGCTAAGCTGTAATGTCTGCTCAACACGCCCCTGGAAATAATCAGCTAATGTCGTCCGAACTTTAGAGAGTTGCTGGATCTCGTACTTGGGTGTGGATGTAGTGCCACTGGTAAAGCTCAGGATACTTGTTGAGTCCGGTCCCACCAGGACATCTGGCGGCGCTGATGCTTTGCTTTCAGTGTCGGTAAAGACTTCCTTTCCGTCAACCTCACCACCAGTAAGATGGCCATCATCGCTCATCCGTAGCTCGGGTACTCGTATCTTGAGAGATAGTTCCTCGTCAATGTACTTCTGGACACGCGGCGCGAAAGGACCATTCTCGTCCCTGGCTCTGCCAATCGTGATCAGGGCCTTCGGTTGTGAGACTTCAAGGTAGATCTGTTGTCTCGCCGGGGGGTACGCGGGGTCTAGGACAGTAATAGTAGCACCGGCGGCAAGGGTTCCCATGAAGGCGATGACGAGTTCGACGGAACGGTAAGCAAAGATCATGACGACATCGCCATTGGTGATGCCAGCTTCGTGGAGCTGGTTGGCCAAGATGTTGGACGCCTCATAAATCTGCTTGTAGGTGAATCTCCTCTCGGGCGTGGTGGAGGAGGCCGTTTCCGTGACGCACGGCGCGTCGGGATTCTTCAAAGCATTCTTGTGAAATATCTCGTGGATGGCGCCGATGTAGCCACTCCAGTCGAGGTCGATGGTGGGATCGGGAAGCCCCATGACGGCAGCAATCTGGCAAGATTTATACTGAGTGGGGAGGCGCCTCGTATCGGATGTGTTCCTGGAGCATAGTCCAAGCTAGTATCCTGAAAAGAGCCGTGTCCCTTGAGAAAGGTAAACCACAACGACGGACTCGAGAAGGAAAAGAATTCTGCCGCACTGCGATCTTCGGAGGAGGGGCAGGCGTAATTTTTCATGTTGCTTCCTATTACGGTAGGCGGTCACTAGCAACTCTCGTAGCGATGGGACAGAAAGTTTTACCAAGTTTTGCTCCGAGGTTCTACCGTCAGAGTCTTCTTGGCCTCTGATTGGCTGGGCGAGGGTTGACGTGACCCAAACAAGTCATGACTCGCAACTAGTCTGGAGAGGAATTCTAGAGGCAACTTTGAACCTTGTCCGGGGTTCTAGTACTATACAGCCCGAAGCACAGGGAATTAATCTATACGAAGGTACTAGGCCTAACCATGAAATTTTGTTTAACAGCAGGTCAGAAGGCGCTACCCATGCCCCGCCTTCCTCCAGTCGTCGCTTTTGATTCAGCCGTGGAATTGCTACGAAGTACGAAGTAGTGATCTCTTGTTCAGCTCGCGCACTGTCCAGCCACCACTATCAGCCCAGAACCTGACTGTCGTCCAAAATAGACGCGACCACTTACTGTAACTTTTTCCTTCCCATAAGATCCACTGCCCCCCCAACCCAGGACCCCGCCATATCTTGGTGAACCCCCGTAAGATTACAATGCAGCCCGCAAATGATCGTCCAAAGTTACTGCGCCCAGAACGACTCCAATCTAGCCTGATGGAGGCTTGATGGGCCTGTAGCCGTCCCTTGTATACTGAAGCAGTGTGTTGACGCCACCTTTGCCTTGGTCGGGAGAGAAACCGATCCTATGTACAGTGCTGTTTGAAAACTGGATCGACACGGAAGAGCCTGGAGACGTAGGACCTCCCCTGTCAATCCCATTTGGGACGCAAAGTTCTCTCCCCCGCGAGTGTTGAGAGGGAGCTGCCTTCTCTCACTTAATAGGTAGATATAATCGATGCGCCCATTGAATGCGAAGGTAACTTCGAGACATTGATGAAGCGGTGTAATGCATAAAAAGAAGGGAGAGCCAGTCGTGTTGAGGAAGATCACTCGAGTTTGGGTTTTCCGAATATCGCTTCTTTCGGCACGAACCTGCCCGAGCGGATGATTGCCAGATCAAACCCGTGATCTTGAATCCGATAAGTGTTTTTCCAGTGAGACCACTTGGAACTGTTCACTAAATTTCCAAGACACAGCAAATATATTGAAATCAAAGAGCTATCATTCGTTTCTTTCATTATCATCACATCATCCATGCGGCAAGTTCAAAATCGATGGCGCGGCCAGTGTCGACAATGCAAAAATCAACCGGAGGAAGCCGAAGAGCCCATCAGATCTTGAATGACCACAATATTGAAGCCATCTGATTTCCTAATGGCCGGAGACAATTATGTTTCCCTGCGCTTGAATTGACCTACTCTAATGGCTTCTGTCCGCCGACAACCATCCTATAGTCGAGGACATTAATAAGTAACTGTTACATAACAGGTAAGGACAAGCGCGGGTTAACCTTACATCTCGATGTACGAGTGAACCCTAGGATCAGTTATTTCCGACCGAGCATCGACGAGGTACAGCTGTGCCTCTTCAAATGTCCACTGTCACCACCGAGGTTGTTAGTGTCTATTAGCAACTCTGGCAAGATGAAATGGAGTGAACAGGGAGTAGTTTACCCCCAGAAGGTCTGTTAAGCCGCGGATCGAAAATCCTTCGAGGCCTTGCAGAAGAAACTGGCGATTCCAGAGTCCCCATTTCTTCAGAATCGGGTCCTTTGGCCACGTCCCGATTGGAATCTTCAACGTGCGTTCATGGATATTCTTGAATTCGGCCTCTCGAATTAGTTCCCGGCCGGTTTCGCTGATGCTGAACGTCTTGCCCGTGTGTTCGCCAAATTGCCGGAATATCTCTGCCCACCTCACTAGGGGACCCCCAGGCCGAAGCGTATTGTCGTCTGATCGAGCGACACTTGACAGCTCGACATGTTCGATCCACCCTCCAGGTTTTAGGTGTCTTTGATCGGATAGATGTCAGTGGCCAGTATTCGATGTATTACCAGGGCGCGCTTATGGCGGTTGGCGACGAGGGTTAAACATACCGCATAATCTTCTTATAGAAGCCGACCCAGTCAGGAATACAACCCGTCATATATCGAATATGAATGAAGTCAAAATGATTTTCGGGGAATGTCCAGTCTTTAGTAACATTGTCGACCTCGAATTTACAGTTGGGTGGAATGAAGCTTGGTTGGATTGGGGACAGGTCGACGCCAATGACCTCGGAGGCTGGATTCTCGTCTGCGAAGTCGCTGTTCGGTTTCCTCCGTTAGCGGTCCGAGTATTGTACTTGAAGTTGGTTAAAAATAGGAATGGAATGCCGGCCGGGAAGACACCTACATGGCCCACGCTCCCGTTCCGCAACCGACATCAAGAACTCGCTGGAAGAATAAATTAGACAAGGAAAAAGAGTCCGGCATATAGCAGTTCACGGCACCCACCTGAATATTGTCTCCGATCGGAGTTACGTATAGTTTGTTGTCGAGAACAATTCGGTACATTTCGTGCCTATGATTAGTTAGACATGCTAATACAACTTGGTAGGTTGAGGAGCAATTCGTGCGATGTTTGCCGTGGGAGGCTCAGATACATACATTAAGTCCTCTGCATCCTGTTGCCTCTCGTCATTGGGACCCCTGAATAGCCGAGTCATCAGTAGTCATCCCAAGAAACGGAAGTAAAGCTCCTCCCTAGGAAAAAAGAGGAGTTGAGCGGCGAAAAAATACCAGTAGGCGCCATCTTGGTAGGCGTGATATCGTCGCCCATTCTCCCACTTGAAATCTAAGATGGAAGACCGGAGCGATGTAGTGTCCGTCACCGTTCTAGCCATTTATTAGCAAAGAGCTCAATAACTTGGAAAACATGAGCCCCAGCGTGTCGCGTCAGACTTACGATTGGGCGTAGACGGATGAGGCATCCTCGAGGTCCTAGTTATCACAGAAGCGTCATGTTTGAGTATGGGCATGAATACAACTCAAAAACCGCGGAGCCACTCTGGTTGATATTTACAAGAGGGGTTTAACTTCGATTACGGCGCCTGCATCGCCTAATAGATCCCGAGGAGGAGATGCTGGCCCAGGGGTGGGGGACGTCGACTTCGGCGATGACTTTGGCGGTGACTCCGGCGACTTTGGCGCCTTTGGGCTACTCATCTTGAAAAAGCTTGGCTATTTGTTGCCTGCTTGATAGGTATGAGGTTGAGAAGAGGAGGAGAGCAGAGAGATGAGCAGAGGGGAGAGGATATTTCCGGGGAAAGTGCTGCCTTCCTGACTGTGGCGCTCGAAAGAGCAGGGTCTGGAGCCAAGAAAGGAGACTAATAATACAACCTTGCAAGATAAAATCAGCATACATATGCAGGCGTTGTTGAGTTCAAGCACACGAACAAGCCAATCAGTTTTGATCTACCACTGGTCCATTTCGTAAGGGCAAATAGGATTCATCAGCCCACATTATTCCTCGATATATCATTTTCTCCTGGGTTAACGTGTTGGTTCTTCCCGCAAGCTAGTCGTCGGCTTCCAGGGTCTCCCCGTGTTGCCTCGGAAGCCATTCCATAAGCACGTTAGTGTAGCAATGGAATATGCATGCCCAGACCGCGGAAGCACCAAAATGGGACGTTGGCGGGTCTCGTTTTCTGACGTGCCACGACACTAACCCCGAGGTAGCATCCCTTCCCCTCATTCCCTGCGAGTCCCTCTCGAAAAGGTCCAATCAATAATAGAGGTTGAGGTTCTCGCTTGGTGGCCATCCTCGTTTGGTCGTTTCCTGCCGTCGGCAGCGAAAACGACAGAGAAAACGAACGAGCAAGCCGTTGCATCGGCGATTATGACTACAAATCCATGTCCTCTAGCTCGCTGCGTTCGGTGACATCGGGTTTTAGCTACATGAACCAACAGGAGAGGAAGGAGACGTACAACGTCATTTTGATATGGATATTGATATTCCTCTTGACCCGACAGGGTGGCATTGTTTAGTTTATCTTTGCACTCTCTATTCTTCCGCTATGCACCTAATTTTCGTCCAATTACTCCATTTCTTCTTGTTTTCTTCTGCATTGCCTCTTCCGTCTACGCTTGTATGGGCTTGTTCATCAGTTGTTTCATCCTGGCCAACAGTAGTAGCCAACGAGCCGTTTTTCTGGAAGGCCTCGAGCTTCGACCGAAGGGAATTTTCGGTACAGCAGTAGTTTGGAATTACAGTATACTCGTAACAGTAGTTCCTCGACTGAGCCTCCGAGATGTAGAGCTAAGGCTTGATTTGCTCCAAGGACTTCGCCGAATTTTGACGTTCTTGCCAGTATGCAATTTCAAAAGCATTCGCACTGCAGTGATGCGTGGCTAAGGAATTATAAACTTCTTATTCGAGATAGATCATGTTGTACATTTTCTTTGAGTATCTGAGAGGGATATCGCTGCTGCGTTTGACTGAATATTCGACAGCGCAGGGTTTCCGGCCTCTGGCTTAATACTGTACGTAGGGGCGTTACCGCTCCATTGAGGAGAGGGGGTTCTGCAGCATTGGATCAATTGATGATTGGGGAGTTCTTCAGATCCTATAAAGGAAAACGTCGGGCGCCAGTTGCAAATCTTCTTCATTTATGCATCAACTCATCCCCTCCCGAACCCCTACCCTAACTCCTAGCCATGTCAGCCTACGCGTTAAAAAACCGTATTGCCGTTATAACCGGTGGCGGTTCTGGTGAGGGATACTAATACGATCCATCCAATCCTACGTTTGGTCAGGTCACTCATTTGGTGTACTACAAATAGGCATCAATCTTGCTTTAACCCGACAGCTTCTCGAAGCAGGATGTTCTGTTGTCGTCGCCGACGTGAGCCTCCGCCCCGAGGCCGAGACCGCAATTGACGAATATCCCCACCCAGCATCGGAAGCGGGTCGAGCCTCCGCCGTCTTCTGCAAGACAGACATATCCGACTGGACGCAAATCACAGCGTCATGGGAGACAGCACTCGAGAAATTCGGCAGGATCGACATCGTCGTCAACGGTGCAGGAATTTACGAGCCCCCATCCAGTTCCTTTTGGAACCCGCCGGGCATCTCGCCCCTCGCTCAGGACCCCGAAGACGCCAAAGTAGGCCAATACAAGACCTTTGCTGTCAATACCGTTGGCTCAATCAGGCTGGCCCAGATCGCCATCGACTATTGGCAGCAGCACCCTGCTGTCCAAGGAAACCTCCTGTGGGTTGCTAGCATGGGTGGTTACATGCATTCTATGCAAACTCCGCTCTACTTTGCAAGCAAAGCCGCCATTGTCAGCATGGTCAAATCCCTGGCCGGGTTGAGAAAAGCTCTCGGTATCCGCAATGCGGCCGTCTGCCCAGCGGGGGTCTTCGTACGTCCACCCTACTTGATTTTTCTCCTCCTCAATCTAGCTAATGTTTACAGACACCCATCTTCGAGCAAGAGTACTGTCGAGACAGACTACGACCCGGCGACGTGGCATTATCACCAAAAGACTGTGCCGACTTGATGATGCGTGTCTTGCAGGAGCCACAATACGGTGATGGGAACATTGTAGAGATTATGATGGTTGGGACAAAAGAGGAGCAGTCGATCAGCGTGCGAGAAGTTGGATTGGAGGCTTTGTATCCGACCGTAAGGCCAATCGATCAAGGGACGCGCGCTATGGCGGAGGAACTCAAGTTCTTCGAGAAGGTATCAAAGGAAGGAATGCGCACAGGGGCAGGGTCCACAAGTCAGTCAGAAAGCAAATGATAATGGGGATAATACGAGGACGACTAGTGGACGATGGATGAAGAGCGTGGCGTTTCCTATCTTTTGAGCCCTGATCATCATTGACGAAGTTGACTCCGCATCCGCTGAAATAGAACCTCGGCTTTCTCAGCAGTTGCCGTGGTTGCCCACGTCTCTCGCGAAGTTTATTGCATGGTCAAATGCCTCCTTGATAGCAGGCGGGAAATCGGCCAAGAAGTCGAGCATCCATGGTGCTTTTGAGGTCACACGTATGATCTTGTCTTCAAACTTGTGGCAAGATATCAACAGCTTTATCCAGGCTGGTTGGGTCGCTATTCTAGCATCTGTGGTTGGCCCTGTAGTCCCTGTGTGCCTAAACTGCTCCCGGGAAGCTAAATGACAAGTCTGCCTGAACTGCCTAAACCTTCTTTGGCGGCAACCATAGATGCCAGCAATGCATTAGCTACAATTGTAGTCGGTCGACCCGTTTAGATGATACGTGTCGACCAAGGTAACGGCGCGCGTATTGGAAAGTTCATCCTTTGACCCTTCCAGCCGAATGACTTGGAGGCCGCGATCGACGCTGAGGCGGAATTACATCTCCTTAACGTCTTGAAAGCTCATGCGTATCTTCTCTGCCACTGTGTCCGACTCCATTGCCATGTTCTTAAGTGGATTGATCGTTTGGCGAGTCTGGAAAGAGAATGGTGTTAAAGACGACGGTTCCAACGATCACAAGCTAGCAGGAAAAGGCCCCGTTCTTACAGCTCTGGATCAGATCAGACCTCCCGGAGACGTCCGAGGAAGGCGGATATAATTAATCTGCCAAGCGTGTGGGAGGAAGGGTCATGTCCTCGAAAACTGCTGGGTGCCTTCCCTCAGAAGCATCCGAGTAGCTACAGACAGCCCCCAAAGTGGAAGGTCGACACTCTCCTAAAGAGAGTCAAGAGAGATGACAGGCTGCGGAAGGAACTAGAAAGGATCAAGGAGGAAAATGACAATTGACTGACTGTCACTGCCAGCCCACTGACGAACCTGGTGTGGACTGTGAACCTCGCCGAGCCGCCATCAGGAGAGCCAACTTCTTCCCAGCCAAGGAACACGCTTCGAAGCAGGTACATAATATGCTCTCTATCACTCTATCGTTTCATCGATTCGGGCGTTACCCTGGGATAAAAGGAATATGTTTTCGTCCGTGATAGCAACCCTCGTCTCAGCAGACTGCAACTAAGGGAGCGTGCCAAAATGGATGGTACGGAATGCAGATTAGCTTGAGATCCAGACTGGAATCCTGGTATATCTGGCTGTGAAAGAATTTTACCTCTATTTTGCAAGTCAACCAAGGCGTCACCAGAGCCCCCTCGTCCGAGATGACCGCCCGTGTCCTCGTCGACCCCGTCTGCAAAGCCTAGAACAACGGAGCCGCAGCTTCCCTCCTACAGCTAGACCTCCAGAGTGAGTTCAACATAGTCCATCATGGACGACCTGTCCACACGCTCCAGCGCCTAGACCTCCCCGAGTGGCTATTGCCAATGGACCACCCACTACCTATAAGCGAAGTCTAGCGTCGCCGCTTCCGGCCTACTTTACGGTGGCTGGAATAGGGGGATCAGGAACCAGATGGAAAGGATGGGGGACGCCGGCCGTAACATTTTTAGCTGGGGCTCTCCCATCGAACGCGAGCATGATCCAGCGGTCAAAGAGACCTGAACTTACTAGATGCTGCCGGCGCAATCCCCAAGGCCTGCCGAGCCCTTGAAAAGGCAAAAAAGACGTGATAAAGGGGCGTCCAGGACAGTTAAGAGGATGCCAAGGGTAGTGGGTCATGTCACCTGTTGTCTGATCAGGCAAGAAAGAAACCGATGATGCCGAAAGCAGCCGCGAAGCTCGCAACACCTGCAACGACTAGACGCCGGATGGCGTTTTTTTCCGGGCAGTCCTCAGGTGGGAGCAAGCCTCTGCACAATCTGGCATGCCCTCCGGCAGATATACTCGCGGCTGCAGCTGTATCGATCTTAACCTGGCAGGGGTTTATAGTCGGAGTCGGAGTCGGAGACTCTAACACTGTGCAAGTAGACCCCGACTTGGAAATTTTGCGTGTTTGATCAGTTGCCGTGATGGAAACTCCGGGTTGGGCGGTGCATTTCTCCGTCGCAGCCACGAGGTCGACTTCTTGCCCGCCTTGCTTGATATTAAAGTCGAGAGAGAACTCGGGGTTATTGGCCAGGGATGTGATTTCATCGCTGCTCTCATTACAGCTTACCTACGAAGTATGAGTGAATAGCTGATAACGGCCCTCAGTGCTAAGGTTCTCGGAGTAGTATACAAAGTAGGGTTCATTGGAGAAAACGTTATCATCGTACAGGGTGTCCCCGTCAGCCGTAACCGCCGAGAGGCTGCTAATGGACGAGCAGAAATTGAGCATGAGGTGTTTGGCTAGCTTGGCATTTTGCAGTGCATAGACGACGGGAAACTGTTCCGTCGGGCGCGTATGTCTCGTTGGCGCGAGGGAAGACTACATCGATTTCCAGCACACCGGCAGCATTGACGACGACCGCCTCAGGGTAGACTAATAAGCCCACGAGGGACCAAATAATATAGGAGACGAGATTCATGGTCTGTTGTTGTTGTTGTTAGTGTTGCTAGTGTTGCTAGTACTGCTCCTGCTAGTTGTAGATATGCGAATGAAGTTATTGATAATAAAGATAATGATAGTGGTGATACTAACGGTAGCGGCTGTTAGGAATTGAGGGACCAGAAGGGGCACTAGGGATCTTGAGACGCAATTAGGGACTGACACTGCGAGCGCGTAAGGTCAATGAATGTCGACGGATCGGGTGGAGGGAGAGAACCACGGAAGGCTGAGGTGTGGCGTACTGATCAACAGTTCTATCTGCAGACTGCCACAGTTGGGCCAGTTCTACCCCACACGGATCAGACTAATCCCCCCATCTGCATCACCGCATCTCAAATCGACTCCATCGTGTAAATTACTACCTCGGCGGACCTCAAAATGGAGCGAACCATGGCCCATGGGATCAGTCGGGTACCACCTAGATTACTTACCCAACGCAATTAAACGTGCCACAAACCACTGTCGTACGAACCACTTCAATCGTTGCTGCCCTTTTGTGAACCAACACGCCACGCTTGGGTGCCCTAATAGGATTATATCGTAGTATCATGTATGTAAGTTCAATTAGATTAGGGTTAGCCGGCTCGGTCCGATTGGCATCATGCCGCTTTCCCCGTTTACCTGACAGCTTTTCGAGGGGCCTTAGGTCAGTTTAGTAGATTTTAGTTTATGTCAAGGACCAACACCTCTACATCGATTGATCACTCTACTTTGGTAAAGCCTGAGCCACACACCGGGGAAACTCACCGTCCTCTCGCCCACTAACTTTAAGGGAACCTACTAAAGTACACTAAGTACACTAATCAACAGAGGAAAGTTCGGTGGTGGCATCCACCGGAGGAACTCGCTAAAGGAGAGAACTGTGTAGCATCTGAGTGTGGAGGTAGTGGCCACAAACAGCAGCTACTACTGGTGGCGGGGATAGTCTTCCATCATGCTCCGGGCAATCGAATTTTGATCGATCGAATGTTTTTGTAGCAATCAAGATATCAATATTGATCATCAAGCCTCGACCGCACCAGTACAGATTACATGTACTACTTACCATTCTCCTTCTCATCTCGTCCTAGGACCAATACGTAGAGAAGAGGTAAGCTACAGGCTGCCAGAGCCGCCAGATCCCTAGACAAAGCCCAGCGTCATACAAGGAGTGGCAGGGTCTAGGATGTCCCAATAGGCGAGGCAGCTTATTAAACAATGGATGACACCTTGGCGGGGACCCCGGAGTCGAGAACGGCGGTCGGCTTCCTTTCACACAAATCTCCACATATGCCCACATGGGATTTGAAGAAGATAATGTCTACAGTTGCGGATTCTGCGGCTCAAAGGGGAACTGCGACTAGAATAGGTATATCACATAAGGATGTCGCCCCATGACAAGAAAAGAGTAGGCAAAAGATCTACTGAAAGTAGACTTGAAATTTAAGAATGGTGGTCGTGGTGATGATGGTCCCTGAGAAAAGAGAATGGGAGTTGGCCTCATTGTCAATCCACAGGCCTTGGTCCGAGACAGCCCATACCATATATTTGAGCTACACCACCCACTGTATTTTTAGAGGCATTCCTCATGTTTCCATGTTATTTACCATCGCAGTCTTCATACTCTGCACCAATACGATCATAAATGCAAAACCACAGATTTCTTAAACTGTAAACCGAAGTGTCTAGGTCAGGGCCTCTTTCAACGAATCTGCCACCAGCTTGTAGGTGTATTCTTTGTTTTCCCACTCTGGTGTATTTGGCTTGCACCCTTTGCCAAAACCATGCGGCATGTCTTCAAGGCAAACAGCCTGTACCTGACGGCCCGCACCCTCAAGCTTATCCGCCAAAACATCCATCTCGGGTTTCAGTATATCTCCGGAACAGGCCACCATGACAACCCTTTCGGGAAATAAATTGGGGTCTGCGTATAGAGGCGACACCCTCGGGTCTTTGCGCGAGACATGCGGCGGAAGATACGAATCAAAAAAGATGTCCAGGACCCAAGCCGGTATAGGTTTGACAGGGCGGGGAACGGTCTTGGCTTTGCTTTCCGTCGCCAGATCCGAGCCCGAGTAAATGGTGACAACGGCTTTGATGTCGAGTTTCGGGTAGTTTGCGCGTAGCGAAGACGCCGCAACTTGAGCCAGAACGCCGCCGGAGCTGAAACCGGAGAGGGCGATCCGTGATACATCCATAGTTGCCTGCTGCTCCGAAACCCAAGCCAAGACGTCCTCTACGTCTTGGATTGGTGCCGGGTAGGGATTCTCGGGGGCCTTTCTGTAATCAACGTCGAGGACCAGCATTCCGTTCGTCTGGGCGAGGTAGTAGCAGTACTCGTGATCGAGGGAGAGCGCGTAGTTGACGTAGCCGCTCCCGTGCCAATTGATCAGGACGGGCAGGGAGG